TAATTATGTATTACTAAACATATACGTCGATTCATCATTTTAATGAGATAGTAATGTTTGTATGTACATTAATTTATATAATCGTATGCACATTTATTTCGTAATATGGATGGAAGGATGTGTTTGATTCAAAATGTACATGACAAATATATATGTGTTATATCATGCAAATATATAGGCAATGTTATCTCGAAAGCATGCATATATAAATAAATGAAAAGGGTTATATTAATTAAATGTGTGATTTTTGCTGCATAAATAAAAGAAAAACAGAAAACAGAATTAAGTAAAAAGTATTGTTTTAGAATATTCTATCGGGTCAAACCCACTTGCATCGGGTAAAACCGTTTTAATACAAAGCATAGCTTAGAAAATTATGCAGTGGCATTGTTTTGTAAATATTGTTGAAACAGAAGGGCACCTGAAAAAAGGGCCTTCTGTTTTAATAGTATAGATAACATAAATACATTTTCATGTTTAAAATCTTATAAAACACACAAATAGAATATACAAAGTTAATATGATATAATTTTTATCAAAATTATAATTTATTAAATTTTAGATCAAATAAATAGATAAAAATATTATTAATTTAAAAAAAAAAAAGGAAATAGATTAGGCGTCGCCTAGACAGTCTAGACGGATAAAAATTGGACTACTGATTTTCTATAGTGATTTGACATAAATTTGGGTGGGATAGGGTCGTCTAGCGTGTAGCCGATTTTTAGAACAAAGGTTGAAACTATTTAGATAGTCTTAAGGATAATATCCTTACTCTTCGGAGCAATATTTAATAGCAAACTGTTTACTACAAAACGCACATGAAGCTATGTCACAAAACACACATGAAGCTATGTTAACAAACAACAAATGTCTCTTATGAAACCTCGAACTTCACCTGCATCTCCGACGCCACGCTCTCCGTTTTCCTCATCCGTTTCGCCGTCCCGTTATCTGACGACGAAGTATAAGATCTCTTTGACGGTACTCGAACCGGGTCGGGTTCACCGGAGTTAACCCTCCACGGAAAATTCAACAAAGCGCGGGAACCACGCATCCTAAAAGCAGCTCTGTCGTAAGCCAAAGCTGCATCTTCCGCCTTCTCATACGTCCCTAACCATACCCTCGCCCCAAACTTCGCCGGATCTCGTATCTCCGCCGCGAACTTCCCCCACGGCCTCTCTCTCACTCCTCTGTAATGCTTCTTCCCCTTCCCCGCCGGCTTCGCCACCGTCTTTTCTTTCTCATCCACCGCTTCGTGTTTCTCCGACGGTTCTAACTCTAAAAAATCGGTGAGACAGCTCAAGTCAGATGAAGGAGATGACGTGTCACAAGCTCCGTAGACTAACATATCATCAGAGTCACTCTCTTTTGACGGCAAGTCTCCCCAACTCTCTGTGAGACACGAACTCGGTGTTGACTCGCTGACTTGTAACTCGGTCTCTCCTCCTCCTAGCAAGTGATGTCGTATCGACTCTAACAAAGCGTACTCGTGTTCTGTTGCCGCCATAATATCGCCATGTCCGTACATTATTATTACAGAGAAAATAAGTTTTTTTTTTCTTTTGAATTTGTCAAATATTAAATCTTTTTTTATGTGGGACGATGGTGAAGAGATTTATATAATGGATACTAGAGAAGACGAGGTTCATGAACCTGGAAAATTTAACGTAAAGTCTTTTTCATGATTTTTTAGTTTAATAATATAGTAGGAGACTGGAGTGATTAAAAAATATGAAAGTTGTGGAATTTTCAATACTACGAATAGGGCTGGGAGCAAGGTGAGTACTTGCTATTTTGTGTGTATTTGATACTTAACTTGCCTTGCATGAGTAATAAAATTTTCGACTTGTTAAAAACGAGTACTTGATATCCCAAGTACTTGATCAAAAATCAGATACTTGCAAGTTACTTATCTCCCTTTATTACTTGCTACTTAGGAGTACTTGTGAATTATTTACGCGTATTTTTGAGTATTTAAAAATTAATTACTAAATAATCATATACCAAAAAAAGACATGAAGGTTTACTTATTTATTTTACTAAAAAAACATACAATTACTTTAAAAAAAATTATGCATATAATAAAAAAATCGAGTTTAAACCGAATAACGAGTTTAATATCTTATTTAGTAATGAGTTGTCATGTTTATTAAATTAATATTTGTATGAAACTAATATCAAATCAAGACAAGTATTATTTTGCAAGCAACAAGTATTATTATCAAGTAACGAATATTTTGTAGAATGAGTAATAGATATTTATAAAACGAGTAATAAATATCAAATAACGAGGCAAGTATTGAAAAATGAAATGATACTTGATACTTGCCTTGCTTTTGCGAGTAAAAAATTTTTTTGATTTGTTATTCGACTTGACAACACCGAATACTTGGATTTTCAAGTCGAGTACGGATCAAGTAACGGGTATAAGGCGAGTATAAAACAATGATGCCCAGTCCTAACTGCGAAGGTTCGTGAAATGAACACGTGAGCTTTATCCACACAATGAAGCTTAAGTGTCAAGATGACGTCATGAAATTTACGGAAGCTAGATGTTGTTGATTGGTCTCTGTCAACTTGTCCCTTGTTTTTTATCGATAGGTTTTGAATTTATTCTCCGGTTTTATTAAGCAACTTGTCCTTTGCTTGGTTTATTAATAGAACCAAGGTCTTGGGTCTACTATTATTTGTGGAATATTAACATTAATTTCAACCAAAACTTGAATCCAGGTGAAAGGAATCGACCACTTTTGAGTAATAGTATAAGCTACTGATAAAATATTAAAAATACAGAGCTAGATAATATTAAAATTGCAAATGTGTGCTTAATTAGATTGTTGCTAATATATTTTGGTTTAATTACATGAAATCTAGCTAGATTTTGGTTTTGGTGGTTAAGTAAAAATCAAAGCAGGTGGGGCATAGCTAGTTTGAATGGGATACTTAAAAAATGTTTCCACAAATCCGGATACATTTCTCCTAGACACAAGTTAATATGTCATCTCACGTTTTCCTTTTTACGTTTCCTTTATGCTAACTAATTTTGTTCAGTTTTTAACTTCATTGTCTTTTTTTTTTTTGGTCAAAAACTTCATTGTCATTTTAAAACTTCTTTATCTTGACCAAAAAAGAACTTCATAAAAAAAATCATGTTCACTTGAACTTGAAGTATTATTAAGAAATAACCATTCGTGCTCTAGTAAAAAATCTGCAGCACTGGAAACCTAAATTCCTAATGATAAGTATTTGTCATGGAAAACTTATAATATTTTGTTTCATCTGTAGAATTTATTTATATCCTTTTAATTGTTTGTCCAAATTTATTCATTTCTTTTCGCCAATAAAATTATTGAGTTTCCGTCTTTTCCTTATATTCGTTAAGCCATACAATTACAAACAAACTAGGATAAGACCCGCGCCTTGCGCGGGATAAAACTATTATTTTTATTATGTTTTAGAAAATGAAACAATTAGTTCAGTTTCATTCAGATTAGAGGTGTTCAATCCAGATATCGGGTTTCGGTTCGGCTCGATTTTTTTGGTATTTCGATTTTTAAAATATAACTACTATTCTAAATCTATATGTACTTCAGTTTGGTTTGGTTTATATACCATCGATTTTTAATTTATTTAGTTTTATACCAAAAAACATAATTATTTAGTTTGAGATCATATTATATATTATACAAATATATAATATGATCATATGTAGAGTCATATTGTCACAGAGTCAGTTATTAAAAAAATATTATATATTTAAATAAAATAATAAAAAACAAAAAGACTTCTATCATCTAATAAAATGATCAAATCTAGAATTAATAGCAAAACACTTAATTTTGAAAATAAAAATAAAAAACAAAACAGAAGCATGAAAGAAATTTTTTTATATTCTTCCATATTTAGTGTTCATCAAACCAATATGTCTTCGATTGAACACAACTCTGTTTGTTTAAAGATAAAAAAAAGTTGTAAAGAATTTCAACTAATTGTTGTCCATCAAATTTATAATCTTTACTTCAATTTAGTTACTGTTAAAAAAAGCAAAAAGATCAAAATAAGAAGTCTCAGTTGTAATAAATTGTTAGTTATTTACAAATTATAATTATAGTTCAACTCATGTAACAAATAAATATTCATGTGTCGTTATAAATATATACATATTTACATGTTTCAGTTTAATCAGTTATAAATCAAACCATATCCAAATCCTATGGTTTTTATAAAATCACATCCATTCGGTTTGTATGGTATATACCAAAAATAATCATATTATCGATTTTTTAATATCTTTTAAAAATATAAAATTAAAAAAAAAAGAACTAAGATATTTAAATCATTGATAACAAAAAATTTCAATGTAAAAAATCTAATAAGTTTATAATTTATAAATGTTCTTGAAAATTTATTGAAATTTTTGAAATTAAAATATTATGTAATCTTATATGGTATATAGTTTAATCTGTATATATATTTGTTTTATTATTGAATGATACTTTTTACTTATATGGTTTTATAATCATGTATATCTTTTTATAATAAAAATGTTAAACTATTGATCATTAATTTTTAACATAATAATTTTAATAGTTTTAGTTATTTATTCTCGTTTTTTTTAAATTCAAAATATAACCTATAGGAAAAAAATCTAAAGTTTAATTTTATAACTAATTTGATTGTTTAATTTATTTTAATAATATAAAATTAAAGAAAATGATAGAGGATATATAAACTGTAAATATTTATTATAGAGTCATTAATGGTAATTCCATAGGTTTTATTTATGGAAAGAAAATAAAATAATAATTATATCTAGGGAAACAATCATAAATGTTTATATCATAAATGTCATATCATATATATTAGTCATTTATGGTAATTCCGTAGATTTTATTTATGGAAAGAAAATAAAATAGTAATTATATCTAGGGAAACAATCATAAATGCTTCTATCATAAATGTCAAATCATATCATCATATCATATAATTTGACCAACGAATGTATCTAGCGACATATAAAAAATCAAATGTGGACCTACTTATTTTTCAATTGAATGTAATTGACTACCTAATTGAATGACACCTAAGCATGGGTTCTTTTTTAATTATTACAAAATTGAGGTTATAATTTTTCAAATGTTTCTGCTTTAATATATAAGGGATTAATGGTGGGTCTCCACGAGTGTCCACTTTCAAAAGATACCTCTTTCATGGAAGCATAGTTAGTCAATAGTCAATAGTCACTTAAACTCTTATAATATTTTGTACCATGATCTATAACATTTAAAAAGAAATAGACTAGATTTGTTCTTCTCGACCAATCATTTTCATATACTCTTTGCTAATATTTTTTTTAGCTCATGAATATTTGAATTTATTAAGACTAAAGAGAAGCTATAACAAAAAACTTGTAACTCCTAGTATGTTAAATGCTCTTTGGATCAGAGTGCGAAGGCATGAGCTTGTCCCCCTCCTACTTCTATGATATGCTCGTTGCAAGTCGTGTCCACTTTGTTCTGTTTATTTTTTTTCGCTTAATAATTTGGAGATGCTTTAAACATATTTGATGTTTTGCAGTTATATATGCTACAAATAGAATTGTGAAAACATGTTTGTTGTGATTTGTGAACTTGTGTAAAGTTTAGAAATGATGATTCATGTAGTCACATTTAGGTTTAGCTGGCCAATCTCAGTGGATCAAATGGAGTTGGATCTCAAGTGATTCTCGACTGCCCTTGTGATGTTCTAATCATGACAACTGAACATTCCTTTGGCTGATACCAGTCATCGAACAGGATACCTAACCTCACGAGGCCAAGATAAGTATTTCCACTATATCAACATGAACATAGTAGCTGCAACGTGCAAAACCGTTTTCCCTTGGTTCTATGGCGTCCATTATTAAACCACATGAAGCATTGAAGCCACCACAAAAGCTCTTTAACCACATGCACAATCGCCAAAGATCCAAATGTTGTTTATCTCTATACTCGTGATAATTAAGAAAATTAGTTATATAGTTGTGGCTTGAGAGAGTTACCTAGATTTGTCCATTCCCGGCAGCTGCGTTGAGAATTGTGGAGCCCATATGTTTGTCTCTAAGGCCCATACATTTTGATCTTTCCTTAAAATATCGCTAAGAAGTGCAAAAAGAATTACCAAATTTGTCTCCTCTATTAGACAGTTTAATTACTTCAAATTTGTTTTGTAGTATGCTTTCATGTAAGTCTTTTATCATGTATTATAAATTATTGATCTCCTATTTATCCCATCTTTTCCAGTCCATGTACTGGTAAAATAATTCTTCATTTCTATATCAAACAAATTAAAGGAAGATATAACTTTTTAATGTGTTTTTCTTTTTGATGTTTCTTCTGATATCCATCCATGATTCTCCATATCCCACAATTTGTTAGGGAAAATGAAGGAAGAAAATCTGATATTTTGCCACGGATCTCCATCTATATCTCACTCATAGTTGTTAATCTTCACAATCACATATCAAAACACTATCAACGCCAAGAAAGTGAAGAGAAATCAATTGTTTACTTTATTGATCCTCACTCTTCTGATTACTTTCTTTCTTTTTCTCTCTACGTTAGATCATCTTTTTTTTCTTCTCTCTCTCCATTAGGTCTAGACACTTTTCACCATGATGGCTCCAGTGTCTTGATCACCAATCATTCACCATGCTCATCCAAACCTTTGCAAAATTTGGTCATCTTCATCTTGCATTAAGTGAAAGAGGGGTTCCTGTTTTATAATACGTCGGTGACGTCTCTGCATACGTCTATCAACTTGACTTTGGCTGGGCTTCAAACACATTGTGTCAATCATCATCTCCTTTTTCTTACATAATACTATCTTCCGTAATATATACTTTTCTCTCCCATTATCATTAGCTTACGGTCTTGATCTCTCTTGGTTCAGTCAAATTGATTCATAATTCACGTAAACCAACATACATGAATCCAAAATGAACTTTATATTGATATTAATCAATTATAGTATGTTCATAAAAGAAGAAAATGTTTTTCTTTTTTGCTTTAAAAGGAAGAAAATGTTGGAAATGATAACAAGCAAAAGGTGTAGTAGGAAAGATCGAAGGAAGGGAGGAATATGACCCGTCAGCAATTCAAAGCTTTGAAGTGGACCAAATCTTTGATTTTGACGCTGACTTTTCAAACATTTCTTCTCCTCGTATTAAACTCCAAAAATCTATACGTACAACCGCCAGCAAGTGCGTCACCACCGCAATGTTTGAGTTTTTCTTTAAAGGAAGACGATAAATACTTCTTGTTATTATTTGTTTTTTGTCAGTTTTATTATTTGTTTTCTCACGTTAGATGAGAATTCAAAGATTCTCTGACAGAGGAATGCATGATTAGCTTCTTGTTATGCTCGTTTTTTAATACTACGTAGTTGCCACATTGATTTTTTTTTTGAAATATTTGTTGTCACATTGTAGAAATTCATGCTTAAGCAATCTTGCTTAAGCAAATTTATTTTTGTCCATCTAACTCGCAAAGAGAACTTGTTCGAGATTATTCGCCAAAACGGTTTGAGACAGAACATTTCATTATATTAACCTCTTTCAAAGATCTCAGCCCTATACTTCTTTCATGTTTCACATCTCCATACTATCTCGCTACTTTTCTTAGAGCAGGTCCAATGAAGGTCCATAACAAATCCTTAACATTAATCCTTAGAATTAATTCAATATAATATTATTATTTAGCCTAATAAATCTAAGGATTAATCCTTACAAAAGGATCTGAAGAGGCTGATCCTTGTCTACGTGGCAGCCGCGTTTGACGGGTTTCGTAATGAAAAAAAAAAAATTCATTTTGTTTCGAAGCAAAAAGAAAAACGAGAGCTTTGGAGACTTGAGGCGATTTCGAGACGAGAAGCTTCCTTCTACGAGATTCATTCTCTGCAGAGAAGATTCGATCTGTAGAAGAGATTTTGTAGCTCTTCAGTCTTCATCGTAAGTTTCCTTCTCTTTTTGCTTCGTTTCGTGGCGATTATTAGGGTTTTCAAAATCTTCGATTAGAGATTTCGATTTGTGGCTAACACTGTTTTTATCTGTTCGATTTTGAATCTTAGGGTTCCAGTGATTTCGATTTGTGGCCATACTCTCATTCTCAATATGTTCGGAGACGCTGACGTGTTTGGCAGAAGCAGCGACGAATTCGACTCCGGCGTCGTTGCAGGTGATGTATATATGACCGGAGGGACTGGTGGTGAAACGGCCGGCCAAAATGGCGACGTTGATGGGTTTCCTTTGAAGCCAAACAAACTCTTTATGCAAGAGGTGAGTTTTTCATGGCTTTTTTGGTAGTTGAGAAGAAAGGAAAGTTGATGATTTTATTGGTGGTTTTGTTGGATTGAAGGCGATTGGAACTGAGTATGGAGAAGGGTTTGAGAAGACAAACGTGCTTTGGCTATGTTTGTTTAACTATGAGGAGAAGGCTAAGCGTGAGAATCCTATTAGAATGTCTGGTAACAATGAAAGATGGTTCTTGGTTTGTGTCCGGACACGAGCTGAGTACTTGTTCTTAAGGAAATAATGGATTTTTGTGCTTAAAGCTAAAACGGTGCTGGAGCTTGAAGCTGGCATTGGTCGTTTCACTGGTGAATTGGCTCAAAAGGCTGGTGAAGTTATTGCCCTTGACTTCATTGAAAGCGCCATTAAGAAGGTTTATATTCTTACTACTTTGGTTTGCTAGCTCTTGTTGTGTTATAAAGTAACGTTTTCTATTAAATTTCTTTGGTGTTGTTGTTCTTGTAGAATGAAAGTGACAATGGGAATTACAAAACGTCAGGTTTATTCTGATAAGTTGGAAACTTAAGGCAGACTTACTTCTTGAGTTGCTCTTTCGTGTCGTGTCTCAGACTTCTGGTGATGGTGTATATAAGTTGATTTAACTTAAATTGCTGATTTAACCAGAAGAGAAAGGTGGTTAATGAGTTTAATGCATCAAGCAAATGGAGAAAGAGAGGGATCTCGTGTGTGCCTGCGGTTTATGGAGTGTCTCTGCGGTTAACACCAGGGAGAGTAAGTGTTTTGAGCGATGGTTCAATAGTGGTTGAGGTTCCAGGGATTGAGATAGGACAAGGGCTATGGACAAAGGTGAAACAGATGGCTGCCTTCTCACTTGGACTGATCCAGTGTAGTACAACAAGCGATGAGCTTCTTGAGAAGATCTGTGTCATCCAAGCAGATACGTTGAGTTTGGTACAAGGCTCAGTAACTGGTGGTAGCACAAGCTCTGAGGCTAGTAGTGAAGCGGTTAGGATTTGCTGTGATGGCTTAGTTGAAAGGCTGTTACCTGTCAAGACTGCTTTGGAGGAGAAAACATGAGGACATGTGACTTGGGATAGCCTCATCAGTCAGGTTCTTATTCTTTTAACTTTTAGTCTTCTCTGGTTATTATGAGTGAGCTTATGAAACAGTCTTGTTCTTGAAACAGTCTTCTCTGGTAAATTTTGCAGATTGAAGGAGCATTTGTTCAAGGACTTGCGGATGATGGCAACTTAACCAAAGTTTGTACCCGTCTTTCCTATTTCCTACTTCTTTTGTTTGGTTTCTCAGCTATTAATCATCCAAGTCAAAATTTTAAATTTACATGTTTTACAATTTTATTATTTTTAATACCTAAGGATTCCATAATAGAAACATCATTGGAGATACATTTCTCATTAGGATCCTTAACAGTTTTGTACTATGATAGGTTCTAAATTAAACCAAAAATAATTATAATTAAAAATAAATTGAAACTAAATCGAAAATTTGTTTTAAAACTAAAAATAATTAAATTTTATTTATACATTAATATTGGTTTACAAATAAATTTTGGTTTACAAAACTAAACCATAAAAAAAACTCAAACCACCATAGTTTCTCCAATTTGGTTTACACTAAACCAAACCTAAAAAACCTAAACCTAAAAACTAACTCCAGCCGCCATAGCTTCTTCTTCTTCTTCCACAGGTTTCCAACCACTGTCCCGTGAAGGTTTTCTTCCACCACCGTAGTGGTGATGAGAAGCGTGTCGGTGGTGGTGCTGGTAAGGACGGAAACGAGCTAGAGACCGGCCGTCGCGTTTTCTTCTTTCTCTGCATCTCTTCTCTCTGTTCCATCACTTCGCTTGGTCTCCGCCGGACCACCATGGCCAGTGGCCGCCACTTCGCTTGGTCTCCGTCGCACGCCTTGCCTTTTCCAACCCTAATGGGGAAATAACAGAGAGAGAGAGAGAGAGAGAGAGAGAGAGAGATAGAGAGAGAGAGAGAGAGAGAGAGGCAGAGAGAGATAGAGAGGTCTAACCGTTGTGGTAGTGGTGGTGGGTGGAGTCGGACGGAGATGGTGGTGACGAGGGAGGGTGGTGAGGAGCGACGGTTGTGAGATACAAACAAAATGGGTTAATAACAGAGAGAGAGAGAGAGAGAGAGAGAGAGAGAGAGAGAGAGAGAGAGAGAGAGAGAGAGAGAGGTTAAACCGTTGTGGTAGTGATGGTGGAGTCGGACGGCGATGGTGGTGACGAGGGAGGGTTATGAGAAGGTCATGAGAGAAGGAGAACTTTAGTTTGAGATCTGGAAAAAAAATTTCAAAGATCGTGAGAAGGAGAAGAAAGAGATACTGAAAAATAAGTGAATAATTATATCCATTAGATTAAGATGTATCAACGGTGGAGATTAATATTTTAGCTATCCTCACATTATGAACTGGTTTCTCCCATTGGTCAAGCATAATAATTTTTTTCTAACTTAAGTATTCAAAAGTGTTTTTACAAAAGGGAAAAAAGTTATCTTCTTTATTTTATCATATTGGCGAAATTAGTTCCCGTTTATTGATATTATAGCATTTACTCTATCATAGCATTTATCTAATGCTATTATACAATATATAATTTTTTAAGTCATCTACTATAGCAGTTCAGTAAAACGTGCTATAATAATATGCTATTAATGTAGACTTTTTTGTAGTGTGATAAATGGCTAGTTGCTATACGTAAAAATAAATTTTACATCGATCATTTGTAACCTCATATAAAAGTATATATAAAAACTAAAACTATGATGCTTTTTATGCAATTCTAGAAAGTAAAGCGATTGAACATGAATCCAAGTTTAAAAGATTTTTTAAAAATAAGTGTATATATTAGAAATTAAAATTTTAATTATAGTCCTAAATTTGAGGTATGTAATTACAATAAAAATTAAACACATATAAATAGAGACATTAAGGTTTTAAATTATCATTCGTTTTTAAAAATATATAGTTCAATACTTTTTGAACTTGACATGAAACTAACCTGAAACGTTACTGAGAAATGATAAACATACAAGAATACACACTTTAGTTATTTACTGTCAAATGATTCGATGTGAAAGTTCATGGCTAGTAATTGGTATACATGTATACATGCTAATTGCAATAATAAACAAAAATAATTATTAGGTTAATGTTTCTAGGTCTAATCATTGAGTTATTGTAAATTCATGGCAGCGTAGTTTCGCTCGAAAAACATGACTTTCTAGAGACTCGTTGATTCATTCGTCAACCCAATTAGTGCACCGTGTAATTTCTTTCACGTGGTCGTATAAAAGTATGCATATAAGAGACAAAATTGATTGAGCAGTTGAGGCAGTGCATTGCATGCAGATCCAGTCAATAGTACCAAAATCGTATAATCCACAAATAAAAGGCCGCATGCATTGACTTGACTTGACTCTGTCACTCTTGTCCTGCTTATTATCCATGCATAAATCTAAGCATAGCCTTTATTAGTTTGGTTGGAGGTTAATGACTTAATGCTTTCAATATTACTTTGGTTATATTGGAATGTTTGATAGCGTATACCACGAAAAATCTTCTAGAAGGATATTACAATGTTTGCTAATGTACACATACGTGTATATGAGAATATATTATTTGTTACAAAACAAGTTCTTTTGATATGAAAAAGTTATTTTGATACGAATTAGCCGGTTGATTCTGTTCTTGATTAATAACAATTAAGGTTGTGTGAAATTGATGTGCATGGATTGTTTATTTGTTAACCGAGATAGTTTACAGTTAACATTACACATTTGGTAACTGTTTGTATTTCAACTTTGGATTTGCTATTATATATGTAGCTACAACCGTAACCATACACATTGATTTTTTTTTTTTTATAAACTAAGAGCAACATTATCGGTGGTTTCTTAGCGTTGTTCCTTAGTGGGAAAATTCCTTAATTTTTAACTAAAAACGCTTAGAAACTTTCCCGATAAGGGATAACGCTAAGAAACCGATAATGTTGCACTAAGAGACCAACTTTTAATGCAGACTGAGTACAACAGACTATGGAAGAGAGAAAATTAGCTCAAATGTCATTTGGTGTCAGTGCAGTATTATGCACGATTAATTATAATGGATAGTTTATGATTACTAAAGAATGATTAATCGATGTGAGATCACAAAAAGATGGAGAGAAGGCTAACCCTATGAACTCCCATGCAAAATAAAGAGCATATCACTAACTTCACTTTCAAAACTTTATAAAAAAGAAAAAGAAAAACTTCATATTTTCGTTCTTTTTATTTTTTTGGATAGTTGGAAAATAAAGTTAATCAGTGACATGGTTGTTGGACAGAAATTCAATATAGGGTGGACCTGATTGTCTAGAAAGTCTTAAGAAATTGATTGCAACTTCTGGAAGCAATATAACGTTACCTAAGCTAAGCTACAAAAAGAAAAAAAACAATATAAAGTTCACAGCCACAACTCCGGTTTGGTATAAGTCGAGTTCACACACATGAACATCGATGTGTGGATGGATGATATGCAGTGATGAACATGATTAAGGGGTTGATTACCAAAAAAAACATGATTAAGGGGGTTCATAAATCGTAAAGGAACATGTAGCCATTGCAACAAAAAGAATCACAATGTCGACTAGATGAATAACTCAATCCAACGGCTCAAAGTCCACGAAACACGCCACCAAGTGTTGCTCCCTTTTACACCTTATCTCTCAATTTTTATATTAATATATACTTTTTGGAACAAGACACACAATAGCAGTCTGGTTCCTTCCTTGGACCTTCTTGTTTGATTTAATTCAAATTTAATAAGAAACCACACATTGAAAAAGTCCACTTGAAGACAAAGAAATGGTCCTTGTGTATTAGTATATATACATCTTTCCACTCTCTTCTCTACTCAAACCATCTTCCTCCTCTTTCGTCTCAAGAATTTAATCTTCACCTCAAATTCAAAGATTTTTTTTAAAAAAAAAATCAATGACCAATCCTAGCGAAGCTTCTGCTCTAAGATTCATCGAGAAGCATCTACTCGACGAGCTCTCTCCAGTAGCTACAGATCGATGGATGATACAGGAATCACAATCAACAGAATCTAGCTCAGATTCTTCTCCTACAATCATCGATCTCTCGACGCCGAGATTCATAGATTCGAGTTCATTTGAATTCAATTCTGATTACGATTTTAAACCGTCTTATCAAACCGGAAATCAATTCGAACCGGAGATTAAAACAAAATCAAACCGAAAACCACCGTTGAAGATCTCCGTACCAACCAAAACCGAATGGATTCAATTTAATAACCCCAAACCGGAAGTTACTAAACCGGTTCAAACCGTTGAGAAGCAGCATTACAGAGGAGTGAGGCAAAGACCGTGGGGAAAATTCGCGGCTGAGATTCGCGATCCGAACAAACGCGGATCGCGAATCTGGCTCGGGACGTTCGATACCGCGATTGAAGCGGCTAGAGCCTACGACCAAGCAGCGTTTAGACTTCGAGGATCAAAGGCTATTTTGAATTTCCCGCTCGAAGTTGGGAAGTGGAAGACACGCGCCAACGCTGACGGAGAGAAGAAACGGAAGAGAGACGAGGATGTGACTGTGGTGAAGAAAGTGTTGAAGACGGAACATAGCGTTAACGGCGAGGAGACTTTCCCGTCTATAAAGTCAAACTTGACGGAGTTATATGACTGGGACTTAACGGGGTTTCTTAACTTTCCGCTTCTGTCGCCGTTATCTCCTCATCCGGGGTTTAGTTATTCGCAGTTGACCGTTGTTTAAAAAAAGCATATACATGTTTTTGGTTTAATTCTATCTGTTCATTCTTTTTCAAACTAGTACATTATTTTATTTAATGAAGAAATCAGAATAATTCAACCCTATCATTAATGCCCATTCCCGTTGAAAATTTTAGTTAGAACCTTCATAACGATAATTAAGGTTCAAACTTGTAAAGTTGACCTTAGTACAAAAGAGTTGTAGACACAATCAGTGACCATGATATGTCCGAACAATTTAATTTGAAGCCAGTATTGCCTTGAAATGATTAATTAATAGCAACCTCACTAATCTCCAAAGGGTTATACACAGTTGCTCCAGAGTGAAGAATCTGATGGTAAAAATTCTAGGGAGAAGGAAGTGTTTTGGTCTCCTTTCCACCAATTTCACCCTTGACTTCTTCCTGAAGTAACTCTCTTCTATAGATCGCAAGAACAGCCATCTGTCTTGCTGGAGCTTTTGGATTCACAAAGAGCTGCAAAGAAAGGTTCTGGAGAGCCTTAAAGGAAGAGCTGATTGAGCCTCAGCCACCCTCTCTTGGAAATTTGAGAAGTTGTGTTTGTTTAAAAGCTTTAGGTCCCTCTTTATCAGTTTTAATTTACATCCCAAAACAGTTAGGTTTGCTGAAGGAGCTTCCAGATTGTTCCAAGCTTTTGCAATATTTATCTCACAAAATCTAGGATGCTTTGGTGCTTGTGGTGCAAGAAGAATATTGTACTTCATCGAAAACAGGACGATGAAAATTATCAGCTGGGTTTATTAATGAATCAGAAGAGATCTTCTCTGGCGCTGTAAGAGAAGTCAAGGAAGAAACTAAGGTAATTATAAATATAAAAAATCATTAGTATAAATCTTGATTTTAGACTTCAAGCTAATCAAGATAATAACCATATATTGACGTGTTTTTTTAGGTAGATACATAACTTTTAGAGGTTATAGCTAGGGCAAAGCCTGGGCAAAAAACCCGGAACTGAAAAACCGAATCGAAATACTCGAAACGGAAACCAGATCGACATTCTTAAATATACGAATGGTTCCTATATTTCTATACCCGAAAAACCGAACGGAACCGAAACCAAACCGAGAACCGAACGGGTACCCGAATATCCGAAAAAACAAGTTAATTTTTTATAAAATAAGATAAAATGACATCAAACCCACTTGAACCCAGGTTAAATACAAAGAGTAAGTATATTTTTACCACCAGACCACGTTATTTTTTATTTATTTTGTTATATTATAAATATATAGAGTATTTCTATATTAAAATATGATAAATATTTATAAAATTAACACTTTATTAATTCGAATTCTTGTTGGATTGATGAATATGTATGCGTGTAAACACTAGACCATTTAAATTAACATATTAACTAATATTATATATATATATATATTTGATTTATATATTAAATGGGTATCCAGAACCAAACCGAAATGGAACCGAACCAAAACTGAACCGAAATCTCATAAGTACCTATTGGGTATAAGAATGATTTATCCGATACACCCGGAACCGAATGGTTCCTATCCGAAACCGAACCGGATATCCGAATGCCCTGGCCTAGGCTTATAGCTTTCAGCCATGCACCGCTGCGTTATAGATATCTGATCTTCATTTGTATGTTAGCTAGATCTCGACACAGCCGAATGAAACATTCGCCTTCCCCTCCTCCTTCCAAATTTTTAATATAGGAATAAGCCTTCAACTCCAAACATTAACTTTGTCCCCCAAAATTTTTAAAGTTCTTAAGAAATGTTTTAAACCTTCAAAATCTCAGATCCTGCCCTATCACTGTCTGATAAGATTCTCATCGACAATTTTGAGATAAAAACCGCTAAGGTAATCATCATAACTAAGAATCTTGCAGTCAGATCATGAGATGATTGTTTTTGTGTTTTTTTTCAGTGGATGTCACCAGGCTCGACTTGAAAAATAGGTGGGTCTTGTTCCATATAAAAAAGAATTCTTATATTAATAGATAACTAGATTTTGACCCGCGCAACCGCGCGGGTATTTATTTTTGTTTATACTTAGTTATATAAACATTTTGTTTTCATTTGTAAATTGCTATATATTATAGTAATCACATATTTACGCTATGTATAGTAAATGTTTTTCAAACATAATAATATTATATAATACGTGTTTTAATCAATTAGATTATTTCAATTTTTTATATTATACATGTTTTTCAAACATGTGTTTGTTTCTTCTTCTATATTTTATTGTTTGTTAGATTGGTATTTTATTTTTAGAAAAAAATAATATAAATAGAGCTTGATTAAATATTAGTACACTTTAATTTGCAAAGATAATATAAACTTCGAAGAAATTTTTGCTAAAAATTAAACTGATAGCTTCATAAATTAATATTATAAAGAATTTTATTAAAAATAATTTTTTTTTTAAAAATTAGTCTTTTAAACAATATAATTTTAAAAATTAACATTGAAATAAATTTATCTAGTATATAGTGTGTAAATTTTGTTAGGGTATATAAATATTTTATATTACAAATCTATGATTTTTGTTAATATATTTTGGATGCATTTAACTATTATTGACATATTTCCTTATAAATAATAGAAGATTCATAAACTTATATCTATTGACATATTTTGCGTGACTAAGTTGGAAGGTGTGAGGTAATTTACCAAAACCAAATTGTTAAACACATCTTTTGTTATTATAAATATGAGTTTTCATAAGATATAATAATGATAAGATTATTAGAGAGTTAATGTAACATGACTTTCTAGTAATAGTCCATTTTTAAAAAAAATCACACATGATGTCAAGTCATGACTTCTGTTTTAATATATAAGATTTTAAAAATTGAACCCTTAATTTTTTAAAAATGTCAAAATTTAGAACCCTATACATGCAAAGAAATTTTAGTGAAAAAGGGACCCAGTGCTTGTGCACCCTCGGCACTACCCCTAAACCGGCACTGGATGTCACTTGTGGAGTTCGTGGAGCTACCAATGATAAAAGGAAACAAAATGTTTAAGAGAGTGATTGAAATCTGTGAAGCTAGATTGAGACATCGTTACTGTGGTCTTTCTCCTCATAGACTTCTCTCTACAGCTCTACTTCTGATGGCAGGCCTTCTTCTCTTTACTACGACGTTGTTGATGATGATGATCCTTCCCACTCCAATTGTACAGCCGATTTTTATTTATAACCGTATCAAACCGGACCGAATCAATAGACAAGTGGTTAGGTTATGTGTATATATATACTTACTAGGTGATTTTCTCGTGCTCATGCACGGACATAAATATATAATAGTTGATTGATATTTACTTTAAATTTTTTATTAATTTATAGTTTATATGTATAATTTATATTAATAATATTATATTATTTTAGTTATATATAATTTTAGATATATTATATTTAGTGAGTTTTATCATTTGGATTCTATCTTATTCTCTGAATTCAACTATAATCTTTTTTATTCTAATTTTTGATTAATTGTTTTATTTACATTTATGTTGGTTGTTATCTTAGATATATAAGTATATCTTAGTAATCTTATGTATTTTAAGATTTTTGGTGCTTAGAACGAAAAAAATAAAAATTAAAGTGTCTGATTCTAAATTACATACATAAGTAATAATAAAATTTTGGAAGCTTGTGAACACATATCAATATTTACAATAACTAAAATATTTTATAAAGTCTAAATAATTTATACCTTAGATTGATTGGATGGTAAACTGAAATTTATTTTAAATAATTTTAAAAATAGGGAATTCTGATTTGCTTAAGTACTTTACTTATGGTTATATTAAATTCCACAAACATAAAAACAGAAAATTAAACATCAAAAGAGTTATTAAGAAAACATATAATTTTAACTATTAAAATATAATATATCTACCTTGTTAAATTATAGTGTTATGATATTTTAAAAGAATTGTATTTATTTGATCAAAAGATGTTTATTATTAAATTTATTTTTAGTTTTGTTTTTAACATCTCTTAAAATATGCAGTAAAAATATGATTGTTTTGAGAAATTATATTATATAAGTAAAATATAATATATTTTTTTTGCTGCAATTCTAAGATATTATAATCAAATAAATATACTAAAAAAATATTTCCATAATACTAATTATAATTTTTTTTGTCAATTATACATATATCATTTTATGTTACTTAATTATTTTATGTAATCATCTAATAAAATAGATAGATATATAAAAAAGAATTACTTTGAAAATATATATATTTTATTGTTTAAATTATTTTTTGAAAGAAAAAGTATTTCTTTTTTTAATATCAAGATTATTTATATGAAATTTTTTTATGAAAACACATTATATACAAATATTTTTTCATCTAAGAAGATATAGATATAAAGTATTTTATTACTTAAAAGTATAATTTATGTTATTTAAAAAATATTTAAGTTAAATATTACTATTTGGTAAACTTTCCATTTTTATGAAACTATATTATATATATACTTATTTTTTCGTTTTTAAATATTTTTGTAAATTTTATAAATATTTCCTTTTTATTTTATATTGTTATTTGGAAGATTTTAAAAAAGAAATAATAATATTCAAATATAATTTTAATTCATTAGGGGTATCATAGTAATCAATCAGCGTGAGAGTTAACGTGAGCACGACACCTAAGAAATTGACTTCTCAAATAATATTATAGAGATCCCCATGTAATGTATCTTCTTATTTGAACATTCTCTTCAGTATAGTAAATATTAAATACTATAAAAATAGTAATAGCTTCTCTGCAAAATCCATGTCCCACTCCAATTATATATCCAATTCCCACAAAAAATATGTGCCTCCACAAGGTCTCCAGAAAATTCTCAACTAGACGAAAACTCAAGACCGTTGTACACATCAGTGTGTGCAAGTATTTCAAATAAGAAGCATTTATCACGGAACCTAGATGCTCTTGTCTGATATTTTGATCATAAATACTCTGCAAAGATGGAAAATAGTAAATATATTCATATCATTCACCAAGAACTTAATATAGTATTTCCATAGGCAGAGTCGGGTCTAGAATTTGAAAGACCAAAAACCAAAATAGAAAAAATGGCCAGGAAAAAAATTTCTGCAAGTGCAAGAATTCGAACTCTATTCTGGGCGCAAGAGTTATGGATAATTAACCATTATAAACACATTTTTAAGAAAATGTGGCCGGTTTTATTTATATTATCTGGCGGCCGCAAACCCATGCTTCTTTTGCTTGGGCCCAGGACCGGCTTTGTCCATAGGAAACATAAGGGAATAGTGCCTGGGAATTTCGAGTTTGGAGTATATTATGTGGACCTAAATATGTAAGAAAAAAAATTAAAATGAGAACCCACCTAAGATGTTGATGCCATGGCAGTGAGTGTAGAGATAATGGTGTGAACTTGTTGACAAAATTGTGTTCTTGTTTCTTCTCAAGGCAACTCTCATCTTATGTGTTCACACTGCTGATTTCTGTGTGTAATTATTAATTAGAATTGGAAACTCGTAATCCTTCAGACAGTTGTTTGGTTATGGATTTGATATGGACAGAGATGCTGTATTATCATAATCCTAAGGTTTACTCTAGTTCACATTCTGTAGCTAAAATTAGTCAAAGGCTGGCCTTGGAAGAGATCAGTAAGTTAATTTAAGCCACAATTTTTTAATTTTTTTTTTGTAAATTTCCACATTTTGTAGGTTGAGTATAGGGGCTCAAAATTATAAAAATTGATTAAAATCTTTCATGATCTGCTTAGTTTAGGATTATCAGAATACAAATAAAGTAATATTTTTCGGTTCCTATAATTTACATAATGCAAGAGTTTTATGTATAAATAGATTGTGACATATCTGAGTGCATGAACTAATTATCCTTTGACTTATTGTTTGTATACATGTGTATACCAGCTAACATTAACTGCTGGCATGTGTATTGCAATGGCTGGTCAACTAGTTTTAGTTTACACCTATATATACTCCTATCTCAAAAGATCTTGGAGACAACAAAAACATAAACGCCAATCGCAACTTTCATGTTTTCTATGGGGAAGAAGCGGTGTGGACTTGCCGTGGCGTTTGTATTCTTAGCCTTGGTTCAAGTCTCTGTTTCAGTTCCGTTTATAGTGCTTCATGGAATTGCAGCTTCTTGTTCTGAGGGTAAAGAAGCTAACTTCACACAGCTTCTCACTAACCTCTCTGGCTTTCCTGGATATTGCATGTAAATCCACATAACACTCTATTATCTTTCTTTGATTTTATCATATGATTATGACTTTTTGTTTCATCCAACTGTTATTGTATCCAGAGAAGTTGGAAATGGAAAACGTGATTCATGGTTCATGCCACTTATGAAACAAGCGGAAATAGTGTGTGAGAAGGTGAAACAAATGAAAGAGTTGCGTCAAGGTTACAACATTGTTGGAAGATCACAGGTTCTTGTTACTTTCTTGAAAATCCCCAATAAAATCAGTTTTTTTATGGTTACCCATTTTGATGATGATGATGATGAATTGTGGAACAGGGGAATCTAGTAGCTAGAGGCTTGATTGAGTTTTGTGATGGTGGACCTCCAGTTTTCAACTATATATCTTTAGCAGGTCCCCATGCTGGAATCTCATCTATTCCTTTGTGTGGTGTAAGTTTTTTATTTATTTTCCTTTAATCTCTAAATATTTTTTAAAATTGATTTGGTTTTTATTAAAACAGTGACAGTAGTTTTTTTTTTTTGGGTAAAGAATGGAACATGGTGTGAAATAGCAGATAAGCTGATCAAGTCAGAAATCTATACCGACTTCATTCAAGTAAATATATATTGTTCTCTATCTATATAATCCTTTTTTTAGGATTAAGATCTTTAATTAGGTATTAATTAAAATCTTTTCAATAATTCTGCAGGATCATCTTGCTCCTAGTGGTTATCTCAAAATCCCTACTGTAAGTTAACTAGAAACCAGTTAGTTTAGAAAAGTAAGAATATTTTATTAGATTTTAACAGTTTTTATTTTATTTTTGGGTTCTCAGGAGATAAAAAAGTACCTGGAAAAGTCTAAGTATCTACCTAAGCTTAACAATGAGATACCAAACCAGAGAAACTCTACTTACAAAGACCGTTTCACCAGCTTACACAACTTGGTTCTTGTCAAGGTTCAATCTCCTCAAATACCATACTCTACTTCTTTTTTTCTAAATCAAATGAATCCTATCTTGATTCTTGACGATTCTATTTTGTTTTAACAGTTTCAAGACGATAAAGTTATTGTTCCACAAGATTCATCTTGGTTCGGGTTTTATCCGGATGGTGCATTTAAACCTCTTCTTTCTGCTCAACAAACAAAGCTCTATACAGAAGATTGGATTGGTCTGAAAACATTGGATGATGCTGGCAAAGTGAAGTTTGTTAGTGTAAAAGGAAAACACATCATAATGGCGAATCTCGATGTCGCCAAATACGTCGTGCCTTATCTCCAAAACAAACCGTCTCCCGATTCACAACAAAACAGATTTAACCGCAAAACGAAGGAGACTTTGCGTAGTCCTTAAAAGCTCAGTGACGATTATGTAGAACAAGAATTCTTTATACACGCATGTGATCTTATTCTTATTAAATATAAGTCAACAAAATTATATTTTTAAAAATGTCTATAATTATTTGGCGCCCTCTTCTCACTCTCTCTGTTTTTTCTCCAAGAACGCCATTTCAGATCGAATCCTTGTTCAAGCCAAGGAAGGATTGCAAAATCTCTTAAAATAAAATATTGTAGTGACGCATGTTGGTATGATGTTAAGTTGTTAACTTTCATATTGTCATCCTAGACACTACTAAATATACATGTTAACAAGTTAAGAAGACATAACAGGCTACCATTGTAATTTGTAACTAATATTTGCTAACTGAAATATTTAAATGTCACATCGTACATGACACAAGTGACACTATAACTTGGGAAGACCAATGATCCAAAATTACAATTAGTCCCTACATAGAGCCCAATAAATGTGCATGATGTAACTGTCTTTTAACGCCCAATAAATGGCCCAAAATGAGCATGACTAGAACCATAGCCGTACGTGGGATCACCGACACTTTGTTCTTAGCTGGAACACCTTTGACTCTGGCATCTTTTCTCATGGTTCTGCCCTCAAACTGGACATTTTTTGAACTTCTGTCCGAGCTGTTGAATTGTAGAAGAAAAGAGTTTTTTTTTTTTGGGCTACAAATTTATCAGTCAGCCTGACAGATATCATTGTCTCATTACAAACATTACAAGGGTCTACTGAAACTAGAGACATCGAGAGGTTTCTTAGGCAATATTTTGTTTTAAACCCACCAAGGCTTTTTCTCCATTATCAAGTCCTTTGAGAAAACATAACGAAACCTTGAACTGTAAGGCAACCATTCAACCACCTGAGATGCTTTCTTGTAGTTTGGGTTACCTTCCATGCATTTTTGTATTGATTCCCCAAGATTTTCGTCTGAGTTATCTATTAACCATCTCATCAAATCGTCAAGGCTAAGAGAAGCTTCCTTTGTATACCTCTCTATAATCTTAGGTAATAACACTTTCTTCTGCATTTTTACAACCATGTTTGCTCGTAGAAACTCCCTTTTCGAGTCTTCTAGTTCCTCTTTAATGTTTGTGGCAGTGTACGCCTTTAACTGCACCCAATTCAAACATAACAAGTAAACCAATAATATTATTGAGTGAAACAGTGTGACAATGTGAATAAGATTATAGAGTCAAAGAAGTTACCAATGGATCTGAGAGAGCACCAGTGCAAAGAGCAAAACAGAGAAGCGGCTCAGGTTTCTGAAGGCTAAACTTTGAGCTTACTTTATCTTCAGTTGGCTTCTTTCTCAAGGCAGTGGAGATAATGGTCTCAAGCCACTACAATGTATGAGTGAATGCAAAGTGTCAAAATTTGATTTTAATGTAAAAAGGATAAGGTACAATGATTCTTATTACACGTCCATTTCTTGGAGTCCGGAAGCAGAAGATGGAGTATTCAATGGTGTTTGCATTTATGATATGTCCACCGATATTATACGCAGACTGCACTAATACAATAAAACCTATTAGTCTCTACTCAAGTATGAATATATTTTCATCTATTGTGAACAAAGTTAAATACCTTGTGAAACAAAGCTAACCTTCTGAGGGAATTAGCTGGTACACCATATGCCAAGTATGCCTAGAGAAAGATAAATAGATTATTATCCTTACATAATCAAGAAATAACAAAACCAAAAGTACTTAATATGTTCATACATGCATAAGGAGAGCATTGTAGATGTTGATCCAAAATGCTAATTTTGCATTTTCTTCCATTTGATTTATAGAAACTCTCTCCAGTTGTTCAACAAGGAGCCTGTAAGTCAAAATCATGCCTTCATGTAGTAAAAGTCAATTCAGAAGTGTTTTCAAGGAAATAACTTAATTTTATTGGACTAACCTATAGTTGTTGATAGCATATGATGCTTGAGAAAATCTTCTCTTGTCTGATGAGATCAAAGATACTTCCACCATGGATCTGCATGACCAAGATCGGTCTTCACTTATAACATTCTTTGGGATAACCACATTGCTAGGTGAATCCCTTTTCCTCTTCTCAGCTTCTGCTGACATGGAACTGCTGCAAAGCCAGAAGTACACTGAAGCCATACACTTGACCATTTCTTCAGACAACTTGCTTGGGCATTGATACAAATGATCCTTTAGAGTCCTCTGTGATGGAGTTATCTCCCTTACTGATTCCTTTGAATGGGACTGAAATAGAAAAAAACAACAAAAACATATAAAAATTAGAAAAAAAGTCTCAAGAAAGATGAAAATTAGGGTTTTTATTATATACTTTTGCTTGGCCTGAGCAACTTTTTATTGAAGGTATACAACTTATGTCTTGGAACTGAGAAGATTGATCCTTTCTTGAGGGTTTCCTGCTCAAATCTTTAAAAGTAACCAAAGCATGCCAAGGCTTTACTGGAAAGTTATTGGAGGAACAAAATGCATTTGAAATGACACTTGGGTGTTTTCTTGGTGGCTGCTTTATATTATGAGCTGGTGAAGAAATCACTGAGCTTTGCTTTGAAGATGCTCTGCTTACTGTCTCTTCAAAGATACTCCTGTACAAAGAGAGCACATGATGCTCACGATTGGCTACTTCTTCTTCAAGTAATTCTATCTCCGTGATAAGTTCCTTTGCCTTAAAATCATCCAAACACATAAAACAAAGTCTCACAAATTTGTATTTGCAAAAAAAAAAAAAAAGTAGGCTGGATTATAAACACAAAAGTAACCTGAGAAGAAAAATGTCTGTGTCCTGGAGATAAGCTGCTTGAAGCACGGCCCATTGCTTTCTCTAACACCATTCTCATAGATTTTTCTTGTTGTAGACGAAGATGAAGCTGCTCAACCTGTGTAGCAAATGTTCACAAACATGATGATGAATATTAAAAGATGATGAGACATGAAGAAAAGTCCTAAGGCTTACATCACGTTCCAGAGATGCTCTATCTTGTGAAGGCGCATGCTTTTTGATATATATTTGACGAGTATTCAGAGCTTTTTGTTTCTTGTTCTATAGACCAAAAAAAGAAAGATAAAGAAATCAACTTCAAAAGAATAAAATAATCTTTTAAGCAAAAAATAAAATAAAAAATCATATGAAATACAATTTCTAGGTCTTACTTGCATTCTAGGTAAGTGTTTTGCAAATGGTGAAGCTCCACCACTCGAAACTTGGAGATCTCGTTCTGATGATGCACTAGAAATATCACAAAACATAAACTACTTTAGGAGAAGAAACATTATAAACAAAATTAATCTCTAGATTAGGTTGTTGCATAAGAGTCTATACTTGGTGTACAAGAAACCTCGAGAATAACTTTTTAGACCTTAAAGAAAGATTAATCTCAACAACCCATTAACGAAGATTACATATAGATTTTAGTGTAGTCAAGATTGAGCTTAAACTATCGAAGGGAAGGGTACCTTTTGGACCGTCCATGTTTATGAGAATCCAGGCAATGCCAAGAATCTTCATTTTCTCTGTTTCTTCTCTGTGTTTTAACGTCTTTATTTAAACTGTAATCACCCATCTCAGTCAAAATGTTGATTAAATACTCAACAAAGCTTGAGAAATTGATAAAAGATCACTGGACAAAAAAAGAAATGAGTGTATGATGATGAACTATAACTAGAGAAGGTCCAGAAAGGAGTGAGTTCAAATTTGAAGAGAAGGAGAAAGAATGAAGAAGTAAATGCAGAGACGAGAAAATTGTAGGTTAACCCAAAAGAAAAGGGGACCCCAGGTTTGAGCAGGTTTTGCTTCCTGCAAAATATTTAATTCTCTTCACTTTATGGTTGTTGAATTGCATTCAATTCATTTTTTTTCAATCATTTTTTTTTAAATTCCTAAATCAGTTTTTCTCCTCTTTCGAGAAAAGAAAACAAACGACTTTTCAGATTATTTACTACTCGTAAAACAAAAAGGCGTTTCGAAATATTTGCTCTTACATAGATGTGGAAAACTCGCTTGAATAGTTATGTAAAAATACTGTTGACAACCCGCCAAAATGTAAGGGATGGTACTATAGTTAATGTTCTCCATGTCAGTACGAATAAATTGAGAATTTAATGTTCTGATAAAAAAATTCTTGTTTTTTTCCTCCTAATTTTGAAAAGTCCGTTAAATTTCATATTCAACATGACAAACTCTTTTCGGAATTTATTTTCCCACCAAACAAAAATTTAGCAGTGATTATTGAGAAAATGGTTCAGTGATGAATATTTTTCTTTTCAGAAGCAGGCCTTATATGGGCTTTTAGACTTGGGTAGGTCCAGTATCCAAGTTTTCGGGTCAGCCACACAGTTAGAAACCTCTCCTTGCTCCAGCTAGTGACATTAAGTTTAACTAGTTGCATACTCCCCGCCCAAGCGCCGAGCCAGAATCATTATGTTTGCGTATATTTTTTTCGATTTAGTGGTTTAGTGGATTCTTCTAATGACACCAAATAATAATGAAATTGAAAGAATATAGTAAGAGTGTAAAGTGAAAATATTGTATATCTAATGTGTTAAATATTATTTATATACGAAGTAAGGTTTATAGGAACACTTAGGTTGTAATATAATTTTTAGTGTGTAAAAGTAGGTGTCTATTTTTTTTTTGCTGTAAATAGTTTTTATATCGTATGTCAAAACTTGATATAATTTTGTATTTATATTTGTATTAAACGATTTATCAATTTAAAAATAACCTTAATTAAGTTAATATTCGTTGTTTAAGTTTCATTTGCTAGGTTTTTATATATGGTTTTTTGTAAGTTTGGGTTTTGTTCATAAATGATGTGGCATTTTTATATACGGCGTCATCGACTGTGGGAATCCATTCGCCGAAGTCTGGAGTAGGTGGTGAAGAATGTTTTCAATGAAATTATAGTAGTTATTAAAATGTAAGAGAAATTACATATTCATTTAATAAATAACGAAAAATACTTAAATTTTGTTGTTTATTTTATTTTATTTCACTTACAATTTTTTTGAAAATATATTTAGGAATGAGTTAAATGTTATTTATATGCGAAGTAAGGTTTATAGGAATAGTTAGGCTATAATATAGTTTTTAGTGTATAAAAGTAGGTGTTTTTTTTTGCTGTAAATAGTTTTTATATCGTAGGTGAAAACTTGATATAATTCTATATTTATAGTATTTATATTTGTATTAAACGATTTATCAATTTGAAAATGACCTTAATTAAGTTAATATTCGTTGTTTAAGTTTCATTAGATAGGTTTTTATATATGTTTTTTTGTAAGTTTGAGTTTTGTTCATAAATGATGTGGCCTTTTTATTTACGGCGTCATCGACTGTGGGAATCCATTTACCGGAGTCTGAAATCGGTGGTGAGGAATGTTTTCAATGAAATTATAGTAGTTATTAAAATGTAAGAGAAATTACATATTCATTAAATAAATAACCAAAATAATTATTTTTGTTGTTTTTTTATTTGATCTCACATACAAATTTTTTGAAAATATATATTAGGAAATATGTGCAATGATTTCACTTTTTGAGCACTTAGTCTATATTATTCAAGCCTCGTTAAGCCATCCACGTAGGTAGCCGCGTGGGATTCACTTTTTTTTTGGTCGGTTCGTTTTTGGATTCAATTTTTATTATTTTTGGATTGAACTATATTATAATAGGATAGATTTAAGGCTCTTTAAGCCATCTGCGTAGGCAACCGCGTGAGACTTGCTTTTTTTTTTGTTTTATTTATTGTTCGTTTTTGCATCCATTTTTAACTATATTTGGTTTGAACTCGTTAAGCTTTAGGGTTTATCCAACTATTTTGATTTTTAAAATAATAAGCCATAAAAAAAACATAAAAACCTTACAAACAAAAATCCCATATGATAATAACCCAAATAAAAAAATCAAAAATAAATGATGCCTACGTGGTTTGAACCCACGATCTTGCATGCTTAATTAGACACCTTATACCACTTGGCTAAAGTGTATTTCATTGTTTGTAATCATCTTACCAAGACTATAAGTTTTTTAAAAATACCTACAGGACTCATAAAACTGCTGACGTGGCGCGTTGTAGAGCTTAGAAAGTGTACTATTATAATATAGATTGGCAGATTATTAGCATAAACATTATTCTTCTTATCTAATCAAAAATTATCATAAAAACATTAAAAAAATGTTTACAAGATATTAATACTCTCCAAATATTTTTTTCCAATGCTATCATATGGAGTTTTGGTAGATCGTTTGAAATTAGCATATATAAATTTTTTAAAATAATTGTGTATAATTAATTTATTTTATATATTAATATATAAAACTATGTTTATAATAAAAAAATTATATTTTGAAAAATATGTGATTAAATATTTTAACTTTCTGAAAACATTATTTCACATTTAAAATATAATATAATTTATAATTACATATATCTTTAATTATTTTTAATAACAAAACCTAACATAATATTATTTATATAATATAAATATAAGCATATCTGTATTATTTAAAAATCAAAAAAATTATATGTCATATATTAATTTTATGCTAATTTTATATATGAATCATCTATGGCTTTACCTATAAAATATATATATATATTATATATAATTTATTTATTTTATTTAAGAATATATAAAAGTAAGTGTATATCCAAAATAAATTTTCTATTTTTAATTATTTTCTAATTTATTTTTTCTTAATAGTATTATTTATATTTAAATATAATATAATTTATATAATTAAATAATTATTATTATTCTAATACTAAATATATTATTAACATATATTATAAATATATATTATTTTAAAATAAATATATTATATATTAACTTTTATGATAATTTAAAAACTATATATTGCTACAGCTCTATCAATCATCTTATTAAATTTTTTAATGAAAGTATATAACTTCTATAATATTCTGTTATTGCAGTATATTGTTATTGCTGTAGCAGTTACTGATGTACCAATCGAGACTATAAACAAACATACAATACAAATCATAAACATATATACAGACTATACGTGTATTAAAATAGCTAGCATCATTTCTTTTACTTCCTAATTTTTTTATTAAACCAATATCTGGATTTCTTTTGTGTGAGGTATTAGCATTTTTTTTTTTTTCATAGTGCTCTAGTGTTAAATAGATTTTAACTTCTTTTTTTTGGTTATTTATTTACTTTGTTTGTAACTTCTAAAAATCTAGTCAACGTTTTGTCTGAAACGCGTGAAGGGGCTGTTACATACTTTAAAATGTAGATTGTGTAATTGATCTATTGGCTATATGAGATCAATCTTAGTTATTTGGTGAAATTTCGCAGATTTTTTATCAACATACATCCTAATGTAATCAGAAAACAAAATATTAAAAGTTATTCTTGGGTTTATCTTCTAGGTTCACTAATGATAGGGTTGTGTTATTACATATTTAATATCTTTTAAAAAGAAACCAAAATATTGTCAAATTATATTATATTTTTAAAATAAAATATTATCAAATTATATTATATTTTTAAATAAAAATGTAAAAATAAATAAAAATAGTAATAATTGTAAACAAAAAATATTTTATTTTAAAACATTTTTAACATCGCCAGCAAAATACTAAATCATAAATCCTAAACTCTAAACCTTGGATAAATCATAAACGATTGGATAAAACATAATTTGACAATATTCTGTTTTCTTTTTTAAAACATATTAAATATGTAATAATATAACTCTATTGGTTGGTAAACCCTAGTAAGTGAACCTAAAAATAAGTCAAATGTTAATTATCTTATCCAAGAGATAAGGGCACCCGCAACAAGGGGTCCTTAGGAAAAATCCTTAGGGAAAAAGAGTATTTCAGATTATATAAGGATATTTCAGATTTTTTCTTAAAAAAAAAAAACAGACCATTCGCGGGCCGCCACATGGGCAGTGGAGTCCACGAAAAGTGTAAGGATCAATCCTTAAATAGGGATTTTAAGGATAAAATCTTTAACTGTTCATGGAACCTACTGATTATAAAATTAATATTTCTCTAAGAATTCTCTATAAGGATCAATTGTTGCGGGTGTTCTAAGGTGAACCTAAAATTAAGTCAAATGTTAATTATCTTATCCAAGAGATTCATAATTATCTAACATACTGCACTTGGATAACTTTATAAAGTCAGTAAACCTAGAAACTGGCTTATAATGAACCAAAGGGCATGAACATATATAGGAAAAAAAGTCATTAATTTGTAAAGTTAAGTTATATGATCTTATCATGTTAAAAAGGGAAAGACAGGTAAACTGTATACTGTAAAGTAAACTTTAGAAATAAAGACAACCTGTATCCTTTAAAATTTTAAGATAAAAATGAGATTACATTCAATAGTAACAGCTAAATGGGACTAATGATATCAAGTAATTTATAAGTTTTTCCCCAAAAAAATCCCACAAATATGGACACATTCATTGACTGTAAAGTTAATAAGGAAATAAAAGGAAAAATCCACCTATGAATGATATACACCAAACATTTTCCGAGTGTATATATGAACACATAATAACAACATCAAAGAAAATATTAAAAGATTCTTACAATGTAAGTCCAGCCTGATAAATCTAATTCTTTGTAATAAAATCCAACCATATATGTAATAAACTGATATCATTTGTCTTTCTTTCTTCATCTCCGACCAGATCCTCTTGGTCATAAGAAAATCTTGTTCCAGTCATGACTCGGAGATGCTCTCACTGCAATCACGAGGGTCACAACTCTAGGGCATGTCCCAATCGTGGGGTGATGCTTTTTGGTGTAAGGCTAACCGAAGGTTCGGTCAGGAAAAGTGTTAGTATGGGTAATCTTAGCCATGGGCATGGGTCGGCTTCTCCTGGTGATGTCTCTGACCATGTTGCTGGTGATGGTTACGCTTCTGAGGATATCGTTGCTGGCTCTTCCTCTAACCGCGAGAGAAAGAAAGGTATCTATCTCTCTGATTCATATCCACTCTCTTATGGTTTATGGATCTGTTGGTTTGGTTTGGTTTGGTTTTGTAGGAATTCCATGGACCGAGGAAGAACATAGGCTGTTCTTGTCAGGTTTACGGAAGCTAGGTAAAGGCAATTGGAGAGACATTTCAAGAAGACATGTGACGACGAGGACACCAACACAAGTTGCTAGCCATGCTCAGAAGTATTTCATGAGACAATCCAATGTGTCACGCAAAAAAAGACGTTCTAGTGTCCTTGATATGGTTCCTGATGATGAGGTTATAAGTCCTTCATCCTAATCATCTTCTTAATCAGTCTCATTTACTTTGTACCAACATTAGTCGTTATATTACATAAAATATTCATTGGTAATAAAAATAATAGAGTCATTAAAATGATTATGTAACAATAGCATTATACTATTCCAAACAATATAAAACATCACAGCCCAAACACTCTGATGAATAGAGATCGGGCTGGTCTCGCATGAACTTGATCTTGAAATGCAAATCCTTTTATTTATTTTATTTTATTCTCATTACACTGTAATGTATCCTTGCAGGGAGGAGATATTCCAATGGTGGAAACAAAAATGCAAGGTGGTGATTCTGTTCATCAGACCCTTGCTCATACTTCAGTTCATGCACCATCCATCTTCGAAATCGAAGAACAAGAATCAATGGACTCAACAAACTTTACCGTTAAGGAACCAACAACCGTAACCACACTAGTGCGCTCACAATCTCAACCGCAACTACGTGGCTCGTTCCCGGTACAGTACCACTCACCACATTACCGTGTTGGTGGTGAACCAAGCAAGAAAGAGGAAAGTCATGAGATTCTCAGACCAACAGCAGTGCACTCGAAAGCTCCCATCAATGTAGAAGATCTTTTTGGTAGGACTACTCAGCTCAGCCTTGGAGAGCCAAAAGAGAAGGGAGAAACCGATTTGTCTCTTTCGCTGAAGCTGGGTGGAGGTATCAGAGACGAGACAGGCGGCGTTTCACCTGAATGAATCCTAGCTCTGATAGTTCAGACATGATGCATATGCGGTCTAAGGATTTGCGCAAGTGACTGTCTCTGGTTTTGGGGTTTTATTACATAATTCTTTGGTCATAGTAATACCTTAAATAAGTTTTGCATTGATATGTTTATTTAGGAGAGTAAAAAATAATTAAAAAGGGAAAACAATTTTTTTTTATTATATTGATCTTTGTATTTATATGCTTTATATTGCTTATAAGACTTTCTATTGCTATTATCTCAACCATTCTCCAGAGATTAAAATAATATAAACAAACCGAGAGAGAAGAAAAAATATAACCCAAGTTTTTAAGACGGGGTTCTTAGCAGAAGTTAAGAAACTGTTTCTTAACTTTTAATTAAGAACCGGTTCTTAAAGTTCTTATTTAAGAACCGGTTCTTAGCGTTTTTAGTTAAAAGTTAAGAAACAGTTTCTTAGCTTCTGCTAAGAACCCCACCTTAAGAACCGGGGTTAATCATGCTCAGAGATCTATGTTTGAGAGTTTCAAGTACTTTCTAAACATTTCAAAAAAACTGTTTTTTTATGGAAATAGCATCCAAATATTTTCCACAGTAATTGTTACTTTTAATTTTTAGTATTAAAACAAAAACAATTTATTATTTTATATAGATAATAGATTTTAGGTGAAGTTTTTTCTAATAATAAGATTTTTTTTTAGGAATTTGTTAATTTGAAGAGGTTTATTGGCCATGTGATTTGAGAGAATTTCAAATTTACGATGAAATGATCCCAAATCACTTTTTATTAAATTTTTGTTATTTGTAAAATCTATTCTAAATCTAAATTTATTAAAGTTATTATTTTTAACATTTTTAAAAATATTATAAAATTAAAAATTTAACCATAAGATATATCAGTTATAAAAATAATAGTTTATGGTTAAAATCTCATTACATACACATATATCTGGAGAATATGCTCTTGCTTGTTGTAATCAAACATCTTTCTTTTATCCTAGAGATTTTTTCCATACAGAAAATTTCATGATTTCCTTAAAATATAAGAATAATAAACTGTAACAAGAGACTAGAAAAAAAAAAAAGAAAATACCAAATCAATTTCCATTACAAAAAAGAGGAAAGCATTCGATAACAAAAGAGCTCGTTTATTTGTTCGTTACAAGAAAATAAGAATATTCTTATTTTTCCCGCCTTAAAGCAATCATACAAAAAGAAAAAGAAAAACAAAAAAAAAAAAGCTTAAGCTCGAGATCTCTCTCCCTTGCCGCGCTTCGAGTACCGATGCTTATCATCACTCACATCACTAACCACCACCGGTGGAGACCTCTCGTACCTCGACGGCTTCCTCTTGAAATGCCTATCTTCGTCGCTAGACTGATCATAATCCGCCACCTCCACCTCCACCTCCTTACGACTGTGACGGTGCACCGATGTCGCGACTGCCACAGGCGGCTGCTCCGTCACGGAAGCGGAAGAAGACGAAGACACTTTTCGCCTTTTGCTGGAAGTTTCTTCCTCCGGGAAGCTTATCCGAGCGAATACGCTCGACTTATTATCCATCTCTGATTTGGTTGCGGCTGGTTGCTCCGACGGTGGAGGTTCCGAACGTTTACGGTGGTGGTGGTGTTGGTTACGTTCGGAGTCGCGGTGGCTGTGGCGGTTGTCTCGGTTTCTGTCTTCATCGCGATGGTTGCGAGTGCGGTCGCGGTCTAGGTCTTGGTGACGGGAGGATCTTTGACGATCACGTTCCTCGGGATAGCGTTCGTGTTTTCTCTTGGAATCTCGAGATGGAGATTTGGACTTACGTGGAGGCGGATGATGATGCTCGGGAGATGATCTTTCCGGTCGTCTGCGGCGGTCGTACTCGTGATTCGGTGGTGGAGGTGCTTGTCGCTGTGAGAAACCAAAAATTAGATCAAATTAAATGAAAAAAAAAAAATCAAGATTGGGCTATACGGCCCACGGTTAACAAGTAATTGGGCTTTGTAATCCAAGTATCTTATGGGCTAAACCAAGATTCTTTACTTTTCTTCTAGCTATCTACCATTCTAATTGTTTTCTTTTTTTTGGTATTAAAATTGAATAATTCACTATGATTCAAATTTAAAAAAAAAATTTCACAAAATTAGGTTTAGTGCCAATATATATTTTTTTCTCATAGAAACACCACAATTTCTGTAATTTTTTTTTAAGTTTGGTGCTCAAACGAGGGAGGAACAAGAGCTCCATTTTTTTCTAATAATAATAAACCAATAGTAAATAAGAACTGGTAAACATAGAAAGGGAGAAAGATGAGACAACAAGAGGAAACATACAGATTTATTAGGGTTGATGGATGATGCAGAGGCTGAAGTCCCATTGTTCATCATCATTCTGCTATTCTCTCCATCTCTAAACATCTTTCCACTGTTACAGAAAACATATGTTTTATCAAGTTAATAACATATCCTTGTCTGAATGTGATAGTAAAAACATAGTTTATAGTTTTTCTTGTGATAGTACCCTTCGGTTCGTCTCTCGTTCTCCCGTTTTCTTAACATCTCAGCTTTCCGAGCTTCGACTTCGTCTCTGCCCATCATGACACGTTGGATATTCATACGGTTTCCCAACTCCGCCAAGTCCCTGCATTCACCACCAAAGTTTCATCATGAGATTATTAACAAGACTTCATTGTTTTTTTTACAAAAGTATCAAGTGAGTGTTGTTGTACCTGTGAGGTGGTGGTATATTAGGGAATCCAAATCCCTGTGCAGCAAATGGATCCGGATGCATCATATTCATACCCCTACCAAAAGCCATGTCCATCGGGTTTATTCCGTACCCCATAAATGGAGGCATCTGCCCCGGAAAAGGGCCTGGAAACCCATTGAAGCCGGGATGAAAGCCGTTGAAGCCGGGTTGCATGCCGTTGAAGAATTGGGGACCTGGACCTTGACCCATTTGCATCATATAGTCAGGGCCTGGTAGATCAGGTACATGATTCCATTGCATATCTACAACAAATCACACAAAAAAAAACGATCTTGTTACACTATTGGTTCGATTCACATAGGCTTGGAAGTTGAACATGACCGGACCTTAAGCATAAGAAAGAAAGCTTACCAGTTCCAGGCACTCTGAGTTTCTTTTTCTTCTTTTTAACTGCCAAGGGACAAAAAGCACAAAGACTATCAATCACTAAATTACTCATACAAATGTGTAAATCTATTGTTCATCAGTAATGAAAATATATAAAAAGACTCTAGATGAAAATAGTCAAACTTGCAAGGGAAAGTGAGCTTTCACTATCAGTCACACAAGTCATTCACAATGTACTTTAGAGTTACTATCAGGATTAAACATATCACTCTTTTACCTGGCTCTCCAGTAGCAGCAACCTGCTGCTGCACTTCTTCCTTGGGAGCTTGCGTATTCATCTTTGAGACCGTTGCTTCTTTCACAGCAACGGACCCTTGAGTGCTTTCACACGCATCCACCGGCTTTTCCACTTTATCTTCGGCAGATGCCCGAGGGGCACTTGTGATATCTGCAGTTTCCGTTGGCAGTTTCACTGTTGGAGCATCGTTGTTGTTACTATGAGCTTGTTTATTCTCGCCTTTAGATGCAGCAGATGTAGCAGGAGATCGACCCTTGGGAGGAGGACAGCGTGCAGACTCCAAATCTACATTACGACCATGATAATTTAGCAGTGACGAGAGATAAAACCAAGGTTAAAACACACATGTATTGAGATAATGACAGACCTGTGATATGGCCCACGCTGCCAGCATTCTCAACGCTATCGTTTCCGGCTTCCAAAATACGGTTTATGGTATCCCTGAGCGTCTTGTTTGGTAGAAGATCGTCAGCAAGTACATCAGTTTCTCCACAGACACACTTCGACTTTGCAATAATGTGATCTCTAATACCTAAATTGCATATAATCAAAGTAAAAAGGATAGTTATAAACTGGTAACAGTCAACAGAAGGCAGAGAAAAGGTATTGTGAGTACTTACACTTGTCACAGAAGCTCTGGAAACAACATTTGCTTGTAAGCGCAGCATCTTTCATTACTTCTTTGCATAGTGGACATTTTAGCTCAGGCGGAAGTTCTCCTACAGTGCGTGTTGTTGATGGCAATCCCTCCATTTCTTTCTCAAAAGCATCCCTGAAAACATTGAAGACACAATAAGCACTCACGTTATATTGAGAAAGTACCAAATAGCAACATTTACTGATTAAACACAACTTACTCATTTGGTTTAAGAACTGCAACTGCGCCACTTGGCAACGAATAAGAACCATCTGGGGTTGCCACCAACATGGACTTGGGGATACCAGTAGGTGGTTTAACTCTCTTAACATCGTAGGTAGGGTCACCATTTGTGGGGCAATGCTGAATTAAATGTCCTGATACAGTGAAAAAATGATCTTAGCAGCTTTATCTATTAACAAATATGTAAGAAAAATAAAGTATATCCAAGTAAAGCAAACATACCAGGGACATTGCAACGATGACAAATATATCCCGGAGGTGGTGTTTTCCTTTCCATTCCTGTCAAGTCAACAAACCAATCTCAGTATCTTACAACTTGATGTTAATAAAACAAAATAGAAATCTTAAGCAAAATAATGAAGACATTGTAGAATACAATAATAACAAAAAATATAAAAATTACCAAAACCACGTGCACCCATCCTTCCATTCATACCCCTTCCGTAACCTCTCCCGGCTCCAAAATTATCTTGACCTTGTCTGTTACATGGAATAAGAATAAGAGGGTTGATAAATGTCTACATACATCGCACGTCCACCATTTGTGAAAGATAGCTTACCTCTGCCAGTCAAGTGCTGGGGTATCAATCAACGCCTGAAGTTTGCTTTCTTCATCTACTTTCTCTTCTGTTGGTGCAAGAACAGGACATGGATTATTATGTTGAGCACTTTGAACAGCTGGAATGGAGTAAAAATCATTCCCGAACTCGTCGAACTCATCTTCAGGCTAGAAGGTGAAAGTGGATGAAAATTAGTACTTATGTAGCGATAAAAAAGGGGGTACTCAACGTAATCAACTTACATATTTCGATGCAGACGGTTCAGCAACATGAGAATTGCTGGTTTCAGCCTGAACATGTTCCACTTTATTCTCCATTCTAGGCCTGCAATGTTCAGATTATTACATTATTTCCAGTGTTTCTTCAAACTAATAGTCACGCTTTCAACTTATGTTGTAGCTAAACATATTTTTGTTGAGCTTAAGATATAATAGCTGATTAAGTGGACAAAGCAGATGGAAATCAAAAGATCTGAGAGAAAGTACTCTTGTGTAGCAATAACTGTGATGCGAGGGCGTCCTGGGACACGACGAATTAAGACAGATGTATTCTTAGGTATTAACATCGCTTCATCCAAATACTCTGAAAATTCAAAAACAGAGAAAAATATAAACTCCATAGAGTGCAAACATGTTGGCAACACACAATATACCAAACAACACAAAATCTATCCTAGTACTAGTAAACAACAGTTAGCTCAAAGACATGAACATCATATAAATCATCTCGTCACTAACTACCATAACAGCTAAAGCAAAACAATAGCACATAACACTTGATTTGGCAGCAAACAAAACTATATTTGAAAAGACATAAACAAAATCCAAAATACTGCAGCAAGACTCCAAACATCATAATGATCTGATATTTGATCAAGAAGAGATAGCAAGCCATAAACACACAGGACAACCAATACAGAATCTATCCTAATACTAAACCACAGTTAGCTCAAAGATAGGAACATCAAGTTGATTGTGTCAAAGTAGCAAAGGAACATCAAGTTGGTTGCAACCATATCGTCCACTTACTACCAAAGTAGCTAAAGCAAAAAAACAGCAGCACAACACTTGAAATAGAGTAACAAACCTTCGTTAGTTTGGGCATTGGAGAGGACAATATCAAGGTCTTTACCACTACCCAAATGCTTAGTTTCGAAAATTTTGTCTTTGAGAATACCAACTGATATAAAAGGACCATCCATGGCGATGGTATCATAATCCCTTGCACTCTTAAACTTGTAATAAATTGCCATTGAATTTTTTTTTTATCTGAATAATAAAACAAAATACATATGTAAAGACCTTAATAAAGACACAAACACAAAGCTACTGTGTTTTGAAAACCCTAATCAAAGGCCTTCGGTTTATTAAAAAAAATAAAAAATTGAAATCGAGAGGCCAATGATTTTGATTTCCAAAACAAAACCTAAATACAATTAAAAAAGAAACCCTAAAGTTTCAATTTTTACTTCGATGATTCGACTTCTGAGACGAAACCCTCCTCGCTAGCACGCCCAAATCTACAAATCTAGGAGTAGATCGCAGGGGGGAAGAGCTGTGATTGCGCCGTGGATACCTACAAACCTCCTCGGAGGATCTTCAAAGCCGAAAACGAGAACCGTTGCTTCAGTCCATGAGATCCGAATTCGAGAGACCCCTTGATTGAATCTAGAGCTACTCGATTGAATCTGGGGGTGATTGAAGACGATCTAGAGAATCGTCGTGGAGATAGAGCTGTGCGGTGGTGTCCTGAAGAGAAGCAGGTGGATCGATCTTGAAATCTAGGGTTTGGAGACTATAGAGAGCTCTCTCTCTCCCCTGTATCGCGTGTCCTGAGGAATTTATCTTTAATAGTTATTAATGAAAATTAACTTAATCTTTAAAGCCATGTATGCTATTTATAGTGGGAATATGAACAAAAACACGGTTTCTTTTCTTCAAAAAAACATTAAATTTCCTAAATTCATTTTGAGTTTGTTATTTACATATTTTCTCAGCCATTTTCAATACTTTGATTTACTTGTGGAAAAAGTAATTGAGTTACAGAAGAATTATTAATATCACAAAAAATTAAAATATCTAGAATGAAAACTATAATATAGTACTTTTCTTATATGATTGGACAAATTTTATATTTTGACAAAATAAAAAAAATTATATAGATGAAAATATTATATACGCTATTTAATCTATTCTTTTTAATATAGTTCTCTTATATGATTGGAAAATTTTGATTTAATGACAAAATACACATTAATATTATATACACTATTTAATCTATTAATTTTAAAATAATTATTATTTAGTTTATTTTTCCTAATGTTTATTATAATAATTATCATTTCTAATATTCTAAAATCCACTACTGTGTAGTTTTATTTATTACAGAATATTTTATCATTTCAAATTATGTGTATTTCTTTACATGTTAAAGTGTTATTATCATAATTAAATAATATGAAAATTTTGCTTCCACAAATAATATACTAGATACTTGTTTTTTATTTAGTGAATTTTATACTTTTTCCATCTAAAACATTAAAAATTATTTTGTAAATTTTGTTGATTGCTAATCACTTATGAAATTGTGTTTATAAACGCAGTTTTCAATTCTACAAATTACTAATCAGGACCGATATTTATTTCTAATAAGAAATTCCAGTTCTCTAATTACTTTTTGCAACATTAAAATAATCATGTCAAAAATTGCATAGGATCTTTTACTATTTGTAATTTTGCTAGTGAACATGCCACTGGTGAAGTAGTACGGGATATAATTAAGAATTCAAAGATCAATTTTTAAACAAAAGCCAATACCAACAATAAATAATCAAGATTTCTGTGTGAAAGATTCAATCAAAATATCAACCGTAAATTTAATAACCAGGCCTACATTCAATGGCTTTTAACCTGTAAAAGAAGATAGTTTCAGTTGCTTTTACGGTCTTAACATGAGGAGAGGCCATTAAACTTGGAAAGTAACCTTAGCACAGTCCTCTCAGCAATCATAGGTTCCAATCGGTGATAGGTAAACAGTACAATGGTAGCCATTTAAAAGAAATAGATGATATATGTAGAGTCAAGTCAATACACAGATCATCAGATCAGAATAACAAATGGAAACGAAATTTTTATAGAAGCGATGGCTTCAAAATGAATGAAAATATTATGTCCACTTTACAGTCAATGTTACTGATGATAACTCATGCTTTATTTTGTTCGACCAGAAAAAAAAAAGATGTAGTGTGGGACGGATAGCGGTGATGTTCATAGGACTGTACCTTGTGTCATGGCCTAAAAGGCAAAAAAGAAGGATTCTCACAAGAGTTTGACACTAAAAATCTCTTTATCATATGATTTTTTTTTTTGGAAAAGCTTGAAACTGCAGCCATTCGTTTTTGCAAATCGTCTACATTCACATATATACTGCATTCAAATCAATTATAACCTTTTTTGGCAACAAACCAATTATAAGTTTATATATCTAGTCAACATATTAAACTGAAAATATATTTTTATATTTATCATATTAAAACAGAAACATTGTATTGGATTTAATCTATATTTTGTTAGTTTTTAAATTAAATATACATTTCTACTTTATAATTAAACTTATACTAAATCACTAATATTCTTTTCTTTTTATTACTACACATGTTTTCAAACAATATATTTCTTTCTTTATACTACTATTAAAACACAAAACATTGTATTGCACTTAACTTTTATTTTATAGGTTTTTAAATTAAATACACATTTCTACTTTATAGTTGAACTTACATTAAATCACTAATATTTTTTTCTTTTTACTACTATACATATTTTCAAACAATATACTCTTTTCTTTATACTACTACCAATATTTTCCAAACAATGTGTCCAAATAATACAAAATATTAATTCTCATCTTTTTAATAATTTCTAACAATTTTCTTCCAAGTTATTTAGATAAAAATTAAAATAATTTATAAATAACAAAAAAATAAATAGAACTTACTTGTACATATGGAAAAAAAAATTATATTGATTTGTTATTTTGACATAAAAAAATTTACATTTACCTTAAACCTCCACAAAATACTAGAAATGCACAATTTTGTTACGGTCGAGTTACAAAGTTAGAATTTGTGTGTTGGTATAATAACGTTACAGAAAAGGATATATAAAGTAAGTGATGTGGTCAACCATAGATACGTTGAAAATAAACAAAGTTGAGTCCATTCAATACATATTTAAAGGGTAATTTCGGAAAAGAAAAAAACAAAAGAATCTCTCTCTCTTTCTCTCTCTCTTTCGATCTCGAAGATTTTCACCGACTAATCGGAGTTTGGATCCGGAGATCCACCAAGGAACCGATCTGTAAATGTCACTCTGCTCCAATTGATTTCCATCTTCTATATCTCTCTACTTCGTTTCCGCAACTGATCCTCTCGCGAAAAACTTGCAGATCCGTCGATCACTCGCGTAGATTCTGTGTGGTGGGGGTTTTAGGTTTAGGTTTAGGGTTTTGATCTCAATTTCAAAATTGCGATCGTAATTTTCAAATTCTGATCCTGATTTCAAATTGCGATGGCTTCAAATCCTCAGTTTCTGCTGGATGATCAAACGGACGAGGATTTCTTCGACAAACTTGTTGACGATGATGATGATGATTCCTATCCTCCCAACGTTTCATCTTCTGCTAAAGAGGTGAAATTCGAGAGTGACTCCGATGATGACGCTAAAGCGTTTGCGAGTCTCTCTCTGGGTGATGGAGATGATGGGGGATTGAATGAATCAGTAGACGCAGGGAAGGATGTTGCAATCGAGGGTGGAAGTGGTGAGCGTTCATTCATTCCTGTGGAAGAAGCTGTTAGAAACGAGGGTCTAAGTAGTTCGCTGGGAAAGGAGGAGCCTTTATCAGTTCCTGTGAAAGAAGCTGTCAATAGTGATGCAAATAAGTTAGGCGATGATGTGGTGGTGAAATCGGAAGATAAGGCGTTATTATCTGAAACAGTGAAAGAAAGTGGGAGTCCTGGGGTTAAGGAGGTTGATTGGGGCTCTTTTTGTGCTGATTCATCTGTGAATCACGGCGCCTTTGGTTCATACTCTGACTTCTTCACAGAGTTGGAGGGGTCTACAGTAGATGTGGCAAATGCGGGAAACATTTTATCTAATGATACACAAAACGCAAGTTTTGGTTTTGAGCAACATCAGGGTGAAGTTAATCATGATTCTACAAGTGGGCAGTACGTTGATAACAGTCAAGATTGGGAAAATAGCTATCCTGGATGGAAATATGATGCTAATACTGGCCAGTGGTATCAAGTTGATGGCCATGATGATGCAAGTATGAATGCACATGAAAGCTCTATATCCTCAACGAGTAACTGGGAGAGCGGCGTTGCTTCTACTGATAACTCCAATGTTGCTTATATGAAACAGAGTACAACATCTGCAGTGGCTGGCACAGCTGAGAGTGTGTCTACTTGGAACCAGGTTTCAGAAGTGGGAAATGGATATCCAGAACACATGGTCTTTGACGCACAGTATCCCGGGTGGTACTATGACACCATTGCTCAAGAATGGCGCTCCCTGGACAGCTACAACCAGGTTTCTCAAGCAACTGGAACTGGTCAAGCTCAGAACGGCCATGCTCTTGGAGCTATGTATCACAATAATACCGAGGGTAACATTTATAACATTAATGGTACAAGCCAGGCGCAAGACTTTGGTATACAGAACCAACAGGGAAGCTGGGACAAATCTTACAATGCCAACAATCAGCAGCAGGCTACAAGCACATGGCAATCAGAAAATGGAGGTAATAATGAGGCATCTGTCTCATTTTCACACTTCGGAGGAAACCAGCAAATAAATAGTTTGTACAGTACGGAATCTATGGCTGAACAGTTTAAGCCAAATGAGAATGGAACTCAAGGCTTCATCCCTCAGCATATGAATGTGGCTGAACAGTTTAAGCCAAATGGGAATGGAACTCAAGGCTTCATCCCTCAGCATATGAATGTGGCTGAACAGTTTAAGCCAAATGAGAATGGAGCTCAAGGCTTCATCCCTCAGCATGTGAATGTGGCTAGTGTCACGCAGCATGGACCACTGAGTTTCTCAAACAATTTCTATAATAGACAGAACTCCGTAGATGAGTCTCAGCAGTCATATCAGAGCAAACAGCTTTTCTCCCCAAGTGTAGGAAGATCACCTGATGGGCGTCCACCACATCCACTTGTGAGTTTTGGCTTTGGTGGGAAGCTCATTGTTATGAAGGATAACGGCTCTCTCCAGAATTCATCATTCGGAAGTCAGGTTAGTCATGAAGTTTCCATTAATTTTTTACACCCTCTGCGAACTATTGCAGGAGTGTCACTATTTTATATATGATATATACATTATTATAACCTCCCTCAATAGTGAACTTCAGTTCTTACTTAACTTCTAATCTTTTTCTGTTTGATTTAAAGGGGGCTGGGGGAAGCTCTATATCTGTCCTAAACTTGGCGGAAGTTACTTCTGGGAGTGCTTCTTTTTCAAGTCTTGGGGAAGACTCTTCGAGTTATTTTCGTTCTCTGCATCAACAATGTCTTCCAGGTCCCTTGGTTGGAGGAAGTGTTGGAAGTAAAGACTTAAATAAGTGGCTTGATGAGAGTATTTTAAATTGTGAATCTTCTGCAATGGACTTTTCAAGAGGGAAGCTTTTAAAAATGCTTCTTTCTTTGCTTAGAATATCTTGTCAGTATTATGGGAAACTCCGGTCTCCTTTTGGGACTGATACAACGCAAAAGGTAGGCAGTTATGGAAATCTCTGGTCAGTACGCTTCTTAAGGACACGTCTATATGTGTTACAGTTTTCTCATCCTTGTATTTATGCTGCAAACAGGAAACGGATTCTGCTGAAGCAGCAGTCGCGAAACTTTTTGCATTTGCCAAGCAAAATGGCGTTCAAAATGGTGGCTATGCTCCTTTAAGCCAATGCTTGCAGCAATTACCTCCTGAATCACAAATGCAAGTGAGTATTCAACATCTTAGGACATTCTCTATCAGAGGGAAAAAGGTTCTAAAATAGTCGATTGTTTTTCTTTTTTGCTTATTGACTCATTTGGAAGAATTTCCTAGGTAACTGCTTCTGAGGTGCAAAATCTTCTGGCTTCTGGTAGGAAAATGGAGGCTCTGCAATGTGCACAAGAAGGCCATTTGTGGGGACCAGCGCTTGTTATCGCAGCACAGCTTGGGGATCAGGTTCACTTCCCTTGGATACTATAGATCTAGACCGGCTATTGTTATGGTTGTATGACTGACTTCGTTGTTCCATGTCGTAAATTGTTGCAGTTCTATACTGATACTGTGAAACAAATGGCCCTTCGCCAGCTGGTTCCTGGGTCACCTTTGCGAACATTGTGCTTGCTGGTTGCGGGGCAACCCGCTGAAGTGTTCTCAAATAGCAGTACAAGCGGTATCAATTTTCCAGGTTCCGTAAGTGCGCCTCAACATCAAACCCAGGTAATACGGTAACAGTATATTTCTAATCAGTCCAGACAATGTGATAGATGAAAAGAGTTAGAAGAAGTTTAGAAATGCGACGCCAGAATTTTAGAAGTTCAATGAAAACCGATCCTTTTGTTCCTTAGGGAAAATCAGAGATAGCATACCGCCTACTGCCGTCCAAGAGCTTATTAAATGCTCAAAGCCCCAAAATCCAAATTAGGATAAACAGAATCGTAACCCCTCTGCTCTCTCGTGATGAAGATACAGAATCAACCATGTATCTTCACCAAATCATTGCTAAATAACATTTACCATGATATAAATAGATTGTGGAAATACTCTCTAGTACGAGATATTTTCTCTACCACAAGGAACTAGTTTACTTCTCCATTGAATAGGACGCAGTTTAGTTCTGCATGGGGAGTTAGCTAATAGTCTCTTTGTTTCTTTGAATTACAGTTTGGAAGTAGTAGCATGCTTGATAATTGGGAAGAAAATTTGGGTATAATAACTGCTAACAGAACCACAGATGATGAGCTTGTGATTACTCATCTTGGAGACTGCATGTGGAAAGAAAGGAGCGAGGTGATTCTCTGCCATTTTGTTTTCTTTTGTTTAACTTACTCTATAATGACATTTTAATTGCTATTATGAATCAGATAATAGCAGCGCATATTTGCTATTTAATTGCGGATAAGAACTTTGATCCATACTCAGATACTGCCAGGCTCTGCCTTGTCGGAGCAGATCATTGGAAATATCCTAGAACTTATGCAAGTCCGGAGGCTATACAGGTATTTTTTCGCTTTGGTTTTAGTTAGCCGGGATATCTGCTTTTAGCATATCATAAGTAGTCTGATAGCTCCTCAGTCTGTTGTGATATATTCCTTATTTTTTGGTTGATCTTTACATGGGCAGAGAACAGAGTTATACGAATACTCTAAGACGCTGGGAAACTCTCAGTATATCCTGTTACCGTTTCAACCATATAAAATCATATATGCCCATATGCTGGCTGAAGTTGGCAAACTTTCTGCCGCACAGAAGTAAGAAGATTCACATGCCACCAAATTTTCCTTGTTTAGACTGTATATGGCTTCCTGATGTCGCTGTTCTGTTGGCTGAATCAGGTACTGTCAAGCAGTATCGAAGTGTCTCAAGACTGGCCGATCAACTGAAGTGGAATTATGGAAACAATGTGCTTCATCACTGGAAGAGAGAATCCGTTTCCACCAACAGGTACAGCCCACGACAACTTCTGTTTCCAATAGAATTACATGGAACTGTTGGGTTTTGTCGGTGGATTTAGATCTGTTAGCTGTCTAACTCATTTGATTAAAAATGTGAAAAAGAGAGACCCAGCCTGATGGACATCCATAAAAATTGAAACGATTAGCATATAAGAGACCCATCTTGCTCTTTTCTCCAATGATCCAACATAACCAGATATTCCTATTTCAGGGCGGGTATACTGTGAATTCTTCCCCAGCAAAAATTGTCGGAAAATTTCTTAACTTTATTGATAGTACAGCAAATCGTGTTGTTGGAGGCATGCCACCACCTGCACCTCATTCAACAACAGGAAACTTACGGGCAAATGAGTATCAGCATCATCAACAGCAAGAGGCGACTAAGTTACCATATAGTCAATCTGCTAATACAATGCAATCATTGACGTCACATGCCTCAATGGAACCAATACGTGAGTGGGGTGGCGACTCAAGGACGATGGCAGCACATTCTAGAAGTGTCTCAGAGCCAGATTTCGGTAGGACGCCAATACAGGTCGATATCACTAGAAAAACATTTCTTTTAATTTACTTTTCTCTTATTGTTTGATATCTGGTTTGCCGCGTTGCACGGATTTATCCTGAGGGTAAATAGGTACTTGCTTTATATTTTATAGGATCAGCCTGACACCTCAAAAGACAAAGCTACTGATGGGGGAACACAGGTGAAATCAAATGTGACAAGTTCGCGCTTCAGCTTTGGTTTTGGCATACTGAAGAACACCGTAAGGAAGGTCTTACCATCTGGGTCATCTAAAGAGGTGCACCTTAATAAAATGTTTTTAGGTCGTGATGATGGTTTTCTTGAACTTATTCTAATTTTGAGTCATTCTTTGTATTAAGGCAAAACTGGGTGATGAGAATCAATTTTACTATGACGAAAAACTAAAAAGATGGGTGGAGAAAGGTGTAGAACCCCCAGCTGAGGAAGCTGCATTGCCTCCTCCTCCAACAGTAGGCACATACAGAAGCAACTCACTGGGTTATGAAAACAAACCTGACATGATGAACGAGATGTCTCCACCTAGTGGGAGCTTGACGGGAATCCCACCAGTCTCACAGGGCTCGAATCCATTCTCAGCTCGTACACGTTCAAGGTAAACAAACCACTTATGAGGCTTTAGAATTATTATTATGCGCAGGCTATCCTGGATCACAAATCATGAGCGTAGTAGTTGTAGTGTCACATTAGAATGACTTTCAGGAGTGTATAAAAATATAAGCCTTAAAGGTGAAGCTCTGAGTGCGAAATGGGCGTATTTTTCCTGATTGTAGTTTTCGGTTCCAACTGTTAGCGATAATACTCCACTGGATTGACAGAAAAGCTGCTGTAATCACAGATTGCCTTTGTTAATGTATTACAGTAGATAATGTGCCTGATAAGAGTTGAATCTTTGTTACTCTCTTTAGGAGCAGATACGTAGACACCTATAATCCAGGCGGTGGAAACACGCAGACAATGTTTCAGTCAGCTCATGCAAAATCTGCTAAACCACCAATTCCTGCAAAAGCAAATTTCTTCATCCCAGCAGCACCTGCATCATCATCAACTTCAAACGACCAGGTAGCCGAGATGGCTGCTGCTGAAACCAGACAGGAGTACTCAGCAGAAGAAGAAGAACTAGCCATCTCTGCAGGGGCTCCAACACCATCACCACCACCAAGCCATTCTTCATTCCAGTCCTCAACACCATCTCCAATGACAATGGAGAGATTTCCAAGTCTAGATAACATCAGAAGAAGTGGATCAGGAACGAGTCTTGGTGGTGATTTTCCTCCGTCAGATTCAAGAAGAACTGCTTCATGGAGCGGAAGTTTGAATAGCTCGTTTACATCTCCAACGGGTCCATCAAACCTCAGACCAAGCCCACTCAACGGTAGCAGCAGCAGCCTAGGAGAGGAGCTTCAAGAAGTGGAACTGTAAGAGTTAGAATCTGTAATATCAAAAAAGTTTTGCTCACTGTGACAGGTAGTCCAACCAAATGTTACTCCATGAGTTTAGACAATACATAAAAATTATAGGGGGCAATATGTGTATGCAGTTTGCATTGATTGTCTTTTTACATTACAAATCATCAGTTTTTCTTGTTTAACAGACTTTCAGGAGTTATACAATTATACACATTAATGTTCTGTTCACGAGTAGGGGTGTTTAATCATCAAACTTGTACACCATGTGTTTATTTGTTAAGTCTCATAAGTCACTTCTTTAGTATCATCAAGTTTACAAAGTACAAGCAAAGTAAAACCATGTAGACATGCCCTTGCCATCAAGAAGAGGAGCAAACTATAAGCCACAGGAAACTGGTAACTTTCACAAAGTATTTGGTCAGTGAATCTCATGTAGGATTTCTTCGATAAGTTTTTGTTCTCTTACACATAGAAAGTACTAAAATAAAAAGAAATTCTAAAATCAATTATATTTAATTTTTATAATCATATCTAAAACTAAACCTAATTATTAAGTGTATCCAATTTTGTTTTTGTTTTTGCCAAATCTTTTGAAATAAACATATAAAAGAAAATTATTTTTTGTTAAATTTAAAATAAACTGAAAACAATGAAGCAAATATACATAAGTAAAACAAATCAGCAAATACAATCTTAGTTATAATATTTTTGTCAACATTGTCATACTCATTCAATACATATTTTTTCAACACTCATTCAATACATATAAAACGGTACATTCCGAAAAAAAAAAGTCTCTCTCTCTCTCGAGCTCGAAGATTTTCACCGACTAATCGGAGCCTGGATCCGGAGATCCACCGAGTAATAAACACTTGTTGATATTCGATTCAATCTGTAGATAACACACTCTCCTCCAATTTGATCTCTCATCGCCTACGACTCCTACTTAGTTTCTGCAACTGATCGATCCTCTCTTTGCTGCAGATCCGTCGATCAGTTTCTAGGTTTTAGGGATTTTGATCTCTCGATTTTAAATTGCGATGGCGTCTTCAAACCCTAAGTTTGTACTTGATGATCAAACGGAGGACGACGAGGATTTCTTCGATAAGCTTGTTGATGATTCCTATTCTCCCACCCAAGCTCAAGCTCAAGCTGCTTCATCTTCGGCTGTTAACGAAGGGAGTGACTCCGATGATGCCGCGAAAGCGTTTGCGAATCTTTCTTTGGGGGATGGAGATGGGGAATTGAATGAATCAGAAGAGCCGGGGACAAGTAGTTCGCTGGTAAAGGAAGAGAAGACTAGTTCATCCGTTACTCTCGAGGAAGAAGTTAAGTTAAGTGGTGATGTTGTGGTGAGATCGGAGGTGGAGGAGGATAAGCAGTTATTATCTGAAACAGTGAAGGAAAGTGGGAGTCCTGGGGTTAAGGAGGTTGATTGGGGCTCTTTTTATGCTGATTCATCTGTGAATGATCATGTTGGCGGTGGCTTTGGTTCGTACTCTGACTTCTTCACAGAGTTGGAGGGATCATCTACAGGGGAGGTAGATGTGGTCAATGCAGGAAACTTGGTATCCACTGATAAGAAAAACGCAAGTTTTGGTTTTGATAGTTCGGCAGGTTATCAGGGTGAAGTGAGTCAAGATTCTACAAGTGAGCAGTACGTGGATAACAGTCAAGCTTGGGAGAATAGCTATCCTGGATGGAAATATGATGCTAATACTGGCCAGTGGTATCAAGTTGATGCAAGTGTGACTTCACATGAGGGGTATATAAACTCAACGAGTAACTGGGAAAGCGGAGGCGTTACTGCCTCTACTGATAACTCAGATGTCGCTTATTTGAGGCAGAGTACAACATCTGCAGTGGCTGGCACAGCTGAGAGTGTGTCTACTTGGAACCAGGTTTCAGAAGTGGGAAATGGATATCCAGAACATATGGTCTTTGACGCACAGTATCCAGGGTGGTACTATGACACCATTGCTCAAGAATGGCGCTCCCTCGACAGCTATAACCAGGTTTCTCAAGCAACTGGAACTGGTCAAGCTCATGATCAGCAAGCTCAGAACGTCCATGCTCTTGGAGCTATGTATCACAACAATTCCGAGAGTAACATTTATAATGTTAATGGTAAAAGCCAGGCGCAAGACATTGGTATGCAGAACCAACAGGGAAGTTGGGACCAATCTTACTATGCCAATAATCAGCAGCAGCCTACTAACACGTCTGTAACTTCTGTCTCATTTTCACATTTCGGAGGAAACCAGCAAGTAAATAGTTTGTACAGTACGGAACCTGTGGCTGGACAGTTTAAGGCAAATGAAAATAGAGCTCAAGGCTTCATCCCTCAGCATATGAATGTGGCTGAACAGTTTAAACCAAATGGAAATGGAGCTCAAGGCTTCATCCCTCAGCATATGAATGTGGCTGACCAGTTTAAACCAAATGGAAATGGAGCTCAAGGCTTCATCCCACAGCATATGAATGTGGCTGAACAGTTTAAGCCAAATGAGAATGGAGCTCAAGGCTTCACCCCTCAGCATATGAATGTGGCTAGTGTCACGCAGCATGGACCACAGAGTTTCTCAAACGATTTCTATAATAGACAGAACTCCGTAGATGATACTCAACAGTCATATCAGAGCAATCAGCTTTTCTCCCCAAGTGTAGGGAGATCACCTGATGGGCGTCCACCACATCCACTTGTGAGTTTTGGCTTTGGTGGGAAGCTCATTGTTATGAAGGATAGTAACGCCTCTCTCCAGAATTCATCATTCGGAAGTCAGGTTAGTCATGAAGTTTCCATTAGTTTTTTACGCCCTGGGAAGTTTCTGCGAACTATTGCAGGAGTATCACTATTTTATATATTATTACAACCTCAATAGTGAACTTCAGTTCTTGCTTAACTTCTAATATTTTTCTGTTTGATTTAAAGGGGGCTGGGGGAAGCTCTATATCTGTTCTAAACTTGGCGGAAGTTACTTCTGGGAGTGCTTCTTTTTCAAGTCTTGGGGAAGACTCTTCGAGTTATTTTCGTTCTCTGCATCAACAATGTCTTCCAGGTCCCTTGGTTGGAGGAAGTGTTGGAAGTAAAGACTTAAATAAGTGGTTTGATGAGAGAATTTTGCATTGTGAATCATCTGGCATGGACTTTTCAAGAGGGAAGCTTTTAAAAATGCTTCTTTCTTTGCTTAGAATATCTTGTCAGTATTATGGGAAACTCCGGTCTCCTTTTGGGACTGATACAACGCAAAAGGTGAGCAGTTATGAAAATTTCTGGTCAGTACGCTTCTTAAGGACACGTCTATATGTGTTACAGTTTTCTCATCCTTGTATCTATGCTGCAAACAGGAAACGGATTCTGCTGAAGCAGCAGTCGCGAAACTTTTTGCATTTGCCAAGCAAAATGGCGTTCAAAATGGTGGCTATGCTCCTTTAAGCCAATGCTTGCAGCAATTACCTCCTGAATCACAAATGCAAGTGAGTATTCAACATCTTAGGACATTTCTCTATCAGAGGGAAAAGGTTCTAAAATAGTCGATTGTTTTTCTTTTTGCTTATTGACTCATTTGGAAGAATTTCCTAGGTAACTGCTTCTGAGGTGCAAAATCTTCTGGCTTCTGGTAGGAAAATGGAGGCTCTGCAATGTGCACAAGAAGGCCATTTGTGGGGACCAGCGCTTGTTATCGCAGCACAGCTTGGGGATCAGGTTCCTTTCCCTTGGATACTATAGATCTAGACCGTCTATTGTTGTGGTTGTATGACTGACTTCGTTGTTCCATGTCGTAAATTGTTGCAGTTCTATACTGATACTGTGAAACAAATGGCCCTTCGCCAGCTGGTTCCTGGGTCACCTTTGCGAACATTGTGCTTGCTGGTTGCGGGGCAACCCGCTGAAGTGTTCTCAAATAGCAGTACAAGCGGTATCAGTTTTCCAGGTTCCGTAAGTGCGCCTCAACATCAAACCCAGGTAATACGGTAACAGTCTATTTCTTATCAGTCCAGACAATTTGATAGATTAAAGAGTTAGAAGTTCGCTAATAGTCTCCTTTTTTTTCTTTGAATTGCAGTTTGAAAGTAGTAGCATGCTGGATAATTGGGAAGAAAATTTGGGTATAATAACTGCCAACAGAACGACAGATGATGAGCTTGTTATTACTCATCTTGGAGATTGCATGTGGAAAGAAAGGAGCGAGGTGGTTCTCTGCCATTTTGTTCTATCTAACTTCTTTGAAGACTTTATCATGACATTTGAACTGCTATTATGGATCAGATAATTGCGGCGCATATTTGCTATTTAATCGCGGATAAGAACTTTGATCCATACTCAGATAGTGCCAGGCTCTGCCTTGTCGGAGCAGATCACTGGAAATATCCTAGAACTTATGCAAGTCCGGAGGCTATACAGGTATTTTTTCGCTTTGGTTTTAGTTAGCCGGGATATTCTACTTTTAGCATATCATAAGTAGTCTGATAGTTTCTCAATCGGTTTTGATATTTTCATTATTTTTTTGTTTATCTTTACATGGGCAGAGAACAGAGTTATACGAATACTCTAAGACGCTGGGAAACTCTCAGTATATCCTGTTACCGTTTCAACCATATAAAATCATATATGCCCATATTTTGGCTGAAGTTGGCAAACTTTCGGCCGCACAGAAGTAAGAAGATTGACTTGCCACCAAATTTTCCTTGATTAGACTGTATATGGCTTCTTGATGTCGCTGTTCTGTTGGCTGAATCAGGTACTGTCAAGCAGTATCGAAGTGTCTCAAGACTGGCCGATCAACGGAAGTGGAAACATGGAAACAGTTTGTTTCATCACTGGAAGAGAGAATCCGTTTCCACCAACAGGTACAGCCCACAACAACTTCTGTTTCCAATAGAATTGCATGGAACTGTTGGTTTTGTCGGTGGATTTAGAGCTGTTAGCTGTCTATTTCAAAATGTGAAAGAGAAAAAAAGACCCAGCCTGATGGACATCCGTAATGATCCAACTTAACTGGACATTCTTATTTCAGGGCGGGTATACTGTGGCCCCAGCAAAACTTGTTGGAAAACTTCTCAACTTTTTTGATAGTACAGCACATCGTGTTGTTGGGGGCATGCCACCACCTGCACCTCATTCAACATCAGGAAACCTACATCCAAATGAGTACCATCATCAACAGCAGGAGGCGACTAAGTTACCCTATAGCCAATCTGCTACTACAATGCAAGCATTGACGTCACATGCCTCAATGGAACCAATACGAGAGTGGGGTGGGAACTCAAGGACGATGGCAGCACATTCTAGAAGTGTCTCAGAGCCAGATTTCGGTAGGACGCCAATACAGGTCAATATCACTAGAAAATCATTTCGTTTTTGTTTCTTTTTCTGTTATTACCTGATGTCTGGTTTGAGGCAGCGCAGGGATTTATCCTGAGAGTAAGTAGGTACTTGGCACGCAAGTACACCCTCGGATAAATCTATGGACCAGAGCCTAGGGTCGACACATGCAGGATCTAGAAAACCATTGCTTACTTGCTTTTTTTTTAATAGGATCAGCCTGACTCCTCCAAAGACAAAGCTACTGATGGGGTGACACCGGTGAAATCAACCGTGAATGTGACAAGTTCGCGGTTTAGCTTTGGTTTTGGCATACTGAAGAACACCGTAAGAAGAGTCTTACCATCTCGGCCATCTAAAGAGGTGCACCTTAATAAATGTTTTAAGTCGTGATGATGGTTTTCTCGAACTCATTCTAATTTTGGGTTATTCTTTTGAATGAAGGCAAAACTGGGTGATGAGAATCAATTTTATTATGACGAAAAATTAAAGAGATGGGTGGAGAAAGGTGTAGAACCCCCAGCTGAGGAAGCTGCATTGCCTCCTCCTCCAACAGTAGGCACATACAGAAGCAACTCACTGGGTTATGAAAACAAATCTGACATGAAGAACGAGATGTCTCCACCTAGTGGGAGCTTGACGGGAATCCCACCAGTCTCACAGGGCTCGAATCCATTCTCAGCTCGTACACGTTCAAGGTAAACACACCACTTGTGAGGCTTTAGAATTATTATTATGTGCTGGCTATTCTGGATCATAAATCATGAGCGTAGTAGTTGTAGTGTCACATTAGAATGACTTTCAGGAGTGTATAAAAAATATAAGCCAACGACTGTATTAAAGGTGAAGCTTTGAGTGTGAAATGGGCGTATAACTGTTAGCTATAATACTCCATAGTTGAGTCTGATAGATTGTCAGAAAAGCTGCTGTAATCACATATTGCTTTTGTTAATGTATTACAGTAGATAATGTGCCTGATTAGAGTTGAATCCTTTTTACTCTCTTTAGGAGCAGATACGTGGACACCTATAATCCAGGCGGTGGAAACACTCAGACAATGTTTCAGTCAGCTCATGCAAAATCTGCTAAGCCACCAATCCCTGCAAAAGCAAATTTCTTCATCCCAGCAGCACCTGCATCATCATCATCATCAACTTCAAACGACCAGGTAACCGAGATGGCTGCTGCTGAAACCAGACAAGAGTACTCAGCAGAAGAAGAAGTAGCCGTCTCTGAAGGGTCTCCAACACCAAGCCACTCTTCATTCCAGTCGCCGACACAATCTCCAATGACAATGCAGAGATTTCCAAGTCTAGATAACATCAGAAGAAGTGGATCAGGAACGAGTCTTAGTGGTGATTTTCCTCCGTCAGGTTCAAGAAGAACAGCTTCATGGAGCGGAAGTTTGAACAGCTCATATACATCTCCAACGGGTCCATCAAACCTAAGACCAAGCCCACTTAGCAGCAGCGGCAGCCTTGGAGAGGAGCTTCAAGACGTGGAACTGTAAGAGTTGGAATCTGTAATATCAAAAAAGTTTTGCTTCACTGTCACAGGGGGCAATAATATATGTATGCAGTTTTTTCTTTTTCTTTTTTACGTTATAAATTCATTAATTTTTCTTGTTTAACAGACTTCAGGAGTTTATACAATTATGTATACACATTAATGTTTTTGTTCATGAATAGGGGTGTTTAATCATCAAATTTGTACACCATGTGTTTATTTGTTTAGTCTCTCATAAGTCACTTCTTTTAGTATCATCAAGTTTATACAGGAAACTATAAATTTGACAAAGGTTTTGGTCAGTGTCTCAGGTAGGGTAGTTCCCTGAGCAAAACAGTTTGTATTAAGATGATTCATTGATTCATTTGGGTTTTGAGAATGTAACAAGAAGCTATCTTCAAGAGAGTGGAAAAAGTAAACGTTTTGCTAGTAGATATATAAAAAATCTTAAAAGTTTGACCAAATGTTCATGTATTGTTTTTCTGTCAGTTCATTAATGTTTTTTTCATGTGAACGAACAGAGATAAAGTGGAGTCTGTCAAGCCTCCCTAAATTACATAGCATGAAATGTCCGGTTTAGAGCGTAAGACACAATACAATATATTTAAATCTCCGGTTTGCGCTGAAGGAAGAATTGCATCACGATGATGATGTGTGGAATCCGTACAAGGGCGATAAATGCAATTCATGTGTGAAGCCAATCTGTCTCACATGCAAACTGCAAGTGTGATTAGGGATGGCAATCAAAGACCTGGACCGCGGGCTTAGCCCGTAAAGGCTTGCTGCGGGGCGGGATTGGGCCTTCATTTGATAAGCCCGCAAAATTGCGGGCCTCGCGGGACGGGTTCAAAATGGGACGGGCCGAATGCGGGACGAGCTCAAAACGGGACGGACCGAATGCGGGACAGGTTAACCCGCGGGATTTTGAAGACCCACAACCATAAGTCCCCATTTATGTTTGGTTTTGTTTTCAGTACTATAAATTGCCTTATTACTATGTGGAATTTTCTTATTTAAGTTGATGAGTTTTGTTTTCAGTATTGCTAAGCGGTGTTTTAAAAAAAAATTAAATTTTGTTACAATGATGTTGTTAAAGAGTTACTGTTTGTTAAAGAGCTACTGTTTGTTCTTTAAACGGCTCGAAATGAGAATTTGGGTTACTACAGAATCTTGTCTTTACACTCTAAATTCAACAGCTTGGTTGAAAGAGAAGAAGAAACCATTAGTATTAAGTTATTGTTGCTATGAAGAGACGTTGCTTTATAAAGAATCAAACAAGGAATATTCTTGAAAGAGTTAAATTTTACTGTCCAAATGGCTCTCACTTACTTCAAGACCATTAAACCAGCGAGTGATCACATTGGATGTTGTTGCGATCGATGTTGTTCAGCTCTCTTCAACTTCTTTACACAACTCTTTTATTTTAACATTCATGAAGGAAACTGAAAGAGAAGTCCCGCGGGACGGCCCGCGAAGGCTTATAAATTATGCGGTACGGGATTGGGTAGCCATTCGGAAGACCGCAGCCCGCGCGGGACAGACCCGCCATGACCCGCTCGACGATGAACCCGCTGCGGTACGGGACGGAACGGGACGGGAAAGCCCAATTGCCATCTCTACGTGTGATCTCTGCCACTTTCTCTCAGACTTTTTTTTATGACACTCTCTTCCCAATAGACAAAATGCTTTTCATTGTTTACAATAACAATATTCACACGTCTTAGTACCTATTGTATTCACTTTCAAGTCGTTTATATAACAACAAAAGACTTATGGTGATTATCAAACCAGCAATAAAAGATTCTGTAGTAAACCTTTTTTTTTTTCTTTGATAACTCTGGTATTTGGACAGCCATATTCCCAACTATCTTCCGAAAGGGGTCCAGCGCCCCAACGGAAAGGATGTTAAATCCATTGTGGCCGAGACTCGAATCCGGGTGGCGGATAGTACAGCTGTACCTCCTTTACCACCAAGCTACGAGCGCTTGGTTTTCTGTAGTAAACTTTCAATCCTTGGTTATAATAAAAGAAGACCATTCATCAAATTAAACAACAACAACAAAAGGTGGTAAACTTTTATAGGAGTTTTGGTTTACATAAACAAAGCTTCTGCAATGGAAAATTTACAAATTGCTACACCTAACCACATGGCATGGACAAATAAACAATCAAACAGATGATTTTTTTTTAAAAGCTTTCTACAGTTTCAGTTTCTAATCACGTAGAACAACACCAACTTTTCTTAGCCTCCCCTTCTGCCTCAGATTGAATCACAACTTTCTTGCCATTACTAAGTGAAGCAGAATCTTGCTTGCTTATCTCCTGTGAGCTCATCACTTTCCTACTCAATATATTATAAATCTCCTTCACAACCGTCTCAAACGCAGCCGCCACGTTTGATGAGTCAAGAGCCGATGTCTCCATAAAGAAAAGCCCCTGAGCTTCAGCCAACGCCTTCCCTTCTGCTGTTGGCACTTCTCTTATGTCCTTAAGATCAGACTTGTTCCCCACCAAGATCGTCACAACGTTCATATCAGAATGTGCTACAACAGTTTCATAAATAACTTTTAAGTTAAGATATAAGGAAAAAACTAATAAGAAACTTTTGTGTGTTTTCTTACTGTGAAGCTCGTTGAGCCATCTACCAATGCTGTGAAAAGTCTGCTTTCTGCTGATGTCGTAAACAAGAAGAGCTCCAACAGCTCCTCTGTAATAAGCAGAAGTTACTGCTCTGAAACGTTCTTGACCTGCTGTATCCCATATCTGTGCTTTGATCTCTTTTCCACTAATGTCAATCTTCTGCGTCTGAAACTCCACTCCAATGGTGGACTTGGAGTTGGGATAAAACTCATCTCTAGCGAACCTCGCGAGTAAGTTTGATTTACCAACTGCAGAGTCACCTATTAGAACAATCTTGAAGAGGTAGTCTTCACTCTTGTCGTCCTCAGAATGAAAAGCCATGTTTTTGGTATTGCTATAGAAGCATACTTTTTCACCACTGGCTTTTAACTGAAGAGCAAAAACAAAGTGGAAAAATGAGGAAGAGAGAAGAGAAGAGAATAAGTAGAGTTTGGCAAAAGGAAGCTTCAGAAACAGGAAAAGATTTAGATCTAAGGGTAAACAGTAGGAGACGTTAAGAGAATCTTTTTTAAGATTACCTGTGTAGTGAAGTAGCTTCCTAGAAGGTTCTGTTGGAGCAAAGTTGACTAAGAAAATGTATCACAAGGGAAGGGTTCAGCACATGAACGCACTCTAATTCTAAAAAAAAAGGAAGCATGGATCAATACAAGTTACCTCTAATGAAAGCTGGATCTAAATCCTTTACCACCTTCTAGAACAAGTTTACTTGGGTGTGTACATGTCTATCTAATATACAAGAAGTAAAGCCAACTTTTAGTAGTGAGAATCTAAGCTAAAGTCGGTGGATAGTAACTATTCACAAGGTAATGAAAGCCTCCAATAGGAAGCAGAGCAATATTCTCTTCTCTATCAAAAAAAAAGAAACAGAAAAGACAAGCGCGGTGGGACATATGGAACCAACCAAAACTAACTAATCAGTGGAACACACAAAAGTACAAAACTGTAACACTGATAAAAACATCCACAATCTTGGTTGTACGGTTTGACATTTAAAGATGCAAAGAGTAAATGGTTGTTGAAAGCAGGTATACTTTCTGCGTGAACACTAATGAATCTTCAAATACGGAATGATATATTGAAAGTAGACCCCCCAAAAAAAAATAGAAGCTTCAAACTTTAGAAACCAAACCCCAAGTAAGAACAAAATGTCTCAGTAGAATTCAAAAGAGACTTCTTTCAGACATTACAAAGCGTGTAATAGAAAACCAAGAGTAGCATTAGAATATTCCAAAGTTACTGAAGATGCAGTTTGCTGAGATGTTCTTTGTCAGTTCGTGAAGTACAACAGGAGGTAGTACATATATGTGTCATGAAGATGAGTTACGCTGGAATTCGTGTTTCTTGATGAGCCTGGGCTTGCTGAGATTGGAAAAGGAAAGAAGATATGTGTTTGAAGACATATGGACGTTTTCTATAAAGCAAAAGGAAGTTTGCTTGAAGATGAAGTTTTCCATTAAAAATATAAAAAGTTGCATTAAATGTATTTGGAAGACTTGAAGAGCAAGTTCAAGATGTGGAGAACAAGTTCTGGTCTTATATATTAAGGAAGACATGTCTTATGAGAAGATAAACCTCATAGAAGAGAGAGAGGTTTCCTTGGTGTGTGTTACTGCTTGGTGTCGAAGTACATCTTGAAGCATTGTCTGATGGAGTCCGATGTGGACATAGTTTGATGGTGTTTGTTGTGACATTTGGTGTGGTGAAGTTTCCAGCGTGTGTAGCTCATGGTGAGCTTTGTGTGTGCTTGGGTGATCAAGCGTTTTGGCTTCACTGGTGTGTGTTGGGTGCTGACGTACTTGGTGAAGTACTTCCGAGAAGTGAAAGATTGAAGCCTAGACTCAGGGGGAGTTTAGCAAAGGCGGTTTTATTGAAGAGGTCTGTGAAGATTGCAGCTGTAGAAGACAGTGTGCTCTGGCGCGCCCAGATGGTGTTGTATGCATGAGTGCTGATACCTAATCTTTGTAGATTGCTTCTCAGAAAAGAGTGGTAAATACTAGTGTGTGTATTGTACCATATAGCAATTATAGGTTGCACTTTGTTCTAAGTCAATAAATTCTGAACTGGATCCCGGGGATGCAGGAAACGAACCCCGTTAACAAATTTGATGTGTCTTACATTCTACACTATGTTTTTCCGTCGCCTCATCTACATCAACAGTTACAGGAGAGAGAGATCACAGCATCATTCAATGTAAGACCATACTAGAACACAATAAACATCTCAATTTCGTAACTTTCACAGACCCAATGAAACAAAAAGAAACAAGGATCATTTCACAACATTACCTTTGTTAAACAACAACGATTTTAAGAAGTTGGATGGATCCAAAAAGGAGACACGATACGAAACATGATCCCGAGAGTGGAGACGATTCGGGGAAGACAAGGAAGGAATTCAAAGCTTCTTCTATGAAATCAAAGAGACTTGTTGTTGTAAGGACCAAAGGCAGTTACTCGGGCATGAAGAGGGAGAGGGAGTGAGAGAAAAATAAAAAAACAAGAAAGTTTTGCATTGTTGGTTTTGATTTGTGATAATGGGCTCATAAGAAGTTCCATTTTGGGCCTTTAATGGGGGAGGGGGGTTTACCGAAAAAAGGAATATTTGTAAACTTATATTCTCAGCTTGACCTCACATCACTACTAAAACTGATTCGGGTACCCATTCGGGATTCCGATCGGGTAAACTCAGATATTGGTTCTTTTTGTAACACTTCCTAGGTCTCATTTTAAAAAGTTCTTAAATTCGGATCAAGATCAGGTATAATACATCGGTTTCGGTTTGGATTCGGATTATACTGAAGTTACCGCATATCATTTGGGTTCGGATTTTAGTGTATCGGCTTCGGATTAACTAAAGTAAAATTCAAAGAAAACAAAATAAACATAAGGCACTTAACTTGAATTTATGAATCACTTTGGATTTGATTTATTGATACTCGTTTTTATGACGCCAACGAAGTAGAACAAGATCTAAAGATTTATAAGTATGTAGAAATTACTGAAATTGTCATGTATTCTATGTTATTAAATGATAACATTAGACAAATGTTTACAAATTGATCATAGTGATAAGTGAAATATGAAAACTCACATAATATATAATCGTAGTAACACAAACTTTGTTAAGTAAGATGAACTCATAAGAACTAAGAAACATGTCTCTTAAACTTTGAAAATAACAAAACGTGTCTTGGAAGTCGACTTTGTGTAATACATGTATATACTTATCTATATAATATACACCCTTTGGTTATTTCGGATTAAACCAAACTCATATCCGATAACTAAATTATCAGCATATCAAAACTAATCGGGTATTTTGATGGATCCATAATCGGTCGGTTTCGGGTTTTTCGATTCGGGTTCGGTTCTGGACTATGAATAATATGCCTAGGCCTAGGGTAAACACAAGAAATGAGTTCGTAACAAAGTTGGTGAGTCAAGCGTGAGGTAGTTTTTGAACGTGAAGAGGCAATCATTCATGCATATTAGTTAGGGATATTTTTCACCAACAATTATTATTTACGTCATTATACTATTTTGCTACATCTGGATTTCTTGATCTATACGTGAGAACTGAAAGACTAAAACGAAAAGAACATTACACGACAAACTTTTCTCAGAATTTAAACACTTACTTATAATGTTTCTATAATCCATAATAAGTTGCTATTAGGTCAACATTGCAATTGATTGATGAACAAGAATATATCAAACTATTAAAAGAGGACAAGTATGAATGTGTAACAATGAAGAAAATTAGACATTCTTAATTTGACAGGTTAACTAACAAACTGTAACCCTACTTTTGTCCCACTTTCTTTTCATACTTTTAGTCTCCTTCTTCTCTAAGTCTAAACCCTTCACTCAAACTCATCTCATTATTTTCCCTATACAATCTTAACTCAAACTTCTGTTTTATCTCTGCTAATATCCATGGCCAAATCATCAAACCTCCTTCTCAGTCTCTCCCTTTTCATCTTTCTCATCACCAAACCCGCCTTGGCTCAGACATGTTCCAACTACAACTTCTCCACCAACACTCTCTTTAACTCTTGTAACGACCTCCCTGTTCTTGACTCCTTCCTCCACTACACTTACGATTCTTCTTCAGGCAATCTCCAAATCGCCTACCGCCACACAAACCTCACCTCCAAGAAATGGGTTGCATGGGCCGTGAACCCCACTTCCACTGGCATGGTTGGAGCTCAAACCATTGTGGCTTATCCACAACCAGACGGCAGCGTCAGGGTTTACACTTCACCCATCACCACCTACCAGACGAGTCTCAAAGAAAGTGAACTAAGTTTCAACGTCTCTGAGTTGTCTGCTACTTATCAAAACAACGAGATGATCATCTTTGCAACTCTGAGACTTCCTCTTGGGAATGGTGGAAACATTAATACTCTATGGCAAGATGGGTCTCTCTCCGGGACCAATCTTATGCCTCATCTAATGTCTGGAAACAATATCCGCTCTGTTTCCACTCTGAGTCTCCTCTCCGGTCCATCTAGAGGAGGATCAGGAGGAGACTCCAAGGTTAAAAAACGCTACGTGAGTTGAATGGTTTCAGTTTCTTTCTTTCTTTATTGTTTGAAAAACTTTGGTCAAAGACTTAACAATGAGTGCAGATACAATGTCAGTCTTCTGCTTACATCATTGGTGTTTCAGGTTGGGCTACAGGTCTCAAGCTCGGAGAAGAATCAGCCGGGATTCAGTTTAGCACTCACCGTAGTATCAGTATCGCTCTCTTCTGTCTTGCAACAGTTCAGGTAGGTTTTGAACTAACAAAGAGTGCTAATCAAAATGTTGTATAACTCAATTTCTTGTAATACACGTTAGGTCTTTGCTCTATTTTTAAGACCCCAACAAGAGTACAAGTACAGAGAGTCTACTGAAACATATCTACCACCACACACAGTGATCATCCACAGTGGTAAACGTTTTCAAAAGGTTAGACATCTTGAGCCCTGAGAAGCAGTGAAGAAACGCTTTCACCGCTATAATTATAACGCTGGGCTTAGTCGCAGCCGTGCTCGAAGCGTTTACTTGGTGTGTAGTCCATAAATAGAAGGAAAACATAGGAATCTGCCAAGATGACTCAGCTTGGAAACAATGGTCGATCTCAATACGCATAGAGATAGTTAGTGTAAGGATTAGAGAGTAACTGATTAGAGATTAAATAAATTTGAGGTTTAAAAGTTGTTGGAAGGTGAGTCTCTTGATGCTCACTTACACCTTCACGATGTGTACATGTGAACTTATAAACAAATCCGTTTTATTTCATCACAGTGAAACAGTGTACAAGTGATTAAATCAAATAAATATGTTGTCTGTATTTTGTGTGTAAGAGAAAATGAAAGAGATTGGTTTTACCTAATAAAAGAAGACAACAACAAACAAACAAACTTCGAAGCTTCAAAAATGTCTTTCGAATGTTTACAAAGGAAGGACGGTTTCTGTTGGTTGATTCAAGCAAGATCTTGCATCTCAAGGGATGAAATTTCTCTCAAGACCTGACTTTTGTCTGCTTCAAACCTCTCGTCATCTGCAAACAAGATTGGTCCACACAAAGCATTAATAAGGAGGAGAAGGATCAAATACAAACCGGGATTTAATACCTTTGTCTGGTTTCAAATCAGCAAGCAATCTCAGAAGCTTGCTTCTGTTAGTCACTAGAATGTTGACTATCTCTGCAGGCTTGTTTTGGTTCGCCACAAACAGCTGCGCAAACAGTGATAATAATCTCAGTATAATGACATTTAACGATGATTACATTAAGATACTAAGAACTATACCTTGAAAACGTGGAATGCTTCTATCTGGATGCTCTTGCTTGACTCCTGTAGAATCAAAGGCATTGAGTTTTATTTCCAAAACTACTATGATCAAGAGCAAAAGATTTGAAGAGGGTATTAAGGTAAAGCGTCATACCCTGAGAAGATTCATGAGAATCATTAAGTAATCCATTGAGCTCACATATTTAGTCATCACAGCTGAATTTGATCGATCCAGTAATATATCACCCAACAACTGTTTAACATTTTTACAATAAAAAAAAACAGTACATCAAAATGATTTTCAATGTTTGTAGACTCTTTATATAGTTTACCCTCCCTACCTTAATAGCTTGCCGTCTGGTTACATAATTTACTGATTCAAGAAGCTTTGAGTTGTAGTCCGCAAAAAACTGCCAAAACCAAAAATGTTTGGGAATCATTAGTAGTCTTAAAGCAGATCATAACGTTGTAAGAAAAAAACACTTACCCAGTCTTCATTCTTGGTTAGAAACTCGGCAACAGTAGACTTATGTCTTGTTAGCAGTTCCTGTAAAAAACATATCACAGTGAGAGTTATTATCATAAAAGATAAATACAAGTTCGTTGCAGTATTTTTAGAACCTTAAAAGTTGCAGCTGCATCAGCAGCAATGTCGAAATTAGCAAGCTGTATGTAATCAAAGAACTTCTTCACGTGCTCAGACTCCAAAACATATCTGAATCCAAAAGGAAAATTATGTTAGTGAAGATCATTTTAACTTGCAGATAATCACTTTCACAAGTTGTGTAAAGTGGAGAGAAAAGGATTGAGTTGCCTCACTTGGCAACAATCTGATGGCGGATGCACTCCCTAAACATAGAACCATAATGTAAAGCCATGTCTATGTTCTCAAAGCTGCCACAAAACATAGAAAGCTATCAAAAATTAGGAACATCTACCAAATGGTAGCATAATGCAAACTTCAAAGATAATGATTCAACCAGTTAAGAGTAAGACTCACCCTTGTATCAAAACATCCATGAGATCAAGATTGGCTTCAAGATAATCAGAAGCAATCAACTTATAATTGACTTGCTGCCTCTGTAGATTTGCAACAACTTGTGTAGCATCTTTCCTTGTCTAATTACCAAAAAAAAGGCATATTCTCAATCTAAATCTCAAAATGAAGTCTTTCATATTCTTGAAATCTCAAAAAGACTGAACTATTATTAGTTACCTCCAAGGTGAGATTAGGTAGACAAGTGATCAAGAGACGTAGAGTATCCTCTCTAAAGAACTCTTGAGTCAATTGAGCACAAGCTTCAGCCACAGGCTCGGCCTCACTGTTTCCATAGAGAATGAACTTCATTTCACGTATGTTCCTACTTAGCTCCACCATCTACAAATCAAATGTTCAGGGCAATTACTCAATAACGATCATATGAATAATATATATATATATATATATATATATATATATAATATTTTAATCAATTTGGAAACCAAATCATTTATAATATTAACGACTAAATTTTGAAGATTAAGACGAATGTTTCAACTGGCTGTGATCAGAATCCAATTCCGAATGAATCCAAGCCAACATTTCTAACAATATATGTATGATAAACGACTAAATTTTGAAGATCAAGGCGAATGTTTCAACCGGCTATGATTAGAATCCGATCCCGAATGAATCTAAGCAAACATTTCTAACAATATATGTATGAAATTGCACAAATGCTATAAAGAGCAATGATACGAATGTGATCTCTGCTTTGATTCCGAAGATTCATCGAGAGGGGAGAGACCTTTTCATCGGGTTTGGAAGAATCAGGCAAAGAGGAAATGGAGCGATGGGAGTAGAGAAGGAGATCGCGAGTCTGACGAACGAGGTCAACGGGAGTACGTGGCTTTGACTTGAACAGCCCTTTCTTCCCTACAACATCGGATTGTTGATCCGATGGATCTCCGGCAACGTATCCAGAAGAGGTTAAGCTTCCGCTTAGGTGCTGAGACGGGAGCCTCTTCGAGGCATCTCGTCCAGCACCTCCTCTCGTTGACACGCACGACCCTATCCTTACCCTCTCCTCCTCCTCCTTCCCTCCTTTTTTAAAAAGATTTTATTCAAAATTCACAGAAAAGAAAAAAAGAAATCGAAAATTTGAAGGTGTGGTTTATATCTTGATTTGCGCGTCTCCTAACTCCTATATCTCCTCCTGTCTCACCTTGTTTTTCTCTCTTTTTTAACTTGCTCTGTTTTTAGCGTTACAGCTACGTGCAGGAAAGAGATAGAGGGAGAAAGAAGCTTTTTTTTCTCCTATCTGATGCTTTGTTCCTTCCCTCTGGGTTTTAAAAAATAATAATAAAAATATTGATTGTGATTTTCTATTGAAGAAAATGTCCAAATGATGACATTTTACTGATTGATTTCTCTTAATTAAATCAATGTTTTAATTAGTCTTTATTCCCAAATGATGACATTTTATTTATTGCTAAGAAAGGTTTTACTGAGACGGGGTTACCTGTGATCACTATCAATATTTTTATTTATTTCCCTATTCAACCAGAGTTCAAATCTTTGTTTAGAGAAAAAGAAAAGTCAAAGAGAATGGGTTACCTGAAATTGAATCGTTAATTACGAATCAACTCTTAATACATAAAGATGATGTAATGGAAAAAAATGTGGAAATTGGTAGTTGAATAAATACAATGGTCACATGTAATGAGCTATATGGTGGACCAAAGACATGACATGTTCGCTTTACACTTCCCCTCACATGTTCTCTATTCTTGTGATTTTCTTACAAAATAATTGATTTCTTAATGCACTAATTAAATAACTAAATTTAGTGATTAACAGTCTCGTGACCCCCTAATCTAGCAGATTAGTCGGCATACTTAGCGGATGTATATCAACACTTGTTCAATCAGTTATACTCTACCATCTCTTCATCTGCAACACTCTTTCTTTACCCTCAACAACATGATATTTGAAAATCAGACAATACATAAACTGACATTGTGTTACAAAAAAAACATAAACTGACATTAATTCCTTTCTGTTTATGTTATCTTTTTCTATTTGCTGTGTTTTTTTTTTTTTTTGTCACAACTATTTGCTGTGTTTATGACATTGATTACATTGAAAAAAAAAACAGAGGAAGCAACCATCAAACAACAGGCTTAAAGGAAGTGAGATTCATTGATTTTAGCCACTGTTTCTCCCACACAATCGCTTCATAGTTCTTGCTCCCACCAGGGCCATCATTAACCGCCACAATAAGCCGGTAATTAATGCCTGCGACTACCTTAGACTCACCGCTAACAACCGCCACAAACTTAAGTTCCGACTTGCTTTGCATGTCGTACTCAGAAACAGCGAATTTACCAACCTCTACGACGTGATGATCCTTAACGTTACCGATGGGACTCCATCTTCCCGCAGGCGCCATCGCGGATGCGTGGAAAGAGAGGAGACCGAGAAGAAGAAAAATTGCTTTGTAGTTCATTTTTTGCTTTGTAACCGTTTGTTATTTCTCGAGTAATGGCAGAGGTCTCTCTAGTGTTCTTTATATATTAGAGGCTTGCCAGGTGACGTGGCAAGGACTTGCAAATTTCTTTTGCCATATTTCTGATACATGCAACAAGTGAGGCAACATCTTGGAATATTTATGATCAACATTTTATAAAAATGTATTAAATATTAATTTGCCACATTTCAAGGATTTTAACAAGTTCTACCATTATATAAATATCAATACACAACTATTTACTGTTTAATATAATTTTAGTATTTAATATTACATATCTATATCGTATATATTCCTAACATTTAAAACTTCAAATTTACATAATTTATTATTTTATTACATATTTACTACTATATAAAATTTGCGTTCCACCTGTGACTGGCAAATCTAAAATATGATCCTTCATTACATGATCACAGCAACGCATCAATTAGTGTATAATGATCTTGTGCTTTTAGCCCTTCCAACTATACTCCTCCTTTTGATGCAAAAACGTAAGCCCCTGCCATGTAATATATATAGTTCATATTGAATCATAAATGAAAAAGAAAGAAAGTGGTTAATCATGATAGGAAAAATTTAAAAGTAATACCAAGAGTGGGCATCAAAACAGAGAGAAAGACCGTTCCAGCGATCTTGAGAGCCAAACCTGTCTTCATCATGTCCTTAATCTCAATATGCCCTGTCGTGAACCCAACCACGTTAGAAGGCGTTCCCGTGGGGAGCAAGAAAGCGAACTGAGCCCCAATGGCACCAGGGACCATTAGTAGCAAAGGATGGATTCTCATGGTCTTTGCAATCTCAATAAGCAAAGGAACCAACAATGTCGTAGTTGCGTTATTTGACGTGAACTCAGTGATAGTAGCAGCGATAAGACAAACCGTTGGAGCAATGGCCCAATAAGGAGCTGTTTGTAAAAACACAAGTCCTTTGGACAAGACTTGAGCTAAGCCACTTGTGCGTACTCCATCAGCTATAGCGAACCCAGCTCCTAATAACAACACTATGTTCCACGGTAGTTTCTTGCATTTGTCCCAATCCATTAGCTTCTCTCCTTTTTTAATATTATTTGGGATTATAAAAAGCAATGTAGCCATCATCACACTCACCGTTCCATCCCCGGCTCGGCCGTCAAAGACGCAACCCCAGCCGGGGATGTCTTCAGTTATGTTTCTTGTCATCCACAACACAACCAACCCACCAAACACAGATAAAACCATCTTCTCAGCGAAACTCATTGGTCCTAACATCTCAAGCTCTCTTTTTAAATGAGATTTATGAAGATAAGGAGATAGAGCTTTCCCTGATCCTTTAGGACAATACATCACACATAGAATACCCCAAAGCACCACGAATATGGACAAAGCCAATGGGAAGCCAAAGAAGAACCATTGGCTGAAACTGATTGGTTCAGCCTCTGGAAAATAGCTTTTCCACATTCCGACAAGTATCAGATTCACACCTGTTCCTGTCAGTGTGCTCATTCCACCAACCGCCGCTGAATATATCACACCGAGAACCATTGCTCGGCAGAACTTATTCACTGCCGGAGGAACTATTTCTGTTGACGATGATGATGAGGGTAGTCTTTGAAGTATCCCTGTAGCGACTGGCATCATCATGACGACAGCCGCCACGTTGTGCATCCACATGCTCACGAACGCTGTTGTGGCACAGATTCCTAGCAGCAGCAGCGGCGCGTTTAGCGGCTCCACGCAGAACACCAACGTTATCTTCACGAAGTAGATTGTGGAGTATTGTCACCAACGTATATCATACTTTAGAGACATATTAAACAAATAGTTTTTTTTTTTTGAAAATACTTTATACTCCCTATAGTTTTATTTTAATTGTCATTTAAGTTTATGCACGCAGATTAAAAAAATATTTAATTTTATATATTGTCAAAATAAAAATATTACTACCAATACAACTAACCACATTTCAACCAATTAAAAAATAAAAGAATATATAAAATCAATAAATTTATGAAAATTTTACTCTACAACGATAACTAAATTAAAATAGATGGAGTATAGTATATAGTTATATCATGAGAGAGTTAAATTCTTTACAAAATATAAATTTATCATCAAAGTATAAAAAATCATCGTTTTTTTGTTATTGTATTTAAATTATAATTTTATAAGTGGGGATCCAATTGAAGCTCTCTACATAATTAATGTTTCAATGATCATAGTTTTAATTAACTCATCGTTGGACCAACCCAAAATCATCTTGCATTACTTAAATATTTCCTAGAAAAAGAGTCCCTATCAATTAGGCAGTACCAAGACAACCAGTACATATGGCTCATTTAGATTTCACCACGTTAGATACTCAAACTAAATTTGAAAAAATCGTAATTTTCTAACAGAAGAAGGTGACACTATTTATTTAAAAAAACGATGTTCAAAAGTAATTGTATGAAAAAACATGAGAAAAAAAAAAGAGATAAAACGACTCACGTTAAGGGCGAGTCGACGATGAATATTGTAGTGCTCGACGGCCAAAGCGAGGATAAAGCTACCAAGAACCAAGGCGATGACGTCATCCATGTAAGAACTCGCCACGTCATCCGCGGACGTGATTCCAAACAGAGGAAACAGAAAAAGCGGCGCCATGGAGGTGATCGGCATCGGAACAGCCTCCGTCAACCACCACGCGAACATCCACACGAGAACGCCGAGCATGTTCCTCGCCGCCGTGGTCGTCGTATCATCTCCGCCGAGCCGTACGCAAAGACACACGACGGCGCAGAGAAGAGGACCAAGAGCGATGTAACAGTTCTTAGGTGTGAATATTGTCTGAAGATGTTGACCCACCGTTTGTTGTTGTTCGTGTGGTTCCTCGTTATGGACGACCGGCAAGAGCGGAGATTTTAGCTTGTCGGAGTCTGCGACGGAGACATAACCACCGTCCATTGTGTGTTAGTTTAGTTCTGTTTCTACTAGAAGGAGATAGAAGAAACAGATAAATGTAATAAGAGCTAAGAAAGGAAAGGAGCTTTTTATAAATCAATTTAGTTATAAACTTATAATTATTATAATGTGTTTCGCTACACACAAAAAAACGAATCTATGCTTATAGCATATAATTAATTTGTGTGGTCATAGGACATGGAATTCGGTTTATGAGCGTGAGAGACACATGGTTAGAGTTGATGTTTTCCTGTAAAAATGTTATTTTCTATTATTAGTATATGATTGTACCTGAAAGGGCTAAAATGTTGTCCAACGTGTATCATCAACATTTGCTGGATTTCAATTAATTTCATGAATAATGAATGATGAGTCACAGAGTCTATGTTTTTATTTCTTGGAAGATAAACTGCATTATTGAATAATGGGCATAAAAGAAAGGTCATTGTACAGTGAATGAATTATATGATTGATATCATTTCAAGTTATCTTAAGGAAGTTAGTGTTTATAATTATTCAATTTTATAGTATTTATGGACCCATCACACATGAAAAGATGGGGACCTCTAACAAATTTACAAGTTACAAGTGGCGAAGGCTGTGATGGCTTGTAAACTTTGGAATCTGATGACACCTTAAGAAATTAGAGATTAAGATGACAAGTAATCATCACAATGTTTTCCTAATTAATTATAGCTACAGAGGAATCTTTAAAATATTTAGTTCCAAGAGTTATAGATAAACTTCTCTGTAGCTTCTTCATTCTAACATTCAATCCATTTTACTAAAACCACATTCTGGAAGTCATTCAACAGTAGATGTTAAACAAACATATTATCTTATTTTGGTCTACGTAAGTGTTTTTTTAATGGTTAAGATTTTTAAAAAATGAAAAACAACAAAGAGAATACAGAAAGAAGGAAAACCAAACAGTTATTAAGAGTCTTGACGAGGTCCAAATAATCAGGGAGAAGAGAGCCAGAAGAAAGATGGCACGTACGCAGATCAAATCACTGATTAAAGATGGTAACAGTTATTCATTGGAAAGATTGAAAGATATCATATCTCATGACCCATCCGTCTTTGATTCCACCATCTTAGTCAGTACATCTGAATAATTATCATCAATCTAGTTTCAGTCAGCTCAGGGATAGAATATCTGGTCTCTAGACTTACTTTCTCCTTCTTTGTTCAAGTCAAATCCAGCTAATTATCCCACACGCGAACAAAATTCAGACTAGACTATTATGTTTCTTGAAGACTATGAACTCATGTTCATTGTCGTCGTTGGGAATGCACATGTTGCTACTGCTTTGTGTTCACTTGTGTAGACATAACCCAACACAAGTTTAGATTAGCTGAAAAGCACATGTCTTCTTTGATGAAAACACCCAAATGGTCACTGTAAGTTACAGAGACAACACACAGTAAAAACAAAAGTCTCGTTTATTCTTCTGTCACCAAGTTCTGAGCAGGAAGTGAAAAAAAAAAATGAAGAAACAAAGCAGTGAAGAGAACACGCTTGAGTTTTAAAGAGCAGATAACTTGAAAGGTCTCTATGGCTCTCCTCCAAGCTCCACTCTCAGGTTGTCATACGGATACACACGTGGTGTCTGCAGCAACAACAGTATAAGAGAAGATCATGAAATGGAAAAGCAAGTACCACAACGGTAAGAAAAAAAGACACACGAGCAGAGAGATGACATAAGTGAACAACAGCAGCAATTCAGCTCATAAATAAAGACAAGAAGACAAAGATCATCATCTTCTAAGCCCTAGCCTGCTGTTTAAATTCTATAACTCAAAATCATCCAAAACAAGACTCATCATAGTCTATCCTCCGACACAAAGTCAACGATTGTTCAACTGCTATAACTCCAAAATCACAAACGTCTATGATTCTTGGCCAGTGACTCCACTAATAGAAAGCTAACTCATAAATCTTAGCTCCTAACACACCTCTAGCTAGTAGCTTAAAGCTTAAGCATGTAACAGAGTTCCCAATAACATAATATGTGTTCCCTTCAAGTGTTCCCTAGTAACTCTGTACAGTTTCAATCAATTAATAATGAAATAACTTCACTTACAAAAGGAACCTTGGACGCTTTATCGTTCAAAACAGCGAGCCCACCAAGAGCCGCAAAGAACCCTAAACCGCCACACAACCATCCCAACGCTTCATACTGTTTCACTCATAACCAAAATCAATCAGCCAAAACAATCAATCGATTTTTAAAACATTTCGAAAACCCTAAAACAAACCTTTCCGACGGTATCAGCGATTCGATCAATACAAGGCTCTGGGAAAGCAGTCCCGTTGTCCCACATCAGCTCGTCATTAACCGATAGCTGAAAGAAAGTAAGAGCCTCTCAAAATTTCGATGAATCTAGGGATTAATTAATTAGAGAGATTTTGACTCACCGGCTTATCGGGGACGATGTGTTTGCCGACGGGGAGACCCATGCCGGCGCGTTGGCGGAGAGAAGAGGCGTTAGATCGGGAAACGACGCCGTTTCCGCCCATGATTCGTGAGGCTACACCGCTCAATCTTCCTGCCATTTTTCCCCCTTTTTCGATTGTTTCAGGTTTCTCTTTTGTTGTCAGGAGATTCAAAGGGAGATTAATCGATTTTAGTTCCACGGCAGACCAAAATTTGTAAAACGGCGTCGTAGGTAATCAACCCTGGTTCAAAGTGTGAAATGGTTTAAACTCTAAAAATTATGTAATAAAATTTGTATATATATGGATAAGTTTACAAGATAACTTATTCTAAATAATTTTTGCATATTATTTAAAATTTCAGAAAATCAAATTAACATACTAAGCTAAATATAATAAAATGATATAGTTGACAAAAAATAATAATAAAGTGATATAACTTTTCTATTGCTAGAAAAATGTGTTTAATCTGGTAGCATAATTATTTTTTATTCATTTTTAGTACATTCAGGTTTATACATAAAATTTTAATAATTGTGTAAAACCCAATTCATATATGTAATTTTATTTATATGTAAACAAAAATAGAAGAAGATTATTACAAATACAATTTAAATAATGAAAATTAATTCCACTAATAAGTTTAATACGTTTCTTTTTAGTTTAATAAATGTCTTTGTCGTTTAAGCAAAAAAATTTAAATTTATATTCTTAAGTTTTGTTTTTATTAACTTGTATAATTCCTTCATTCTAGGCAATATGTCAATATCTAGAATTCTAGATTTAGAAAAGAAAAGAGGGAAGACAAAAATATAATACACTTCATTGTTTCTTTGTCTCTTTTATATAACTGGGTTTACATTTTAATTTTCTTTAAGATCAAAGAAACAAACCCCAAATTAGGAAGAGGGTGAAATTAAAAACTATAACAACAATCAAAATAGTAAACAAAAAAACGGTAAAGTAAAGCTTTCAAGCTTCTTTGAACAAATAAGTTTTCCTCGTCTAAAAACTCTCATTCTGCAAATAGTCATTCCTGCAAATCTCCATATTATAGATTCCTCACACTTTTCTAAGCTGCAATTCCTGCAACAACACCATTTTCATATGATTTCATCAGAACTTCCCCAAAAACAAAAGTGTTCAGATTAAAAAAAGGCATTCATTAATCATTATTAATACCTCCGTTTGGTTGCCTGTTGATGTAACCAGCTGGTCCTTTAGACATGAAGTCAAAAGCTCCCATTCCCAATCTCTCCTCTGCCTTTGTAGGCAGAGAAAGCCACGCCGAGTCACTGTACAAAGAGTCTGCCTCCAAGCTGCTTGAGCCGCTGCTGTAACCACCAACATGAACCCCTCTCATTGCTTCTAATCCTACACCTCCTCCCTCACTGCGATAGCCACTACGTGCACGGCCCCAGTTATCCCCAATGCTGCCTAGTGAAGAAGAGTTCCCATTGAAGCTGCTTCTAGATATGGGAGAGTTTGACATGTATCCTAGACCACCACCATTCCCCCATAAAGAGTTCTTGGCTGCTGCATTTAGCACAGAACCGTTCACAATACCAGCTCCTCCAGACTCAATCTGGTTACTACCGTACCTGCCATGACTCACAGGGCTAAAGGGCCGTCCAAAGCCTGCATTGGAACCAGAACCATAGCTCTGAGTCTGGCCTGGCTCAAAATTCAGCTCGATTCCATATCCATGTCCAAACGGTGAGAATCCACCCCTATTACCTACTCCTGGACTGTACCTAACTTCAGGTTGTACTCCATAACCAGAGATAGGACTCTGGCTGTACTCATTGAACAGCAACGCACTGATTCTACTATTACCAAAGCTATTTACATTCATTTGGTTCCTGATTTGGTTCATAGCCATTTCTTTAGGAACAGCCAGTTTGACCTCCACCATCTTCCCATTGAGTTCATGAAACGTCCTCTGCAAAACTTTCTCTACAGCCTCCTCTGATTCAAAAGAGATGAACCCAAAGCCTCTCGGTCGCTGTGTCCTATGGTCATACATCACCACAACGTCAGTAATCACCCCAAACTGAGAAAAATACTTCTTGAACTCAGCTTCTGTCACCGATGAAGCCAAACCTCCAACAAAAATCTTTTTGCTAGTTGCTGGACCAGGTGATCCCTGGAGACTACTGTTACTCCTGTTCAATATTACCTGATCATCTCTTGGAACCGCCTTTTTCGCCTCAACCTGTGAGCAATGGATCAAACATGAATATTATGACAATGTAGACTACTATAACATCATCATCATTAGTTTCTCTATTGAGTTTGGTGCTTCTTTAAGCTGAACGTGACAATGTATACTATAAACTATTATATAGTCTAAAACAAGAATATGAACAAAAAGAAAAGAAAAAGCTCTGCTTCAAGGAGCAGCAACCTCTACTTCAAGAAACTAATAAGCAGATTGATATTGAAGCAATGTAGTGTTTGGTGAAACAACTTACAATTTTACCATCAATGACGTGTCTAAGCAACACAACTCTCTCAGCGACACTAGGGTCAGCAAAGACAAGGAAACCAAACCCACGAGCACGACCAGTGACACGATCCTTCATGATAACAGCCTCCAAAACCTCACCGAAACTCTGAAAATACTCGCGAAGACGATCTTCAGTGGTCTCCCAAGAGATCCCACCGATGAAGAGCTTACATGATTCCATCTCCATCCTGCAAACAAACAAAAGAAAAGGGTTTGTTTACCATACAGTTACTTAACATCTCGATCTGAGTGAAAAGTGAAAACCTTTATGGAAAAGTTGATTGGATATGAAAAGATGGGTCTTGATCGGATTCTGTGAACCGATCGACCCACGATCCTTGATTCCTGCAAAAACAAAAAAGGTGTAAGCTTTATAGAAGAAAATCAAAAACCCATGAAGAGAATAGTAAAGAAGAGAAGCTATGATGTTTACCGAAGTTTTAAGAAAAAGGAAAAGTGGAAGAAGAAAAAAAAACGAGAATGGAATCTGAGAGATTGGAGAGGATGAAGTTTATATTAAGAGGGTGAGAGGTCCTCTTTTCTCCTCTCTTTTGTTTTTTTGTTTTTTGGAGTTTTGTCCAATAAATTTTTTAAAAAGGATTTACTGTTTTTAATTTTGGATGATAAGAGTTTGTGTTGCAGAGAGACAGATAAAAATGGGATTCGCTAAAAAGGAAAGAGAGGCTCTTTCGTTTACGTTTTTGTTTTGTTTTTTCGTATGGGAATGTTTGGCTCTCTTCTCTTCTAAAGAGACGATGGCATTTTCGTCTTTTTGTTTTCTTCTCTTTCTCTCTGTGTAATAATAATAATTTAAAAATTCATAATTAAATAACCGACGGTTTGTTGGCTTGTAGTTACCAATGTCTGCCACCTTTTTACTCATAAGTTAAAAAATTCTTGGTTTTCAAAATCTACCAAGAAAGACATGGGAAGACTCAAAGATCATTACTATTAATAAATCATAAAATTATCAGAGTTAATTACGGGTATATCCTGATTTCTTCCTACTACTAGACTATTTCATCTAAAGTTATTTCTCTTAATTCTATTTAATTGAAATTTAATTTTATTCTTTTATTTTAGTAGATAACACACCAGCATGTTAAACAGTTTTTTTTGGTCGAACCAAATGCAAGGGATGGTTCGTTACTTTGGTAATCAGCTAATTATGTCAACATGTCCTTTATTGACAATTTTTTTTTGAATAGACAATAATTTGGTTGCAATATTTTGAGGTTAACTCTGGAGAATTAAAGTGGGCAGGAACATGTGGGAATGGTTGCTTTCAATTGTATTTAATTTGTAATGATATTAAATTAATTGATCACTAAGTGGAATATGTTCCAAGTACAGAAGGCAGTCCTTGTGCATCCAAATAATTACTAACATTCATAAGTTTACCTTTTTCTATTCATTAACTTAATCACTAATCTCCCGGTCAATTATTTATTTGGTTATCACACATCTCTTTTAGAAATATCAACCGGCCTTGATAAAAATACGAGTTTGCATCACATATACACTTTTAAAAAACATATTGTGCCTTTTACAACACATTGGACTATATCACCAATGAATATATTATCCCGTCCAACACTTTATGACGACTTCAATAATTCGTGTTGCCAACTATTTATTGAGTTGAGTCTATTGATTTCATTAAAGATGGGACACCAAATGTATGGTTAAACATAGCATTGTATGAAAGATCCTCCACTAACCATAATACTTAGTGGCTTAGAGCATCCGCAACCGAGAGACTCATACGAGTCCTTCAGAAAAAGAATATTTCGGATTTGGTAAGGATATTTCGCTTTTTTTTTTTAAAGATGACCATTCGCTGACTGCCACGTGTCATGGGGACCCGTAAATTGTAAGAATTCGCTAAAAAATAGTTCTTATTTAGAGATTTTAATAATCGAATCCTTAATTTTTATAGGGTCTATTGTTTATTTAATTATTTTTTTCTTAAAGATTCTCTCCTAAGGACTCCCGTTGGAGGTGTTTTTATAGCCTATTTACAAACTCTTATGGAGTATATAAAAGGGTTGTTTCTATTAATTCCCTATGTTGAAATACCAACCACCCTTACCAAATCGGGAATTGAAATACTTTGTAAGAACAACCACATATTCAATTTTAGAAAGTGAAGAGGATGAAAACCACACTGGACCTACCATTGTTTTTGGAAAAAAAATTGTAAAAGCCTCATAAATAAAGTTAGGTTACGCATCCCAAAAAGGCTAACTGGGCCGGGCCATATTATAAAAATCTCAAAACTATTTTTATTTACCCATATATTCACATGTGACCGCATCAAAATCATGAGAACCTCTACATATATGATCTCATCCAAGCATCATTTTTAATTACATATTGTGGGAACATGAAAAAAAAACAATGTAGAGAGACTCTGACTTGGTTTTGTGACTAAAGCGCCAGCTAAACAAGTGAAGAACCATACAAATATCGACACAACGCAGCTTGGGCTATGATTTCGAACTGTTGCCTTGTAACCTGATCTTCCCTGAGGTGTAGACACGGAAGCCGTTGGTCGAGGAAACAAGTTTGATGCGTTTGTGTATATTTGTCGAATTGTGATAACATGTAATAAAGAGATTATCAGGAACATGTATTGGCTTGATGAGACATGTGTTTTCCAGGTCTGGAATTGCGTGGAGTTGAGAAGGGAGATCGATTTCAAACTCTCCAAAATCATCAGTAACAGCTTTAATCCATTTTGATCTCTTTTTGTATCCAGTGTTACACTTGATACCAACAGTAGCACCTATGAGGAATCATCATGCATAAGTCTTCAGAAAGCATATAGAGACACATGAACATAGGTAGATAAATACCTGGAATAGCTATGGACCGTGAAGTGTCGCAGAGAAGAGAACCTGTAATGATCACAGAGGAGAGTTTCTGTTCACCGTAGCCAGCCATCTCCACTATCTCTGTTCTGCTCCATATCTTCCCTGCTGCAAACGCTAAGTCGAACAAGAAGAAGAATAACAAGAAGCTTTTCATTATTACTTTTCTTCTCTCTCAAAATGTTTAAGAAATGGAAGAAGCATGTATGTGTGCATATATATAACAAGTTAAAGAAGAGGAGGTATTTAAGGGTGAGAGTCTCTTTGCGTGGCTTAAGTCTTCAGGTTACTCAGCTCTGTACGGCAGTCTTTTAATCATATATAGAAGACCTCTAACTCAATTGCTGACCTTAGGGTCAATCTTCGAAATGAATTTATCAAACCGTAGTTGAAACTTGAAAGAGAGAGAGACGGAACTTGGAAGCAATAACTGAGTGGTTCGACTACTCTTTCATTCAACTTCGTTTTCATATTTTTCGTATAAAAGTATTTAATTAAATTTGGTGCAACGTTTGTATGTAATGTGACGTTCCTCCTTTTCTTTATTTAAATTAGTTAGTTTCTTTATTTTATTTTTCTCTATAAGCTACAGTGTTGTGATGGAGTGGGGATCAAAGACTCAAGCCTACCCCCAACTATACTCTCATCCACATCTCAACATTCAACAAACATACTAAGAAAAGAAAAAGAAACATTCAACAAACACTCGAGAGCCTAAAGATTTCGCTTTTGTGGGTTTGGTCGTCGACATGTGGCGGCTTATCTAGTTGATGGAGTCAGCACTATGAAGTGCGTTTAGGGTTATGTTGACCAACCAAACCACTTTCTCAAATGTTAGAGCAATCCTAATGGAATTCTAGTTCTGAGATTCTCAAAATACATATATATATATATATATATACATTAGTATTAATATTTAATTTTTTAAAATTGTAATTTTAGGGAAATCTAAATAATTTTATATAGTGAAAACCCCCTTGGTCCAGTGGTTTAACTAAGGGTTCATTAATGTTTCTACACCTGGAAGTTTGGGGTTTAAACCCCAGAAAACACCAAATTATACAAATTATGGAGAAACAAGTTACAAGAGATTTTTAGCTTGGTGCAAAACGTACCATCGAACATGGATCTCATAGGACGCTTCGGAGTGATGCAGTCAGGCGTGTATTCTCACAAGATGGTAGAATTGTCGGCTGTAAAATCGTCTATGTAATATTCTCATCGTTGTAATAGGATAATTAATCAGATGATAAAAAAAAATTATAGTTGTGTTTTCCGGAAAATTAAAAATTTTATAATTATATATTAATATAAACATATATCTATATATATTAAAGAGTATGGGCCAAAAAACGTTAGCTAATTACAGATCCATTTTCTTGCTTACCCTTTTAAACTCAACAACTAAATATCTTGGCCCATTAGATTTTCACGTGGGCTAACCAGTAATTATGTCATTAATGTTAGAAAGGATATATTAGAATCTTTATGTTAGGATATACTTGTATCTTATTTGGGTTTATCTATTCCTTATACGATAAGGATTACGTCTTGTATATATAGATTGTCAATGAATACAGAATCTCTACGGAGACTTACATTCTAACATGGTATCAGAAGCTTAACCTAGCCACCAAGCTTTCTCGATCCTCTCCGCCTCTCTTCTCTTTTTCTCTCAAACTTTTCTTTCTTCAACTTCGTCTCTCTCTTTCTTTCTACCATGGCTGCTGAAATTCTTGCTAATGATAAGCCCTTCGGCATCTCTCAAATCAAAGCTTACATTCCTATAAAGCTTGATATGAAGAAGCTTAACTATCAAGTATGGAGAGAGTTGTTCGAAACTCATTGCACAAGCTTTGGTGTACTAGATCACATCGATGGCTCCTCCTCTTGTACTCCAGAAACAGAAAAAGAATGGAAAGAACATGATGGTCTAGTCAAGATGTGGATTTATGGAACGATATCAGATTCAATCCTTGAAACAGTCTTAACAACACGATGCACTGCTCGGGATTTATGGGTAAAGATTGAGAATCTCTTTCGAGATAACAAGGAGGCTCGAGCTATGCAACTTGAGAATGACCTACGTACCATGGTCATTGGCGATCTCTCCATCCATGACTACTGCAACAAACTCAAGACGGCGTCTGATTTACTGGCAAATTTGGATTCACCAGTCTCCGAGAAATCATTGGTGATGCATCTTCTCAATGGATTGTCTGAAAAGTTTGATAACATAATTAATGTAATCAAACACAAAGTTCCATTCCCCACCTTCCTTGAAACTCGTTCTATGTTGTCCATGGAAGAAGATCGGTTAACCAAACAAGTGAAGCCTACAACCTCGGCGACTGATACTGCATCTGCTCCTGCCGTGCTTTACACGTCGTCGGCAACACAAGGTCAGACCACAAGTAACACTAGCAACAACAATTCCGACAGCTCTAACAGCAACAATGGTTACTACAACAACAACAATGGAGGCTCATACCGTGGAACTCGTGGTCGCGGACGTGGCGGCCGTGGTTACCGTGGACGCGGACGTTTTAACAACTGGAACACGCCATTCTATAATCAGAATTGGCAGTTTGGTCATCAGTGGCCAAATTTGTTTCAGCAAACTTCTCCATTCACAATGACGTACCAGCAGTCACCATTCAACAACCATGGATCTATGATGCAACCTGGATTACTCGGACCACGACCTGGTGTTCGCCCAACTAACGAAGCTCACTCCGTCGTCACGCCGTCTGTTCCACAACAAATGCTTACAACTATTCCAGCAAATATAGTTCAAGCATTCAACACCATGAGCTTTGAGGATCCTAACACTGCGAGTTGGTACTTTGACACAGGAGCCACCAATCACATAGCATCGGATCAAGGTATTCTTCGTTCCATTGTTAATATGAGCAAGTTACCTTCTGTCATAGTTGGAAATGGGTCTCATGCACCTGTTACCAAACTTGGTCAAGGAGTTATTCCATCTTTATCTCGTCCCTTTTATCTTCGTAATGTTCTTGTCTGTCCCTCTATTATCAAAAATCTTATTTCGGTACGCAAATTTGTTACTGATAATTTTTGCTCTCTTGAGTTTGACCCTTTTGGTTTTTCTATTAAGGACCTTCACAATCAGACAACTCTCCTCAGATGCAATAGTCAAGGACCCCTCTACCCCATCACGCTATCCTCTCAAGCTTCTCAACCCCTGGTTTTATTATCTTCTTCTAGCAATTCCTCTCTTTGGCATCGAAGGCTTGGCCACCCAAGTGATCAAGTTCTTCAACGCATTTTATCTTCGCTTTCTCTTGGTTTTAATAAGACTGACTTGACAAACTTGTGTCATGCATGTCAACTTGGTAAACATACCAGACTTCCTTTCTTTACATCTAATAACAGTGTTTCTCATCCTTTTGACATTGTGCATTCAGACATTTGGACTTCCCCTGTTCTTAGTGTCAGTGGGTTCAAATATTATCTTATTTTTATTGATCAATACTCTCATTTTGTCTGGATATATCCTCTTCACCGTAAAAGTGACACACTTTCAAAATATCAGCTTTTTCATGCTTATGTGCAGACTCAATTCAATTGCACAATCAAGTCATTACAGTGTGATAATGGTGGAGAGTATGATAACAGAGTTTTCAGAGACTTCTTAGCTACACAAGGAACAACGATACGACTCTCATGCCCATATACATCGCAGCAGAATGGCAGAGCCGAACGCATGTTACGTACCATCAACAACCTTATACGCACAATGCTCCATCAAGCCTCTTTACCTCCCACGTTTTGGGTTGAAGCGCTACACACGGCAGTACATCTTCTCAACATTCTTCCTTCATCAGCGATCAACAATGATGTACCATTCCGTAAATTATTCAACAAGGAACCTCGCTACACTCAACTTCGCACGTTTGGATGCCTCTGCTATCCCAACCTGCTCCCTACAACAGCTCACAAGTTGGCGCCTCGTTCATCACCATGCGTCTTCTTGGGCTATCCAACCGATCAACGCGGTTACAGATGTCTTGACTTGAGAACTCGAAAAATCATACTCTCCCGCCATGTCACATTTGATGAAAATGTTTTCCCATTCTCAAATCCTTCCTCTACCTCTGTAAGTCCTTCCCCTGTTTTATTATCTCCTCCACCGGCTATACATCGCCTTACCCGTACTCCTTTAGTTCCTCCTGCTCCTTCTACTATTCATGCTCCCTCTCTTCCTTCTCAATCTTCTCACTCTATGGTTACTCGCAGTAAAAGTGGTATCTTTAAACCACGCACTCCGTTGTGTCTTCACACTGATACAACTATTTCTCCCTTACCAGTCTCTCATGTGCAGGCTGCTAAAGATCCAAACTGGAATCCTTCTATGACTGAAGAGTATGATGCTCATATTAAACGTGGAACGTGGGAATTGGTACCACGACCTGTTGCTACTAACATAATTCGTTCTTTATGGTTGTTCAGGCATAAGTTCAAGGCTGATGGCACGTTATCTCGTTACAAGTCGAGACTTGTTGCCAACGGCAAGTCACAACAACCTGGAATAGACTGCGAGGAGACGTTCAGTCCAGTAGTCAAGCCTGCCACCATCCGCACAGTCCTTCATGTTGCTACGTCTCGGGACTGGCCACTGCACCAACTTGATGTTAAGAATGCCTTCCTCCATGGTGAACTTGAAGAAACAGTTTATATGCATCAACCTCCGGGGTTTGTCGACCCATCCAAACCAGACCATGTGTGCCTTCTCAAGAAAGCCATTTATGGACTCAAGCAAGCCCCTCGTACCTGGTACAATCGGTTTGCTTCCTTTGCCAAGAAAATCGGTTTCAGTCAGAGTAAATCCGATGCCTCTCTGTTCATCTTATCCCGCCACAATGAGGTTGCCTATCTGCTACTATACGTCGATGACATTGTCTTAACAGCTTCAGCAACCACTCTTCTCAATCGCATCATTCATGAGCTCAAAGCTGAGTTTGACATGACGGACCTTGGTCAACTCCATCACTTCCTTGGTATCTCTGTTAAGCGTGACACACATGGCCTGTTCTTACAACAACAGAATTATGCTGCTGACATCTTGCATCGAGCTGGAATGACTCACTGCAATCAATGTCTAACCCCTGCTGATACGAAGGCCAAACTTGCAGCCGATGATGGCCCACGAGTGTCTGATCCGACGTTGTATCGTAGCCTAGCCGGAGCCCTTCAGTACCTTACATTCACGCGACCTGACATCGCCTTCGCAGTCCAACAAATTTGCTTATTCATGCACGATCCACGTGAGTCTCATCTGAATGCTCTCAAGCGTATACTTCGATATATCAAGGGTACTCTCACTTATGGTTTACGACTACATAAGTCCAAAGCTACAGGTCTGGTTGCTTACTCGGATGCTGATTGGGCTGGGTGTCCTTCTACTCGACGGTCTACCTCTGGCTACTGTGTTTTCCTGGGTGATAACCTCATTTCTTGGTCTTCTAAGCGTCAAAACACGATTTCACGCTCAAGTGCAGAGGCTGAATACCGTGGTGTTGCTAATGCGGTCTCCGAGACTACTTGGCTTCGTACTCTCTTGCTGGAAATGAAGCTCCCGATACAGCGCGCTACTGTGGTATATTGCGACAACATCTCTGCCATATATATGTCTGCTAACCCGGTTCAACACCAACGTACCAAGCATGTGGAGATAGATATTCATTTTGTTCGTGAAAAGGTAGCACTCGGTGAAGTACGAATTCTACACGTCCCGTCGGCACAACAATTTGCGGATGTCTTCACAAAAGGACTTCCTGGAACTGTCTTCTCTGATTTTAGGAACAGTCTAAGCGTACGAGCTTCAGGCGCTTAGACTGAGGGGGAGTGTTAGAAAGGATATATTAGAATCTTTATGTTAGGATATACTTGTATCTTATTTGGGTTTATCTATTCCTTATACGATAAGGATTACGTCTTGTATATATAGATTGTCAATGAATACAGAATCTCTACGGAGACTTACATTCTAACAATTAAGAGCTTAATACAGCTGAAGTTGGGTGATTATAGTTAATTAATCACGCGCTTAGAAAAGCAAACAATGGTGGGCTCATCGGAGAAGATCAAGACCATCAAATGTGGACAACTCGGACCAATGTCTCCTCCAGCTGTCTGATCTAATTGGTCGGTGCAGTTTGATTGCAGTGAACCCCACCACACCCACATCTACCCCCATTTCATCAAATAAAATAAAATAAAATAAAATAAAAGTTTTTAAGACATTAAAACAAGAAAGGTAAAATTGACCGATAGGTCGTTGAGTGGCAGTTACCCACTGTCTCCCTAACACCATCCTCTCCCTCTCCGTGTCTTCCACGCACCAACTAAACCCGTTATCTGTGTTAACCACTCTCTAAACTCGCGCGTGTATTATCTTTAACATACAAAAGGTGGGCCGGGTCCACTAACGGTCCACACACGTGGCAAACCCTTAAAGGGCTATTTATCTCTCATTCCAATCCAACGGTTAAGCACGTATCCAGTTGTCAGAACCTTATCAGTAAACGGACGGTCGAAAACAAACACAAACGTGTCGTGTGAACATAAGTCGTGCTGCTTCCTCGCTTTATAAAAAAATCTCCGACGAAACTCAATCTCCCACTCTCTGTACTAACTAAAACTATCTCAGCCGACACTTGGGAGAACTTTGTCTCTAAAACCCTAGAAACACTCTTCTCGCTTCACTCTCAAGTCAAGTCAAAAACCACCACTTGAGAGTCTCTTAGTCTATCTATAATTTTTTAATGAAATTTTAATTTTTTTTTGCAGAAATGGGAGATTCCGACAGAGATTCAGGTGGAGGAGGACAAACGGGGAACAACAACCAGAACGGACCTTTGTCTCCACGAGAGCAAGACAGGTTCCTCCCAATCGCTAACGTGAGCAGGATCATGAAGAAGGCTTTACCAGCGAACGCTAAGATCTCTAAAGACGCTAAAGAGACGATGCAGGAGTGTGTCTCCGAGTTTATAAGCTTTGTCACCGGAGAGGCGTCGGATAAGTGTCAGAAGGAGAAGAGGAAGACGATCAACGGAGATGATTTGCTTTGGGCGATGACTACTTTAGGGTTTGAGGATTATGTTGAGCCGTTGAAGGTTTACTTGCAGAGGTTTAGGGAGATTGAAGGGGAGAGGACTGGTCTTGGGAGGCCACAGAGTGGTGGTGAAGGTGGTGAGCATCAGAGAGATGGTGGTGTTGGTGATGGTGGTGGTGGATTCTATGGTGGTGGGATGGGGATGCAGTATCAACAGCATCATCAGTTTCTTCACCAGCAGAATCATATGTATGGTTCCACAGGTGGTGGTGGTGGTGGTGGCAGTGCTAGTGGAGGAAGGACTTAAAAAAAGATTTGTGAAAGTGGATCTTTGTATATAGATATACATATAAAGACATGCCTATTCTTACCACTAAAGATATTAAATCTATATAAGTATCATGTTGGTTTATGTAAAATCATATGTGCATTAAGGGGTTTAGATTTTGCGGCTTGTGTAAAGAGGATCAGAGTGTGTTTGAGACAATAGTTCTGGTCCCGTTTGGTCTTTGTATTTAACTATTGGATTTGAATAGCAATTTAAGAAGATTCAAATGTCAAAATGCTTACATAGAGAGGCAACCAGAGAAACAACTTTGCTTTTGCTTGTTGTGAGAAAGAATGTTATTGGTGGGAACTGAGGTCGCGGTTGTTGAAGTATAAGTTGCCGTGTAGATCAGGTGCAGAGACGGGGAGAGGAGTGAAGCCTTCGTAGTCTCCATTGGTTTTAGCAGAGCAAATGTCTGTCATATACCTTAATAGCTCATGGTTTTGTACGAAAGGTTGTTTTTTGTATTCCTCCCATGGCATCCACTGTAGTATGAGATTTGTGAGTGTTTTTGTGGTAGCAGAGACTGGAGAGAGGTTATTGAAAGTGGGGAGAATTTTAAATTACCTGAGCTGCCTCTATCTCTGACTCTTGTGCATTGATCTCTAAAGAAAGAGGCTTTAACATGCACACAAAGAACAGATCTGACTTTTCAAAGAAAGCTTTGTGGGTTTGTCTGCCAAGATTTTTAAAACAGACAAGAGTTAGTTATGTTGTTGCAATATAAGCAGATGATGTGGTTTGAGTTGGAACCTGAAAGCCAATACTTGGACAAACTCTGTATCCACCTACAAGAAGTGGGATTAGCTTTTGGTCTCAATGTAAAAATGTAAAGGTGGTGTGCATGAAGAAAGGCTTACTTACTCCTGTCTCTTCTTTCACCTCTCTGACTGAGCCATCATGGATGTATTCTCCCTGAGTCAACACACAAAAAAAAGAATCAAATAGGAACCCAACCATGAAATGCTTTTTTTAAAAAAAAAATAAGGAGCAGCACCTCATTGACTACTCCGGTGGGGAACTTCCATATTCCTTGGCCTTTAAATCTTCCTGTCTTCTCTTGAACAACAAGCACCTTTGGATTCAAAACACATAAACAAACAGAGATGTGATCAAAGTCATTTCTATAAAAACGCACTGAAAATCTGATCACACCACACCTCTTTGTTGTGGTTAATGACAAAGGCAGCTATGCCAACACGGTGAGATGCATTGGAAGGAAGAGTATGGTCTTGTTTTGGAATCCAATACACAAGCATCAAGTAGTTTTTCTCTGCGTGATGAAACCAGAATCCCTCCTACTCATCATAAACCACAAACCACAACCCAACCAGTTTGTTATACAAAGAATCTTCCAAACAATTAACGAAAGGGGTCTGAAGAAATCTGTTAGCTAACAACAACACCTTAACAGCAGTTTCAGCAAGACTAATAAGCTGCCTCGGCAATTTGATCCACACTCCCTTTTTTCCCTGAGTACACAAAAGACAAGCTATCATAACCACATTAGATCAGTTCAAAGAGCACATGACAAGACAAGTATAGTGAAAAAGTTGATTTAACTTTCTCCATTATGTTTTCAAGAAAAGAGAATACACTTTCTTTGCAGCAAAAAAATGAGTCTCTTCGGCCCGCATTAAAATACAATAATTGTTATGAAGAGAGTGACATCCACACGTTGTCACACCCAACTTTTTAAATGATTCTATGGATACAAACTCTTGTTTTGATCATCCTATCCAAATGATCAATCTAACACGAGGAGAAGAAAGAAGAGAGAGAACCTGAAGAGTCCAGTTAGAGAGAGATGATCGTAGAAGAGCAGAGAAGGCAGAAGGATCCATGGGACGACTCATCTCCGTCATCACGCCACCGTACTTGTCCTCAACAGCCGGAAGCAGTGCAACACCGCCTTTTGCTTCCTCTCCAGCCATCGGATCCATGGAGGAAGACATGAATCTGTTCCTCACCGTGTTGCAACTGCGAAACGCAGAGAACCCATCAGCCTGAAAACAACGGAGAAACTGAGGGAAACGTAAACTCCCATCACCAGGCTTCATCAACAATTTGATTAAACCATAGCTTTTTGTCACACGGCTACTCATCTTTTCAGACAAGAAGAACAAAAAAGAACACAAACTCTAATCACACATGATCTGTCTTATTACTTCTTCAACCCACAACCACAAGTACTAACGTATGAAATCAGTTTTAAGGGAAAGAACTTTCCGACTCAAAATCTATTTTTAAACCATCTGTCAACATACAAAAATGTATTTTTTTTAATAAGTTTCAAACCTTTAGAGATTAAGGTCAAAAAAGATTGTATGACACGGTTGATAGAAGCTAGCTAGATTGTAATGGCTTACATTTATATCTTCTCAAATCTTTAATATGATGATAATCTATTCTTCTCTTGATTGCTCACATGTGTATGTGATTGTGTCGGTATCTTCCACGGGCTGCGCTAAGCCACAAACCAAAAAGTGTTTGCCTTGTCCACGACATAGATACAAATCCGTGACTGTTAAGAAAACGACTGAAGTGAAGTTGTTATGTTTCTTGTTTGAGGGCATAAAGGTAAATTACACAGACAGAGTAGAACCAAAGTTTTGTGTTTTTTTTTTTAGCAAGAAACAGCCTGAGCACTCTCATACTTTGAGAAACTTGGAAACTTTTACAAGACCAACTCAGTGAGTGCAGACCCTCCCATAGAAGGAAGCATGAGGGTTTTCAAGTGAAAGATTAAGAATAGATTCTCAAGATTTGTTATATTTTGGTTTTAGTTTACTAATTTACCACTTTGTATTGGTGTTGAGTTTAGAAGGTTCGAAATAAAGACAAAGCGTAGATGATTAGGATCTTGCATGTGAAAACATTCTATGAAATTCTTCCATTCTCAGCTTAGGCCTAAGGCTCATGCAGAAGTCATAGAAGCTCAAACTTTTGCAACTAAAAACAAATAACAAAAACGCTTAGGCACTTTAAGCTCAGCTTTCTTTGTTTCTTTTTTGATAGCAGAGAGCAGCATGCAATAATCAGAACACAACTAGTCTAACAAAACAGCTTATGCAGGAGAAGAGGAGTGCACTGTAAGAGAGCAAGACAGGTTCATGCCTATTGCCAAGAGTGCGTCTCCGAGTACATCAGCTTTGTGACAGGAGAAGCCAACGAGCGCTGCCAGCGGGAACAGCGCAAGACCATCACTGCTGAGGATGTCTTGTGGGCAATGAGTAAGCTCGGTTTTGATGAATACATGGAACCCCTCACGTTGTATCTCCACCGCTACAGAGAGTTGGAAGGTGATAGAGTGGTTAGCTGCGGTGCTGGATCTGTTAGTATGACCAGCGGCTTGGTTATCAAGAGGCCTAATGGTACCATGGGAGAGTATGGAGCCTACAGGACTATGACACCGTACCATTATCATCATCAGAACGGATTTGCTTACAGTAGTAATGAACCTAACTCTAAAATGGGTGGTTCATCACCTGCATCAAGTCTATTTCCATCTCAGCAACATTAGTACTGAGAAGATTAGCTAATAGTAAGCGCACTTTCTAGTTAATGAATTCAAAGTTTTAAGCATAAACAATGATGCTTTGTCTCAGTGTATCTTCTCCTTGAACAAACCTACTGTTTTCATTTGATCTTTCTTGTGATAAACTGTGTCAATAAACAATTAGGTTCCAAACAACATGATTTTGATCTTGACTCAAACATATAAAAGGACTTAAACATTCCAAATTCAAATTCTCAGCTACAGAAATAGAAGCATGCATTATCTTTCATCTAGCTACTCCAAAGGAACTTCAACGCATACCTTTTTCCTCTCCAGAAGATCATGTTCCTCTTGTTGCTCTTCAGAAAGAGTTTCTGATTTAGAACAGTCTACAGGATCAGCTCCACTTCGTTTCCTCCGTGGAATCACAGTAAAGAAAGATGTTTTCCAGTCTCTCGTCTCAAGAAACTTGACGAGTATCTCCAAAACTTGGTTCACAGTGAGAACCTAAATCAATTAAAAACAAAAAAAACTCACAATAGGTAACAAAAAAGCAAATGCAATACAAGTGGCTGGAGATTACAATACCTGAGAACTAGACATTTTCATATACTCTCCTATAGGAAGTTTAGCTGTTTTAATCCCTTGTTCTTGTGCTTTGTTCATAGTGATCCCTTTGAACCTGTTCCGATCCACTAAACCACCAATTATATAGACACTCTTGTGGTCAAGATCCTCCAAAACAGTCTCGGAGTCAGCCGTAAGATACACCAAACTCTCTTTCCTATCAGCCATAGCCTCAATGTAACACCTACTCTCCTTCTCTATAAACCATTTCTCAAAACCTGGAAGCCTATCAAGCTGAGTACTCATCTCCCCTTGCACTCCCGTTAGCCATAGATGACAAGGAGAGGTGCTCCTCCCATTCACAGCATAGCAATACATTATCTAAACATTAACAAAACCAACCTTAACCGATTAATGAAGAGTTAAGTTCGAAGGTTTGCATACAACTATACAAGAATGACGTAAAGTTTGAAACTTTGCATACAAGAACAGAGTAATGTTTGAAGCTTTTCATATAGGAACAGAGTAAAGTTTGAAGGTTTTTTCATATAAGAACAGAGTAAAGTTTGAAGGTTTTTTCATATAAGAACAGAGTAAAGTTTGAAACTTTTGCATATAAGAACAGAGTAAAGTTCGAAGCTTTTCATATAAGAACAGAGTAAGCTTTTCATATAAGAACAGAGTAAAGTTTGAAGGTTTTCTCATATAAGAACAGAGTAAAATTCGAAACTTTTGCATATAAGAACAGAGTAAAGTTCGAAGCTTTTCATATAACAGAGTAAGCTTTTCATATAAGATCAGAGTAAGGTTTGAAGGTTTTGTCATATAAGAACAGAGTAAAGTTTGAAGTTTTGCATATAAGAACAGAGTAAATTTCGAAACTTTTCATATAAGAACAGAGTAAAGTTTGAAGCTAGAACAGAGTAAAGAACACAGAGTAAAGTTTGAAGCTTTTCATATAAGAACAGAGTAAAGTATGAAACTTTTGCAAGACCCACCTGCTGAACGAGGCTGGAGATCTCAGATTCCGACATAAGATGAGCAAAATCAACATCTATAACAATGTTCTGTCCGATTTCTTTAGCTTTAGTGAGCCTTTCCATCTTCTTCTCTTTCTCCTCGGACCTCTTCTCCATTCTCTCCTTTCTTAGATTCCTTCTTGATTCGATCAGCGTCAGCCTCTCTTCCTCTGTCACGTTCGCTAACGTCTCTTCCCATTCCTTTTGCTTTCTCTCACCTTCTTTCCTCTTGTGCTCTTTCTCTTGCGCCTTCTTCTCTGCTTTTTTGGCTTCGTATCTTTGCTGTCTTAGTTGCTTCTTCTGAGCGTTCTTGGAGAGAGGTTTATCTTCCGATGGAGACGGTTCTGAATCTGGTTTAAGCTGGTTATCGAGTATAGTGTCTTCATTTTCCGTCGCCGCCGCCATTGCCGCGAAACGCAAGAGAACAGAGGGTTACAGAAAGAGAAACTGATATGTGCCACTTAAACGACGTCGTTTTATAAGAAAGGATTTTGAATTCCATACTATTGGGCCTTTTACGACCCATATAAGGCCCATTAAAGAGTAAACAGAAGAGAAAGTATGCTGTTTCCTCTTCTGGCGAGACAACGATTAGGAAAAGTGTTACCGAATTTATAGACAAACTGCTTATCTCGAGAGACCACAATAAGTTTGCATAGACAGTGACGTGGTGCAGAGCGTGTGGCTGAAGCTAGATTGAGTTAAAGATCTAACTTGATTGATCCACCAAGCACAAAGGAGTAGTAACATCATTTAGTGATGTGTGTGGTGTGGTTATATAGTAAATGGCTTTATTAAAGATTAACATCTCTTCCTTACAAAAACATTACAAGAAAGTGACAAAAATCAATCACGCAAACCAAGGTAGTGGAAGCCGTATTGATATTGATTGATATCTGACGTGTAACACTTGTTCTGTATTTTATCTCTTTATCTTTTTATGTCAATTATGATCTATATCTGTCACGTTTCCTCGTAATCATCTTTGACACAAAGCCTGTTCGTCCTTATCTACCAATAAACCGACAGTTTGATGAGTTTTACACCTCTCCAGAAGCCAAACTTTATATGCAGCAGCTCTTTTGATTCTCATCTCTGCTTCTCTCTGGATTCTCAAGCTCGACATATAACTTCTTGGTGACTTCCATGGCTTCATCTGTCTCTGATCAGTCCTTACAGCCTCAAGGTTCTTTTTCTTTAACTTCTTTACTAATCTCTCGCGCCTGTTTGCTTTGTTCCAAGTCTCTCAGTTTGTGTTTTTGGTTGGTGGCAGATGTTTGTGTTGTGGGAGTGGCGAGAACGCCTATGGGAGACTTCTTAGGCTCCCTCTCTTCTTTAACTGCTCCAAGACTTGGCTCCATAGCCATTGAAGGTGGTCTTTTTAGTTTTTTTACTCTCTGTATTTTTGTTTTTTTTTAATTCTCTGACTGCTTCACACTCCACTTCTCATAGCCGCACTTAAAAGAGCAAATGTTGAACCGGCTCTTGTGGAAGAGGTTTTCTTTGGTAATGTCTTAACAGCCAATCTTGGGCAAGCACCAGCAAGACAAGCTGCACTTGGTGCTGGGATTCCTTATTCAGTGATCTGCACCACTGTCAACAAAGTCTGCGCTGCAGGAATGAAATGTAAACCTTACTCTGTCATCATTGAAACAATCAGATGTACACATCATCACTGCTTTTTTTTTTTTTACTTTTCAGCTGTGATGTTAGCGGCTCAAAGTATCCAACTCGGTTTGAATGATGTTGTTGTCGCTGGTGGAATGGAGAGTATGTCAAACGTACCAAAGTACCTCCCAAACGCAAGGTGAAAGAAAGAAAGAAACATTTGTCAGTGACTGTTTTCTCATCTTGAAAAAGCTTTTCTTGTTTATTATTTCATATGGTTTCTGTGAGCAGAAGGGGTTCACGGTTAGGACATGATACTGTTGTTGATGGTATGACTAAAGATGGACTTTGGGATGTGTACAATGACTTTGGTATGGGAGTTTGTGGTGAAATATGTGCTGACCAGTACCGTATTACAAGAGAAGAACAGGTCACTCATCTTAATCCTTGACCTGTCTTTCTAGTTTATGTAATGATTCACTTACAAAACCTTTTGTTTTTTTTTTAGGATGCTTATGCTATTCAGAGCTATGAGCGTGGTATTGCTGCACAAAATACTCGCTTGTTCGCTTGGGAAATTGTTCCTGTAATACCTCTTTACCCTGAAGTCTAGGAATCAGCTTTGATGGGATTGTGATAAGAGAATAATAAGTTCATACACTCATATTGATAGGTTGAAGTTTCTTCTGGAAGAGGGAAACCATCTGTTGTTATTGACAAGGATGATGGACTGAGGAAGGTAAGTGTTTTGAGAAACCGTTGCTTCTCTTAGGATTTTGCATTGATTGGTTTAAACTTTTGGTTGGCAATGTAATCAGTTTGATGCTGCCAAGTTAAAGAAGCTTAGACCAAGCTTCAAGGAAGATGGAGGATCAGTCACTGCTGGCAATGCATCAAGTATAAGGTCCTCTTTGTTATGCATCTCTCTCATTTGCTCTATGCTGGTTCTTGTTGAATTGTTTACTTATTTGGCTTTGCTTTATGTTGGTGGATAGTGATGGTGCGGCAGCGTTAGTGCTAGTTAGTGGAAAGAAGGCTATTGAGCTTGGACTGCATGTTATAGCTAAGATAAGAGGATACGCTGATGCTGCTCAGGCTCCTGAGTTGTTCACAACCACACCGGCTCTTGCTATTCCTAAAGCTATAAAGCGAGCTGGTTTAGATTCATCTCAAGTGGATTACTATGAAATAAACGAAGCTTTCTCTGTAATCCTACTGCTTACTGAACTCTCATTACTTTTTAACTTATTGTGTATGTTCTGACTTGTTTTCTCCTCACAGGTTGTAGCTCTGGCGAATCAGAAACTGCTGGGATTAGATTCTGTAAGTCATGAAACAAGTACAGTTATGTTAGTGTGTCTCTGATAATGTTATACATAAACAGGAACGGTTGAATGTACATGGAGGAGCTGTTGCACTGGGGCATCCACTGGGATGCAGTGGTGCTCGAATTTTGGTTACATTATTAGGGGTAAGTCCTAAGAGCATGCAACAATGATGTTTTAATAGAGATTAGAATTGAATCTAACCTGAAAAATTGTGGTTGAATTGTTCTGATTCAGGTGTTGAGAGCAAAGAAGGGAAAGTATGGAGTGGCATCAATATGCAATGGAGGAGGAGGAGCATCAGCACTTGTTCTTGAGTTCATGTAAGCTCCTCCCTCTTTAACTCTGGTAAGCACAAGCAAGAGCTTACATGCCAACTAATGTTTCTTAATACAATACTCTTTAACTTCAAACTTCTTGACAGGTCGGAGAAGACAATCGGTTATTCTGCACTCTGAAGCTTGTTATAGAACCGCAAAAGCATGTAATTGTGTACATTGTCTTAAGTTTGTGTTTCATGAGATGCAATAAAAGTGTGTTAGATATCAAAACTAATAAATTTTGAGAGGTACATCTCAAAATCTACAAATAAATTTACTACAAATGTCTATCCAGAGGATCAAATAATAAAACTTTACATGAATCTTAGGAGTTCATTCAGTACAAGATTTTATTCTATTTTTCTTTACTTTACAATTTGCATGGTTATGGAGATGACAAAGCTCAGTACTTACTCACTTGAATTGCTAGCTCAACTGTAAAAATACATCTAAATTTTGAAGTTCTCATGGACTTGTTTTTCTGTCATCAACCGGCTTGCTCAAACCATTACATTTTCTCGAACTTCTGCAGTTCTGATTCTATGGTTTTAGCCATCTCAACACGTTCAGCTACAGGCTCAGGGAAACCCACATGGAAAGAACCTTGCTTTGCAGGTTCAGCTTGTCCCTGAGTTTCATAATGGTGCTTGACATAGTTGTATAGCTGTTGATGGAAAGGATGATCAATAGAAAAACAATCTACACTCTGAGTGTGGTGAGATGATCCAGAAGAGCTTCCTCTTCTACAGAAATGTGGAAGGGATGTGAAGTCCATAATCTACAAAGAACCACAAAGACTTAAAGAAACTTTGCATTTTCACACCAAAGATCATAAGCAAATGCATCATATATACCTTCAATAACTCATCCTTTCCGCAACCAGATAACACATGAACTTTTTTCCTCGTCCTCTCTTGTAAAAGAGGTTTCACAACCTGTTTACACATATATACATGCTAAGTAAGCTAACAGCGTGAGCTGCAAAAAACAGTAGAGGCTTTACCTTCCAACAGGCTGAAAATACATATGGAGCGTTGACAACATAGTATGTGTTTGTTTTCTCTGGATAGTTCAAATCATCAATGGTTGATATGATAGTCACTAACTGCATCAAGATATTAAGCACACACAAAGTTATAAAATGAATTCATGAACTTGCAGTATCATTATTTATGATTCATGGTTTTCATACCTTAATTTGGCTCAGGGCTGAAAGTTTCAACCCTGTCATGTCTAGAACCTTCACGCAGGTGGTGATTGGCCTCCCATTCTTCTTAGATACAGATGGCTGTAACAGTTTCTTACACATTACAGCAAGAAAGAAACTGAAAAAAGAAGTTTAGACAATTGCTATTATGTACTAACCAGAAGTACACGGTCTCTATATTCATTGATTTGGATGTGTGATTGGACATAGTAGTGAACCTGTATGTGGAAGATAGAGAAACACGTTCATTTCTGTTTCTCATTTGATTTGTGAAGAACTAAGACAAAACAATGAAGCAACTTACAGAAGCTTTGTCGAATGTGCTGAGGCCAACACCAATAGCAAAGACAGGCAAGCCCTACACACCAATGTTTAACACCAATTAAGAATCAGTAAGAGATAATGTCTTGATCAGATAAAAGGCTATGAGGGGGATACCTCTCTGGTGTAACCTGACATTCCTATGAGCTGAGAATCACGTACGTCTCTGTACAACTCACTAGGAACAATAGGTTTCTGCGGAAACCAAAAGACATGATCTAATTAATGTTCATACAACACAGAGCTTATAAGAACTAAGGAGAGAGGTAAAGAATGACTCACGGATAGGATACTGTCAATTTGATTATCCAGCCTCCAACGCAAACACTCAACCAGCTGAAAGTGAATTAATACAAAAAAAACATTGAAACTACTACCAGAGACACTCAAACCAGATAATGAAGTGTTCTGAGTGATGTAGAACATACCATTGTATGAGCTTTACGTACGTTCCAATCTCGTGCTTTCAGAAAACGAATCAAAGTCTCCCTCAGGTATCCCTGATGGACATTCTACAGATTCACAACAACAATGTGAGATTCAAACACAGATCAAACATGAGTAACTAACGAATTTTCTCCACCAACTGAACTTAACAATGATAACATTTTATATGCATATGTGATATATGTTTGTTGGAAAATCTACTGAATTGGGTTTGACCAATTTTTCAAGAACAGAGTGAGAGAGAGAACAATACATACATACATACATACTCCAAGTCTCCAACAAGAACAGAACATACCTTAAGTGTTGTCTTCAATGGCTCCTCAACTGGCAAACAAAGTTTACACAGTTCAGTATCAGTACTTACTAAATAGAAGCAAATCTAAGCAAACATGTGAGAAAGAAAAAAAAAACAGGACAAACCTTGATCTATGAGCTCTTGGAGTTCAATAATAGCTTCTTCTTCCGAAACAATCCCCATTGTTTCTTTTTTGCCCACTTCCTCTGCAACAACCACACAGAGTTTCCCAAGATGGACTCTTTTTTTTTTTGTTTCTGCTCCTTTTTTTTCACTTTGCACCAAACTTTGAGTCCATCATTAAAACGTCAAAGAGATGGTAGGAGAAACAGCAAATCTTACCAGACAGAAATAAACACAAAAGTATTAAACTCGTCTTTTTAACACAAGAACTACTTTGATAAAGACTTATCTTATCACCTCCAAAGTCTAAACAAAAATTAAAGAAGAGAGGTTTAGATTTCTTCCGTGTCTGTTGGATATGTTGAATTATCAAAATCAATCCAAATTCCTAAAACCCCATTTGGTTTTACACCTCTTGAAGTTTTTGGGTCTACTAGCTCACAAGTTTAAAGTCTGATTTTTTTTTTCTTCTCAATGGAACTAACGAAGAAATGAGAGAAAGATTCAAACTTTGAAATAAGGATTGAAGAGGTTAATTTTGCAGTTTCTTGTTAAAATCACTTATATAAATAGTAAACGAACAGAACACGTAGTGGATTTGGTGAGTCTTTGTCTTTTACTAGTAAAACAAAGCTCAAAAAGATGAGATTTCTATATATTATTAAAAGAGAATTACTAAATTGAAATAACTTTTAATTTTATTAGTTATTTACATTAAAATGTCAATAAAATATTTATTGAACCTATATTTAAGTATGCTTGTATTTCCTAATTTAAACAATAACTTTATTTAATATCTTTTCATAATTTAAATAATAGATTTCTTTAGTCAATTTTAACAAAAATAAAATTCTAATATATTTATTACTAACATATTAAATATTTTAATATTTATTAGTAATAAATAATATGTGATTTTTCTTTAAAAAAATATTTAGTAGAAGTTATAGTTCTAGATATGTTTATATATGTTATGTATTTTTTTGTCTTTAAAAGATGATAAAATTTTGGAATTGGAAAAAATTATGACCCACCTATATATTATTTTAATTAAAAATTTAAAATTTATATCAGAATATTTTATTAAATTTTTAATTTGAATTATTATAACTGTAAAGATTAATTTTCAATTAAAATTTATGTTTAAATATTATAAATACATCATTTAATATAAACAAAACATAAAATAAATATTCGTGTCAAGATTTAGTTGTCTTTTACTGGTAAAACAAAGCTGAAAAAGATGTGATAAATGGTATTATTCAAAGTTGGTCTCTTTTTGAGTCTCCTCTACTATTCAAACTTTTAGAAACGTTTTTATTTACTTTTCAATTGGTAAATTTCCTATAAAAAGATAAAGAGTAAATTCATGGCGTCTTATAAGGTTTAGGGGGGGCGCCAATAGCTCTGCTTTATGTGTTGTTATTCAAAGGTCAATTTACATGCCTACCGCACACACACAAAAAAAAGTCTTTCTTGTCATTAAAAGCCAAGAAGAAAAGACTACAACTTTTCCCTTTGTCTCTTTGCATTGCTTTTCTTCATCAATCTTTGTGCTAATTATACATTGAATGTTATAGTTATGAAACGTGGACATAGAGAAGAAACAAATTAGGTTGGCTATCAAGATTTGATTTTTTGGGCCTAATCTAAAAGCAGCAAAACTTTAGTTAAAGTTTGCCCAAAACCTAAAGATGCTTGCTTTTCATAAGATGCTAACTTTTCATCAATGCAAATTGACACATAAGTGTGTAGATAAACATTTCTATATATATGGACGAAAATAGTTTTTGTCACAAACTCATTAACCTCCCTATAACTGAAACTGGCCTGTAGCATTTGGAGGTATGAACCTTCTATATCTTTAGTTGATACTTCCCATGGAAAACCTTATTTGCTACTATTCAACTCATTTTAGCAGAGACATAACAAAATGAATTGAACTCAACTTTTATTAAAGCTATCATCCCATGTTTTCTGTTGATGTATGGATCATCAGATTGATTATTAACAACAGTGAGTAAAAACAATCAGAACTTTCATCTTTGCCATACACAAAAAATGTTTCAGTGTAGAGAAAGAAGAGTATGCCCTTTACTTACTAAGGGGACTACATCATTTTAGTGATATCAGAGACCATGCTTGTGTAATAGTCTGGCTCAATCTTGTTGCTCTCGTCTAATAGATTAGACTCACTTGTACACCCTGTTTTCAGACAAGAGAGAGTTAAAGACAAGCTCAATCATTGCATATTGCCACAAAAGAGTCATAGAGTCAATAGTAATGACCTGATAGGACGAGTAGAGTTTTGCAACCAGCATTCTGTCCAAACAATACATCAGTGTCGAGCCTATCACCCACCATGCACATTCTAGACGTTTCTGTCCCAAACCTGCAAGAACACAAGGAGAGACACTTTTAGACACAGCGAGCTATTATGAAATGAGACATGGGTCTGCACTGATGTCCAACGTACTTCTGTATCAGATAGTCCATCATGAAAGTAGCTGGTTTTCCAACCACTATTGGCTCTCTTTCAGTTGAACCACACATGGCAGCAACCATACAACCAGCACCTAGAAATATACAGAGTACAAAAACTTGATGATGCCAAAACACTATAGGCTTAAGAGTCTAATGACACCATACCAGGCCACTCTTGAAGATCTGTCATATGTCCTACAGCGTCACGGTTGGTTGCAATGAAAAGACATCCTGGATTCTCTCGTACACAGAGGGTTCCATACCTACACATTTTCAGTTATTTAGTTAGTCTAAACTTATAGAAACTTGATTTTAGACAGCGGAATTGAATGCAAATAGTTATCCATCTTACTGAAGCTTATAGTAGTTTATGTTGGGGTCTAGTCCAACCACAACAGCTCCCACCTGAAATAGGAAGACGTGAAGAAACAAACATACATTAGAAACTTGAGCAAAAGAGAAGGAAAACGCAAGGATAAAAGTCTTATGATGGCACATTACGGTTTTATCATGTTCAAAGAGACAGTTTGATTTCCATTGTGCTTTCTTTTCACCGTCTTCCTGCATAAAAGCAATTTATCCACAACAAACATATGAATCCAAAATATAAATTTTTTTTTTTGTCAACACACCCACAATAAGGATTTAACATATTCTAACAAGCATAAGAGTTCACGAAGTGACAAAAACATGACCTGATCCAAACGTATACAGTCTACTAAGTACTTAGTATCTTGAGCAGAAAAAAACATATTAAATTCTTGAAAGATAGACAACTTACAGGACCACCAAGACCGGTAAAACCAGCAAGCTGAAGCTCCTCAAGAATACCTTCTCCACCAATCACATAAACCTATAAAACCAAACAAAACAAAAATGGAAAAGATCACGACATAGATTCGCAAATGCGCTACTAGTCTATAAGAGAAGAGACGAACCTTCTTGTCCTTGGGAAAGTTGTTGGTTTTAAGGTACATAGCTGCCGCAAACGAAGAAGAGAATATCTCATCCTTTCAAGCAAAAACACACACACAAAAAAACTTCAAAAACAGTTAGCACACAGATGAAACACGATCCAAACAAGAGAAGTAAGAGAAAAAAAAACAACCTGAGTAACAGAAGTTAGACCCAAAGATTGGAACTTTTCAGCGTATTGTCTTCTTGATTTCATTGAGTTGTTTGTCACAAAGACAATGTTTTTACCCTGAAAAACCGTTACAACAAAGTCAAAATCAGAAGACAAAAAAATAGAGAGAGTGAGAAAGGAAACAGAGTTAGAAACCTTGGATCGGAGTAAGTCGAGAGTTTGAGAGACGCCATCGATGAGTGTATCTCCCTTCCATATAACACCTGAATCATCATCATCAAGCTAAGGATCACCATCAAGGGGATCTCGAATGATAAAATAAAAAACAAGAAAGAGTACCATCGCAGTCAAAGAGGAAAGTGTCGACAGAGTCGAATAGAGATTTGAAGTTAGTGGAGGAGAGAAGCTTAGGCGCCATTTGAGTATCTTCTCAGACTTGGAGAATGTTCCTTTTCACAGATGTTTGTGAGTTTCTATTGAAGACGATGAGTTCAAAACGTCGTCGTTTGTAAAAAAGTGAGTTCAAAACGTCGTCGTTTGTGCAAAAAGCCCATTATTATTTGGGCTTTTATGTTAATTATTTTTAAACAAATAAATAGAATCTTTTTTCTTATTGGCTGCCTTTTGATTTGTTCCGACAAAAGTGTTGAAGTGGGAGTGGGAGAACATCAACTCCGAGTGTCTTTACTGAGAGTCAACTCAACTCGATGGCAAACTTGTAAATAGGTAGAAAAACGTGAGGGTATTTTGGGGAAGAAAGAGGAATGATTGCAAGTGGTTGTTGTTGGAATCTGGGAACTGTCTGCAGGCGCGCGTGTGTGCAAATCTCATCTCGGATCAGATGCTGTTTCTGTCTTTCTTTTGCAGAAATGTTTCAGGTCTGTCCTAATTGATAGATAGTACATTTTCTGACTGATGAAATGGTTTCTTTTTTTAACATGCAGCCACCGGCTTAACTAACATATCGTCTGCGCTCTGCTAACTGGATCTGGTTTGGTATGTTAACATGATAGAGAGAGTGTTCAAAGGAGTATGAGAGCAAAAGCTATGAGAAGCTGATGGGAGTGATTGAGTTTCACCAAAGTAAAAGCTATTCAAGCAGTGCTAAAATCCTTTTTGGCAAAGATACAAGAGGCACAAGTAGTTTAAGCCATCCAACATTCCTGTAATGTTTTTGATTCTACGTTTAATCCTTATCCTTTTCAGTTTTATTTATTGGTGACTGAGAGATTTAAGCTACTATTCTTCTTCTTCTCCTTACTAATGTCTCTATTCCATGGCATTGATAATGTTTTTTCATCTGTGTATATATCCAATGGCAGAAGCAAGACCTCTAAGCCCAGGCCCATGTCTTGTGTTACAAGTAGAAACCCTGGAATTTGGATATTTGAGCCCTGAGCCTGGTCATTGTAGTTGGGTCTTAACAAGAGATATGTGTGGTCATTAGTTAGAGAGTAGGGCCATCGAAATGGAGTGCATGGATTTGACCATTAGTGACATACAATTCTCTTCTCAAGGCAGACAAATCCCATCAGAAAGAGGACATTTGTACTCAAAAACTTCTCATCCCAGTCTTGTTTCACCTTTTACCTTTTTGCATTATTAAAATAGCACACTAATGATGTGGGTTGACTTCCCCCCTTCCCCACAACAACAGAGATTGCACATGTATAATAAACAAGTAAAAAATTACACTTGTACAATTACAAATGATAATCTGGCTCTCATGCTTTAAAGTTTGTGACTGAAGAGGCCAAGAGGGAATGCATGATCTAGGGATCCATGCATCTTTGCTTTATGACAAATAATATAAAGATGATGCATCCAAGTTCCCTTTGATTATAACTCTCTTTTGAATCAAGCCTACCCAAACTCCCTACACCTACTCCTAGGGTGGTCCATTGTATTTATAATAAAAGGTGTAATCTCACTTGTAATTTAATTGTTGTAGGGAAAAGTGGAAGACCTACTTTAGTGTTTGTTTCACTTTATTTCTGTTTGGTGAGAAGTTATTTTCCTTGTGCAAAAAGATGGATTGCATGAAGGACACTTGTGTCTACCTTTTCTAATGACTCTGAAATGAAACTAGTCACAAACTCCTTGTAGATACTAGCTGTATACCTATATGTGTATGTGTGCCAATTAAGTATGAAGGAAATAATTATCAGACACCATCTTAAGAGTGAGTCCATGCGAGGAGCCAACAAGTGACCAGACCGGGACCCTTGTTTACCATTCAAGTCTCTGTCTTGGGGATTCAATCTCACTAATCACATTTTTTTTGACAATTTGATCATTACCACTTTTACATCTCTCTCTCTCTTCATTGCTTGCCATCTCTTTATCTCTTTCTCCTTCCTCTCTCACATATCATCAACCTTTGAGCACACCAGTCTTATGGTAAATCAATCATCCTTTTGCTTTATCTTTCCTCTTTCTTTTGGTTTTCATACATACACTCATAGGTTTGATTTTTGGATATTTAATTATCTTCCTTTTTATTCCCCTTTAACCTAAAGTTTTGATCACTTTCTCATCATTTCTTCCTCTTGGAACACAGAGAAGTCTAAGATGAAGTTCATGAAGATTGGGACAAAGCCTGACACTTCCTACACTCAAGATTCCTCAAGGTTGTTCCGCCATCTCACTGCCTCTAACCACCCTCCAAATCCCATCTCTCTGATAAAAATATATTTACACTGCAGGATTTTGGTAACAGATACACCCAACGATCTCATTATAAAAATCAACAACATCAGTTATCATCTCCACAGAGTATGTTCCACTTGTCTATTAGTAACACACACATGTACCATGGATCATATATGTTTTTATGCACTGGTTTCCATCTTTTTTTGCAGTCTTCTCTTGTTCCAAAATGTGGCCTGTTAAATAGGCTTTGCACTGATCCAGAGGAGTCTGATAGTGTTACAGTAGAATTGAATGACATACCTGGAGGAGCCAATGCTTTTGAACTGTGTGCTAAGTTCTGCTATGGTATCACCATCAACCTTGGTGCTCATAACCTTGTGGATGCACTCTGTGCCTCCAAGTTTCTTCAGATGTCTGATTCTGTTGAAAAGGGTAACCTGTATCCAAAGCTTGAATCCTTTTTCCACTCATGCGTTCTCCATGGTTGGAAAGACTCCATAGTCGCTTTGCAGTCCACTGCTAAATTGCCTGAATGGTGTGAGAATCTTGGAATCATCAGAAAGTGTATAGACTCAATTGTGGAGAAGATCCTCACTCCCACCTCAGAGGTTTGTTTATTCTTTTCATGAGTCCAGATGATGTTCTTGCACATTGTGTTGATATCTCCTTCTGTTTTTTGCAGGTCTCTTGGTCTCATACATACACCAGACCAGGCTACAAAAAGAGACAGAACCACTCAGTTCCAAGAGACTGGTGGACGGAGGATATATCAGAGCTTGACTTGGACTTATTCCGCTGTGTTATCACAGCAGCCAGGTCAAGTTCCACGCTGGTCCCTCAGCTCATAGGCGAAGCTTTGCATGTATATACCTGCCGTTGGTTACCATACTTCAAAACAAACAGCCATTCAAGTTTCACCGCTAAAGAAACCGAAGCAACGCTGGAAAAGCATCGCCGTGTTGTTAACACGGTTGTGAACATGATACCTGCAGATAAAGGGTCTGTCTCAGAAGGTTTCTTGCTGAGACTTGTTAGCATAGCGAGTTACGTGGGAGCTTCTATCACTACAAAGACTGAGTTGATTAGAAAAGCTGGTCTGCAACTTGATGAGGCAACTCTTGCAGACCTCTTGTTGCCTTCACAGTCATTATCCCCTCATCTCCAGAGATATGATACTGACTTGGTTTCTGCAGTTCTTGAGAGTTTTCTAACGCTCTGGAGAAGACAGTCTTCTAGTAACAGTCAGTTGCTACATTCACTTAAGAAGGTGGCAAAGCTTATAGACTCTTATCTTCAGGCAGTCTCACAAGATGTGGATATGCCAGTTTCGAAATTTGTCTCTCTTGCTGAGGCAGTGCCTGATATTGCACGGGAGAGCCATGACAGACTTTACAAAGCAATCAACATGTATCTCAAGGTATGGTTGAGAGTCATACGACCCTTCTTTGAATAATCTTCAACGTTTGGTTGGTTACATTGCAGGTGCATCCGGAGATAAGCAAAGAAGAGAAAAAAAGAATATGCAGAAGTCTTGACTGCCAGAAACTTTCTGCAGAGGTACGTGCACACGCTGTGAAAAACGAGAGGATGCCATTAAGAACGGTCGTCCAGGCCATCTTCTTCGACCAAGAGAGCAGTTCCAAGGAAGCTAGCCAAGTTCTCGTCTCAAGAGGTAAAGAGATCCCCATGAATGAACACAACATGATGCAAAAGCTTCACCTAGGTTCAGCTGAAACAGCTTCTTCTATAGGGAAAGCTACAAGTATACGTGAGGGAGGAGGCAAAACAAGAGAGGAGAAAATCAGTTCTGGTACAGACCCCAGGAAGCTTGTGAGGCAAGGAACAGGATCAGAGCATAAGCGTCATGCAAGTAGAGACAGGTAGTGGACTAAACGTGTTAAGCCAAATTCAGTCTCTTGCTTTGTATTCACCAGAGTTTTGCTTCTTCAATTTTTTTTCTTTCTATGAAGAACTGATGACAATTGTAGATGGTCAAGTGACAATATAATGTATTGATACAGTGCAGAGCTTAAGCTCTTGCTCAACCATTCTTCTTGAGCTCATGGTCTGTTTAGTATGGTGTGTTGGATTAAGCAAGTAGTTTTGTTTTGTGTTTTATACCAAACTACATCACAACACAGACATATATTCATTGCTCATGCTAGTGGAAGTGTGTTTAGAATCAGAAAGTTATTATCACCTCACTAAGAGGAAACACCTACATATACATGACTTAACTACTTAACGCCACGTGTGATACACAACTCATACCTCGTCTCCTGAAACCTGGTTCAATCCATCTTCACCCCCAAGCAGTCTTGATGTTGATGGATGGCCATAGGCGAGACCATTGTTCAAGCCTGATTCTAGTATTGGGTGGGCCACTACCATCTCCTGTGTATAACCAGCTGCACCTCCTCCTCTCATTAATCTAGCCTTCTTTAATGATCTCTCTTCTCCTGCACTCTCGTCGTCTTGAGACCCAACGTTACACCCTGAGTCTGGTGTCAATGGCTCCTGGTAAGATGAATGAGACTCCTCCTCAACTGAAAGGCTTTTGTCTGGTCCACATTCCTTGTCTGATTTATCTTGTAAAGGAGACTCTGATGTTGGTGCAGGGGTTGCAGGATCTGATTCGCCTGTTACTGAACATGAGAGCTCGCCAAGAGATCCACTTAGTCGCTGTTGCTCTTCGATTATCTTCTTCAAGTACTTCCCTTGTGCTTCTATCCGTAGTTGCAGCTGTCTTTGTACCTACATAAAGAATGTCATATTTCACCTAAGTTATTTGTTTATTATTTAAATAGTATGGTGAATGGTGAAAGCATACTTCTAGTTGCTCGTGCAATCGTTTCTGAACTTCCATCCGCAACTTGAGAGCTTCAGTTATCTGCATTCCCCTGTAACCAACAAGTTAGTGATCACTTAATCTGCATTCCCCTGTAAATTTTACTTCTACTGTCATCTTCTGCTTTTGATTTTCTTGTCAATGATTTGGTGCATGTTTATGCATCATGAATGCTCTTTTGAACCTCATCATTTGGTAGCACACTTTTATATTCTTGATGAACTGTAGCAAGCTATGAAGTGTTTCAGTGTCATGAGATTATCACTAAGAACAAATACTACACAATTCAAAAACAAATCTCAAATCCATGGTTTTAGCTATTTTAGAGCACCATTATCCAAGATGCTTAAAAGAAAGTGCTTAATAAAAAATTAGTATAATAAATGGTGGGTCTCACACGAATCTCAAGCACCATTGTTTCTGGGACTTAATTAAGCATCAGTGTTAGTATCGTGCTTGCACTATTTGCGGGTCTCACTAACACGTGGTGGCTCGCAATTGGTTCATTTATTAAAAAAAATTCTTTTTTTTAACCAGAAAAAAATTAGAAAAGAAAAAGAAAAAAATTAAGCACCCCTTGAGGATAATGATGCTCTTGGTTGTATGTTAATACTAATGAGGACTTGGCAAAAAATCACTAACGGCCATATATTTGGTGAACTATATGTATAACAAGATCTTAATAAGGACCACGAAATAAAAAGAAAAGAAGTATTCCTCGTTGATTGGACAAAAAGAATATGATTCTACCTTGGAAATAATAGTATAGATACTTTACTTTCAGATTTTTTTTTTTTGGTAAACTAGATCATTTTGGATAATTCGATTTCGAATATTTTAGGATATTGCATGTTGCAGACCATCTCCAAAGTAATGGTTGGTCATCTCGACCAATTCTCCCTGTCTCCATATATTTTATCATGCAGACAGAACTGTGGGTTGATAATGTTGATATAGACTCACTTGTCTATTTCATAATGGTAGCAGACAAGGGTATACGTATTCGTTGCAGCATATGATCGACAATAAAATGTAAATACCCCCTCTCCTCGAATTTGTGCCGTTTTTGGTTGCTTTATTTGTACATCCAAAGAAGATAAAGATGATTAACACTTTAGGTACATCAAACTGTGGTCACTTTTTAACAAAAAAAAATGTGGTCACTTGCATGGAAAGTGAGATCTGAGAGCTATCAGTGTTCACCAGAGGAGCAAGCTTGCATCATGTGTCTTTTTTCCCTGACCCTCTTCTTTTCTGCCTAGATCCGTAGTTGATGTCTTGCCAAATTGCATGTAACCGGGAATTGTACTGCTCCGATCTGCCCTTTTCAGGTTGGAAGTTAATGGTACTTTTATTTTTAAAAAGAATTAAAAGTTAACAATGAATTCCATAATTTCTGGTTTGTTGTTTGCACCATACGAATCGTGTGAAGTAAGTCACACCTCTCAACTTTTACATTTTTGTCTGCTCTCTTGTCGCCAAATATAAGTCTTAACCTTGAACTCTTCTCTCATGTCCTTACAAGGTGTAAACATCTTTCTTCTACAAACTGACCTTTTCAAACAACTTTCTTATTGGGTAACCAAAAACAATAAACCATATATATAAACATCTTATATCAATTTAGTAATGCAAATCCCTCTGAGACTCGTACATAAACATCAATCTCATCAAAACAATGTACTCTCCATCTTCTGTATCAAAACGGTTCATTTTGATCTATGTCTTGGCCATACAAATATTCCTTATAAACAGCGAGTTGTCCATAAATACGACCAATGAGTATCTCAACCACAAATGCTTGGTTAGTCAAGGAAAATACAAGCCGGGAAGTAAGTATGAGCAACGTTTAAAATTTATCACCAAACTGTTCTATAGAGACAGTATCAGAGGTTACGACGGTTTTGGCGACTCTACTTTAACTGCTATCCTCCAGTGCCGCGGCGACTCCTACGGGCCTAAGTGCCATGACTGCTATGCCACCGCCCTAGCTGCGGTAATGTCACAAAATTATTATTGATTAGTTTTTTTTCTTTTAATTTGTATAAAGCTGCGCACGTACAACTTTTGATTATGCTTTAGCATAAAAAAAAAAAAAAAACCTACTCGTTCTGTTTTATTAAATGCCATAAAATTTTAACTTTCTGCACAAGGATTAAAGAAATAATTTTTTTTAACATATTTTCTATATAAAAAATATAATTAACTATGCACCTAAGATCCATATTTTAACCAATAGAAAAATAAATTGTAAAATAAACTTAATAAATTTTGCATTGAAAACCAAAAACGACACTTAATTTGTAATGAAAAAAAAAATTATTGTAACATTTAATATGAAACAGAAAGAGTATATTATAAGTTAATTAGTCTCGTGCAATCTCCGTTATTGATTGTTCCGCAGATATTTATTATGTATATTACAGCTTCGTAGTAAATGTCCGTGGTACAAAGGGCGGATAGTATGGTATGACCAATGTCTTCTCTCGATTACTTCCAATTATACTTATGGGCAGATAGATTACGACAATAACTTTTGTATATCCAACGCGAAGAAGGTGGGAGGAGATACATTCGAGTTTATGAAAGCTTGGAATAATTTCATTCTCGATCTTGCGATTTTAGCCACCAGTGGAGATAATAATTACACACTATACTCTGTGGGAGAGAGGCGGTACAATGGTGATATGATGTATGGAATGGTGCAGTGTACGCGAGACTTATCGCGAAATGCTTGTCGTGAGTGTTTGTTTTATACTAGCTTGCATTTGCAAAAATGTGTGAATGGTATACGAGGAGCGAGAGTTATAGGCAGAAGCTGTAGTTTTAGGTTGGAGTTTTACCCTTTTATTGCCAAGCCAGTCCATAATATTTAAAAGAGCTAAAATATTTATTTATTTTTGTTCCAGTCGATGTAATATTTACTCAATCATAAGTTTTTTTTGGCTGGTTAGACTCACTTTTATTAATAAACAGGTACAAAATTATTACAGAAACTATTGAATCAAAGTTTACTTATGCACGTATATATGCCATATGCTCAAAGACAAGTTAAACAAATAAGTAAATTAACGATGCTTTTTATCAGAGAAGCCTTACTTGCAAAAGTATTACTATTCCACTCTAATCCTAATCCGAAACTAATCTTTTTATGCAAAATTATGCTTGGTGTTCTTTTCTTCGTTGAGATTTCTAACTGCACATTGCATTACAAAACCATTGATTCCATCAATAAAAGTAGACAAGTTGATATCAATCAATCTGTAACAATGTCTTTTTCGAAAATTATGAATTTAAATTTCTTCGATCTGAAATCCACTTGTAATCTTCCATAATATATTGTTTCCATGGTGGTTTTTCTTGAGGACGTCCTTTTGACAACAAATTCATCAAGATTTGAATAAAGAGCCAGGTTTGTAATCAAGAAAGCTTATCATATTATATATGTCTCTCTTCCTTAATCGCAATACGTAATTATTTTGTTGCAAAAGGATTTATGGAGAATAAAAAAAATTTGAAACATATCCCAATCTTCATCAGAACAGGAACTTATATTTTTGCATATAAATAAAGACAAGTTTGAAATTAGTTAACTAAAAACATGCTTAAAGTTCCTTTATCTGCTTTCATGACCTCATTACCCATTTAGTCATGCATAAATCATAATTGCCTAAATTATTCTAGTCTTCTTCTACACTAACCCCCAAACGCGTCTTGATACACTTCACATGCACATGTCACCCAGAAGAGAAGGTCATGTTTTCTCACAAATCTCATTTTATTTCATTGTCTTTGTTGTGTGACTTATCGCTTTTACACCACGCAACATTCAAAGTCCAGCCATCCTTCCTTATTCCTTTTAACATACATAACTATCGTGTTTACGCCTCTCTCTTTCTCTTTTCTGAAATTTCAAATTTATTTTCCATTAGAAAATTTCTTTGTACAATTAAAATGGAAAATCATGTCAATTTCACTTCAAACAAACCGCGGAAGAGCCTTCAAGTTTGTGCGAACAAGCTTACATGTTATGTCTCTCTCTACTCCTTAATCGCAACTCTACTATAATGTAATTATTTGCTTGGAAAAGGATTTGTGGAGAAGAAAAAAAATGTGAAACATAATTATGCCAATCTTAATCAAGGTATGAACTTATTTTTTTCATATAATGAAGACAAAGTTGAAATTAGTTAATTAAGAACATGTGTAAAGTTCCTTTCTCTGCTTTCAAGCGAATGGCGTGACCTCATTACCCATTTATTCATTTATATAGTCATTCATAATTGCCTAAATTCTTCTAGAGTCTTCTGCTACACTGACCCATAAAGTCTTGGAATATATAAAATCTGTTTGTTGTCGGAGATCTTTGATTAATAACACTTCGGTATCATAGCCAAGAGTTTTTAACCCCCAAAACGCGTCTTGTGACATACTTCTCATGCACATGTCACCCAGAAGAATTGACTCTCAGATCTTTCTAGGCGTTTGTGTTCACACTTCGCCACGCTCCATTTTAAAACGATTTACTTTTCTCTTTTTATAAAACTTAGTTGTTGTTTTCCCACTTTAGGAAAATTTAAATATTTTGTAGTGTAACGATACGTCGAAACCAATTGAGTATCGACTGGTTGGTGCGTGGTGATAGGCATAGGACCACGTTGCTGCCTGCTTGGCAATTCTTATACAAACCTTGCTCTTTATTCATCATCTCTTCGTTTGTCTTTTTCGTTGTTTACTTAAATTTTTGCCACGTTGATGTTAATTATTTGACTAGACAAGAACGTGGACCAATTTGGTTGGTGCGTGGTGATAGGCATAGGACCACGTTGCTGCCTGCTTGGCAATTCTTATACAAACCTTGCTCTTTATTCATCATCTCTTAGTTTGTCTTTTTCGTTGTTTACTTAAATTTGCTACGTTGATGTTAATTATTTGACTAGACAAGAACGTGGACCAATCGGTTGGTCATAATTAAATCACTGATCATCGACTACCAATAATGGAGCTTGATTTTAGTTTCTGAAGTTGCGTGGAGACCATTCCATAATTTTTTTTTAACATCTTGACGTCCAAATCCTGGTTTTATTTTTTCCTATTGGCAAGGTTGTTAGCACTGCTTTTAGCATAAGTTTTCCGCAAATTCACTTTTGATTCGAGTTAATAATTAGTCCAAATATATAAAATACACTTAGCGAGATTATTCATATAAAAATTAATTCGAAACCTAGGGAAATATTAGCTATGACATCCAGATTCACAACCAGCCTGCCACCACGCGCAAGTTGGCAAATAAAATCCTAGGTTTTGATCCCGTCTAATGTTTCAAATCACAATTTCATAGAATTTGATGAATTAAATCAAGGTTTGTGACATGGTAGTGATTAACTTTAGGGCAAAAATTAAATATATTGAAGCCTCGGGATGCAAGTCTTGGTCATTAGATAATTAACATTTTGACATCACCAAAGATAGAAGATTGATACGTGGTAATATGTGATTAATCTGGACCACTTCCGTAGAGTCAAGATACCTCTGTATAATTTAAAAAAAAAAAACTCAAATTTCAGTTATTTAGAAAACAAATGGAATTTTTTTTTGTCAATTGATTTCATTTCCAATCGATATATCAAACTTTTAATTTTGTCACCAGTCGACCAGAACTAGCTATTATGGTTTAAGCGTATAATAGTGAGGATGGATTAGACACGCACACGCTATTAACACCAATAATCCGTTAGAATCACAACCACGGGAAAGAAGATGACGAGATGTGGAGGATGTGATAACTAGTTTAATTAGGCTTTACTTACTACTAATTGTGATGTTAAATCGGGAGAGAGTCAAATAATGGGGTATAATTAGGTCAGAAGAGAGTCGATGTGGTTGTCAATGGTTGGCTAATGCGATGACTTATAGTTTGGATATAATCTTAATCCCAACTTGTGTCTATTTTAAGAGTCCCCTGGATCTCCATATCTTTTTGGACGGCGGGACACCTAAAACCTTCGCTTAATTCTCTTTTAATTATGTTTTGTTATTTTTAAAAAAAGATGATCATTCATACTATAAGTTAACTATTTTTTATTTTTTAAAATTATGATCATTCATAGGTAGCACGAAGTGATTACTTGAATTGAAGGAGATTTACAAAACATATTTACGTCACGAGGGAGACAACAAGCGAGGCGAGGATCGTGCTAGTAAATCTTCGTCGAGTCCATAAACGAATAGCTCATGAACTTTAATACAAATAATTAATAGAATAACCACAAGGGGGGTAATTAATTAGTTGGTTCCCTGTCAGTTGTTAATTAAAGAAATAATCTCAAACCGTCCATTTCCTTTTTATATTATTCTGTAGAAGGCTTCTCTAATGTTCTACACTTGAGTAAATCAATAGTATATAACAACCCTAGATGGGTGAATTGTTTAATGAAGCCGTTCAATAAACAATAATTAACACAGTTCTTGAGCTAGCTCGGGTTAATATAATGTGTATAATCCAACGAATGTCGACGCTTTTACAACTTTTTCATGCTGGGAAATATTCTGAAAATTGATCGATGTTCGAGCTAGAGACTCAACAACCGTCGATTTGACGTTGTATATTACTACTAAATATTGGTATAATTTGAGATCAGGAGATTGAGAAAGTAGTGATGCAAGATGTTGATTCCCTAGGATGGAAATCTCGAGTTTATTTTCAAAACACTAAATAAAATTTGTAGAAAATTGATTTAAAAGTTCAAACTTTTCAATTTCTATTTTTTTTTTTTGTTTTAGCTTTAGATAAAGCTTGATTACTTTAGAAAATACTCTAAAAATGTCTTATCTAAATTCTAAAACATCTATAACACTTACTAATCAACCATTTACTTTATTAGTTTTGATTTAAAACAGGACTGGTCATGGACCATAATAAATGAAATATTTGTTATAAATCTTCAAAATTTTTGAAAAAGTTACATCAACATAAATTTCTAAACAAAATTTAGATCCTTGAATTTACTAAAAGATGCACATATTCACAAACCCCTACAATCTTTAGGGCCGATCATGGTTCCAAAACTCACACATCGAACAAGGTCTTTGAATTTGTTTGGTGTCTATGAGAATAAGGTGTAGCCTAAAGGTAAGCTATAGATAGATAGAAGAGAGTGGTGTCATCATCATCCTCTTGCGTGAGAATTCATTCACTGATGGGGAGGTTCATAAAAAAAAAAATTATTATTATTATTATTATTTATTTTAAAAAAATAATAATAATAATAGACTAATCGTAGACCGTCACATAGTGTGGAGTCCGCAATAGTGTTGAGTCAGGTTCATCTTAATGATACCCAGCAAACAAAGTTCATAACTTTTATTATATTTTTTTTTTTTTAGTTTTTGTGTAAATCCCCCCCAATTAAACCTTCAATTGGGGTGCTCTAACCGTTTTTGACTTTCTTTCTTTTTCATTAATTGAGGAGGGGAAAATCTAAACTACGAAACTATTTTGGCAAAATTTGTTATAAAATGAAACTAATGGGGCTATTTTGATATAAAACGAAACTATTTGTGTGAATAGTATAAAGATAGAAAATGACTGATGTTGATAGGGTTAACAAAAAAAAGCCAAAAAAGAGGGTCCCGCAACACGTGGCCTGTGACATTCATCTCTCTCTCCTCTCCATATAAAGAAGACAGACAGCAGATGTAAGAACATAAAACAAAACAGCAAATCCCTAAAAAAAAATTTCAATCTCCATCGAAATCGAATTCAAGCAGAACCACCAAAAGACTATGGGATTACAAGGTCAACTCTCAGACGTTTCATCAGATTCAATCCCTCTGATGCTAGTAGCTCTCCTCGCTACTCTCTTCAAACACATCCGCTCTTTCTTCCTCCGCTTCTCATCCTCCGAACAAGAAGATGCTTCATCACCCTCCGTTTACTCAGGCCTCGCGAACGTCTCCGTACTCGCCGACCAGCTCAAACTCAACCGAATCTTGTCTTACCTCTACGCTGACAACAACGCCACGGCTTCATCAGATTGTATCGTGTGTTTGTCTACGCTTAAGACCGGAGAAGAAGTGAGGAAGCTGGATTGCAGACACGTGTTCCATAAACAGTGTTTGGAAGGTTGGATCCAGCATCTGAATTTCAATTGTCCGCTTTGTAGATCTCCGTTGATTGCTCATGGAGGAGGAGGAGTTGAATCTGAATCGATGCCTCTTGTCTCAGCATCTCATTGATTTTTTTCTCGTTCTCTATATGGACAAAAGGAAAAGAGAGATGAAGAGTTTGGAGGTGTTTTTGATCTCGTTGCTTTCTCCTCTTTTCTTTTTTTTTTAGGACAATTTGGGTGATTTTTATTTATATATTTTGTTTTTTTTTTTTCGAGGAATTTCTCAGATCAGAGAGGTTCTTTTTGTTGTTCAAATTTTCGGACAGTTGTTTTGTTGTAAATTTTTAGTATGAAAAGTTGTGATGTTCTTCTTCTTCTTTTTTTCCGACAGTTGTGTTGTTATTAGAAAATCGAAAGCTTGCAATACTACTGGACTTGTAATATTATTTCTGCATAGAGACAGAAACTAGTGGTACTATTTTTTTTTTTTATCAACTTGCATTTCACTCTCTTTGGTTTTATTTGGATATGTCCTGAGCCATGAATGACTCTAAAACACTAGCAATCAACATGGCAACATTTGCCATGTGACCTTGTCTATATACTAAATTTTCAATTCTTTGTCTGGTTTCCCCCACTTGATTATTATTTTGCTAATTTAAGTAGTGAAGTTGGCCTAACTGAAAAAAAGTATGTTATGTCAGTTTATCCATTTTCAATAAGCAGGGGAGACAATAATTGCTCTGTCTTAAACAGCCTCCGAAGGCTTAAGTTATTTAGAACAGATGCCTCTGGGCCGTCTGAATCTTTATTTAGTTGTAACTCGGAAGATTCTACTAATGTTTAAGAAGGAAAACAACCCAACCAGAAACTCATATTTCAACTTATATTGCAATCAGTCCAATACTAGGTGAGGAAAAATGTCATTTAAATCACCAACTTTTAAATTTGATTTAAAAAAGCATGAACTTTCTATTGTACTATTTAAAGCCTCAACTTCTTTTGACTAAGCCATTTCTAACACGCCGTTAAAGAGGTTAACATATTGAGTTAACGGGGTTAACCTCTAATCTCTGTTAAATTCGTTTATAATCTCTGTAAAATTAATACGATGTCGTTTTGATTTTCTAAAAAAATATTCATCAAGGGAATCGAACTCGCGACCAAAACTTCCCTTGATTCAATGTTAAACAACTGGACTACTTACGATTCAGTTGACATGTATAAATATTAATAGTTGTTATTGTTAACTCAAAATCTAGTTCGTCTTCAAGCTCCCTTGATACAATATTAAACCACTGGACTACTTACGATTCAGTTGACATGTATAAATATTAATAGTTGTTATTGTTAACTCAAAATCTAGTTCGTCTTCAAGCTCCTCGACGTGTTTAATGTTTTGCAGAAAGAAGTTTTTCTCTGTTAAGATGGTGACAGTGATTTCTATTTGATTTTAATCGTGATCGTTACTATAGGATTTGTCTCTTTTCTTTTTCTCCGGAACTTTGTGATGGAGAATGCGGCGGATTGATTATGCCTTATCCTTTCGGATTCTCACATGGTTGCCTGATCAAATTCAAGTGTTCCGCGGCGGAGAAAGCTAGGATCAGAGTTTTCTCCATTCAGAACGTGACGGGAGATAGTAACTTTGTATGTGTTTCACACGATTGTTATCAGAGTGTTGAAGCAACCTCTCTTCGGCGAGCATTACACGCTGAAGAACTAGCGTTTGAGTTAATAATAACAGCTATTAATATTTATGCATGTCAACAAAGTCGTAAGTAGTCCAGTGGCTTAACATTGTATCAAGGGAAGCTTTGGTTGTGGGTTTGATTCCCTTGATGTATATTTTTTAAAAAAAATTCAAAACGACGTCATATTAATTTAACAGAGATTATAAACGGAGGTTAACCCCGTTAACTCAATCTGTTAACCTCTTTAACGGCGTGTTAGAAATGGCTTAGTCAAAATATGTTTGAACTTAAAACGATTAGTCAAAATAAGTTGAGGCTTTAAATGGTCAAATGGAAAATTCATGCTTTTTTCAACCAAATTTGAAAGTTGTTGATTTAAATGACATTTCCGGTGACCTGAAACATAGAAGCCCATATGTAAAAGAGAACAAATTAAGAGATTATAAGGCTAGTATGTGTTTTAGTTCTCTGTTATCAAAAAGCTGGAATAGCTCAGTTGGTTAGAGCGTGTGGCTGTTAACCACAAGGTCGGAGGTTCGACCCCTCCTTCTAGCGTATTTTTGTTTTAGCATTACAATAAGAACCCCTCCTTTCTTTTCTTATTGGGGAGAACTGTATAATCGGAATACGGAGATTCTTCATATATTGTGTCATCTTGTTAACTCTTCTAAAAAATTTGCCAAAAACCAAGAAGAGTAGATTTACTTACAAATGTAAAGAGTACAAGTAGAGGTTCAATAAACTACAAACTCTCAAAAATGACCAAAATGAAGACAAAAAAAAACAAATAATGAATCAAATGCTGAAAGCAGAGGAAGAACTAATCATCTTCGAATGGAGTTCGCACCAGATTCCATGTTTTCAAGAGAAGTTGATTCCACCTGCAAAGACATAGTCCTCAACACATCCCCATTCTGCGCTTGTCCACGTTCCTGAGCCGCTCTAAAATAAGCATAAGGACCCCACCCTTCTTCATGGTAAGGATTAGGATAAAACTGACGGTAACAAAAACCCGCCACAAACAAACCAATAAGAGCACCAGCAAACACATCTTGCCAATGATGCCAATAATCATCCACACGTGATATCCCCACAAGACAAGCAGCAAGCAAAGGAGCAAACACAAGACAAAGCTTCGCCACATGCCCTTCTCTATTAAACGCCTTTACTTTACCAGACAAGTAGAGAGACAAGTAACCAAGTCCAGCGAAAGACCAAGACGTGTGTCCACTCGGAAAGCTTTTATGACCTTCTTTAACCTCTCCGTCTTTACCATGACATATCACACCCCCCAAAGCATCGTACAACTCTTTACCATCAGGGAAGCAACGCCAGTAAAAGTTGGGACGAGGACGTCCCGTTGCGAGCTTGATGGAGTCAGTGATGATACCAGTAATCAAAACCGTGAAGAGAAGACCGAGAATACTGTGGTGGAGATCGTACACGCATGTTCTCTTCATGTAGAAGCAGACGAAGATTATGATAGGGAGGAGGACAGCGTAGATTGGTACTGACCAGACGGGGACGGTGTTGTCGTTGAAAGGGTATTTGAGATCTGTTAGCATGTCTTTACCAACGTATCTGTAGAAAGGAGGTATGAGTTGTAAGCCGATCTCGATTGCGACTAAGATTATTAGTATGATCCAGTCGTGTTTGTGTTTGGTGGCCACGCTGCCTCCGTGGCTTCTTATTGTGTGGATGCTTAGATCTATCTCCTGCATCCTCCCTCTCTGTGGTTCTTGTTCCTGTTCAAGAACAGACACGGATCATAATCAAGTCAGAGTCATGTAATCTGTAACCTGATTTATACATAATACTAAACATACTACTTGAGGGTTAGGGTTTGAAGAGCCTAATAACGGAATGCAATTCATTTCTCAGTCGTGTTTAATTATTGACCAAATTAGATCATAGAAGTTGATTGTGAAGAGCTGTTTTAGCTATTATTATTTTGTTATTACCACGACGACACTTTGATTTACACATCCAGCCAGTTCTGTTCTGTCTGTATGATTCGCTGTCCTAAGCACTGTTCTGATTAACTATATTTTCGTTGACTTTCTATAACTGTGTATCAAGTTGAGTTTCTTTTTCATAAGTATTAGAGAAGATAAACAAAAATGACACTCCCTTTCTATCTTAGAAAAGAATACATAAAATATATGAAAAATCTATTTTTAGAAACATATTTTTCTAAAAATATTTATATTTTAAAAAAACTAAATGGAATAATTTGGGGGAAGTGGAAGAGAGAGAAGAGTCGATTAGGGTTACCTGAGAATTTCCCCAGAACTTGAGAGAAGAGAAGAACGATCCAAAGACCATTGGTGAATAATGAGGCAGAGAGATCGAGTCTTACAAGCAGTGTGGATTAAAACTTTAAGAGTCAAAAGAATAAAACAGAGGATGCCACGAAGAATTAAGCAATAATGTTTATGATTATGAACCACAGAGAGAGAGAGAACACATAAACTGTGGAAAATATACAGAAGACAATGGAATGGGTGAAGAATACGCGTTTGTCTTTCAATTTATCAAACTCGTTTTTGTCGGAAACTTCAAAGGTAGTGCTCGTCGTGTCGTGTCGCCACTTGACGGTTTGTCGACATATAAAGCGAGCGACTCCGGTTTTGTTGTTGAGTTTTGACTTTTCACCGGTCTAATTTGGCCTTCTCCTCCACGCGGTGTGGGTCCCACCTTTTAATAAGATTAGAGGAAATTCAACATTGTGGACCCGTAAATAGAACAGTTAATATCTATCTAAATGGGCTTGAACCTATCTAAATGGGCTTTACTATAGCCCAGCTGAGTTTTGAGCCTGGACCTTCCATCGACATGCTTGTTCCAGAAGGTCTTGTGCTTGACAAAACATTGATATGGTTTTTGAGAGATTGTTAGTATTGAGAGTTTTTAAAGTAGAACTATTTCTTAAAATAGAAAGCGTACAAATACGATCCAAAGACGATAAAAATAAAAGCTCAAAATGTCTTGACTTAACAAAAATATCAAAATCCAAGAGTAGTGAAGACAAACAGATCATAAGACTTGAGATATGAAAAGAAGACATGTTCTAATTCATCCTCCTGATAAGCTCATTGATGAAGTTCTCACGGTTACCAGCATCACCACCTTCAACGTAGTGATTCCTCTTCTTCTTAAGACCACCGAGTGGTGCCTTGAGCTGGAATGGCCACAGGAAGTTGTTTGCTTCCTTGAAATGAGGACCCACTGTTAGGATCTCGTGGATCAAGTCCTCAGTGCAGATGATCCCATGTTTACCCAAAGCCTGTTTTTTTGACAAGAAACAAAGTGTCATCACATTACTTCATACACAAGCATAACATTTTAGGGCAAAATAGATGGATACTGAACCTGCTCAACGATGGAGTTGTCAGTCAAAGCAACCCTCTGGTGGTTAAGCTTTCCGTATCCTCTCTTGTAGATCAATTCCTTAACACTCTTCAAGTTAGGGAACCTGTTTAAAGAAGAGAAAAGTCATTCACTACTCTGCCATTAACGCAAAAGAGTTAGGGTTTTAGGATAAGATGAATACCCGTAGGTCACATAGGGCTCAACACGACGAAGCATGTTCATTGTAGCCTTGTTGACTTTGAGAAAGACACCATTAAAGATCTGCATTACATACAATCAAATTCTTTGTTACAGAAGCAACGTAGAAAAAATGTTATTCTGTTTTCTGTACAAAAACCAATCAATAACAAAAGAACATAACTAATCTAATGACAAAATGACAAAAAGACAAACCTGTCTCAAACGCAAGAGCTGAAGAATCTTCTTTGTCTTCGGGTCAATGGCGTTAATACTACAAATTCAAGGACCAAAAAGATAAGAAAACAAAAAAATATAATCACTTTGGAAATGCCACAAAGATAAAAACATACCCACGAATACGGATGATGAACAAGAGCTTAGCTTCAGGGTCAACATAGAAACCACCTTTAAGCTTAGCCTCACGCTTCAACGAGATCAACTCCTTCTCCTATAGAAGATATTAAAATATTTCATTTACACACAACCAAAAGTATCACGTCATGTCCTAAGCAACCAATACATGTTCCAGTTCTTGATTTAGATCTAAAAAAAGTTACCTTCTCTGCGTACTCCTTAGCGTACTGCTCGGCTCTTTTGTAGATAAGCTTCCTGTTGGCGGCGTTAGTCTTCTTTGCAGCTTCAGCGTTCTGCTTTTTGGCCAAAGCCCACTCTTCCTCTCTCTTCCTCTTCTTTAGGACAGACTCAGGAACTACAACCTTTGATTCTGTCATTTCCGATGAGTGAATGAAGAAACCTACACTAACCTCTGTCGAGTTCGAATCAAACGGAATTTCGAAGAGAAGAAAATCACTGCGGCTACGACCGATTTATATATGTCACTCACTCAAAAACCTAGGGTTAAAGCAGAAATAAATGGGCCTCATAGGCCTCAAAGGCCCATTAATTATTTTCCTGAGGTCTGTAAAGATGCGCTTGACGTTTCCATAAAATGTCGTTTTCTTGAAGAGAAAAGAAACTGAAGATATGGTTTTTAGGATAACAAACGAATATACACACTCTTCAGTTTTCCAAATAGACAAACCCGATTGTTTCGGGATTTGATTTCTGAACCATGTTTTGTCTTTATTTACCTAAACTAACCCAAACTTTTGACACTTCACAAGATTGGCACTTCCCCATTGTCTGCAATTTCCCCAAAATACTTGTAGGCGTGTAGGCTTTGTAGCATAGCATAAACATGAGTGAAAACTAGGGTTGGACACTATTACTTGATACCTAGTTTATATTTGTTATTTGATTCGGTTTGGTTTGGTTTGAAAAAACAAATACTTGGTACAATCAAGTCGAGTAACAAGTAAACGAATTTTAATACTCGTAAGTATAAATCAAGTATCAAGTATATTTTTATTTTTAATTAATTAACTTATTACTTGGTTTGTTACTTGACTTATTACTCGTTGTCTATTACTTATTCCGTTATTTATTGTATATTATTTGGTTTATTTAATATTCTATCTATTTTATTAGTTAATTATAAATTTATGTATTGCATTTCTACCTCAACTAAAAAATTGTGTGCTTAAATCTCAATATCGAGTTTAAAAGAGTTTAAATCTAAACACAATTCACTGTTATTCAATTAATAATTCTAAATTCTATTTTAAAATTCAGTGTTATTCAATCTATGATTAGAATTAAGGTTTTAAAATCTGGTGTTATTCAATTTTTAAAGATTTGAAAATTATGTGCAATATAAATGGATTTCAAATCATCATTAATGGAGTCTAATGAATAAATGACTAAACTCAAAATCCAAGGACTATTATAGAGATTTTAGAATCCATCTACGTTAACAATCTTAAAATTTAAAAATTTGATGGATTGCAAAATATCTACAATTGATTTGAAATTACTAACTGAATAACACCCCCTAAGGTTCTAGTATTATAATGAATTTAAAAGAATTCTTGGATTTGAAATTTTTTGGGAAATCCATTGATTTTGAAATCAAACAAGTATATTTTAGAATCAATGATGTAGATTTTAAAATCAAAACAACTGGATTACTATAAATCAGTCAAAAGAATTTGTAATAGATTCAGTTTTGTAATAAAATAAAGAAAATAAATACTCTTGCAAATGGTATCGAACAACCCAATATGAAACCGAAAAGTTACAATGATTTGCAAAACCGCAATTAACCACATAAATTTTTCAAATATTTTGACTTTTAAAACTTTACTATTCAAAAACTTCATTAGCCAAACTTTCCAATCCACTAAGAACGTATATGAACTCAAGATATTATACACATCCAATACTTTTTGTGATATATCACTATATTAGAAAATATAAAAACAGAGAACTTTCAAAAGTACACATGAATTTTTTTGCTTACACATAATTTGATGATACTATGAAACATATATAGAGTTACCAGACTTATACGTGAATGTGTCATATATATACTTGTCAGTGCTTGTTATAATTATTAGAAGAAACGTGCCAATACGTATATAAAACTTGGGGGTATAAAATATTGGAAAACCCAATAGTAGAAATCTAACAAAATAACAAGATTCACCTCAGTATTTGATCCTTTGTATTTTTAACTTAAGAACACTCACAAATCCATTCAAGTCCAATTTTAAATCAAATCCTTAAACAAATCATTATTATTGAATAACACTTGATTTTAAAATCTATATTAAAATCATAGAACGAATAACAGTGAATATGAATATAAATTTTAAAATCATATAATCAATAACAGTAGATTTGCTTTGTATTTGCAAATCCATTAAAATATACAAACCAATAACACCTCCTAAATTATTTAATGTTTAACCTCAAGTAGTAAAAACATAGGTTAAATAATTGAGAAGATTAGCACCAAAAACAAGTTTAATAAAAAATGAAATCAAGTAATAAACGAAATCAAGTAATTTATAAGTAATTAAAATTTGTACAAGTACTTAATATAGCGAGTACTTGTTTAGGATGGATTAAGTACAAGTAAAAAATACAGCTACTTAAACAAATTAAGTTGGGTGGTAAGTACCTCAAAAATGCCGGATATTTGCCCCGTGCCCAAACCTAATGAAAACCCCAAAAGTTGTTGGGTCCAAAAGAGAACAACCCAAACTAAAGACAGCCGCTCCATTCATTGTCCACTTCTTAAAGAGGGAAACCAGTCAGATCAACATAATAATTGTAACATGGACCAACAAACATGATAACCAAAGTTTTTTTTTTTTTTGAACTGAGGCTATGATAACCAAAGTTAAACTCCATTAACATAGTAATAACATATTATCCTCTTTTCCACCTTGAAATATAAAGGTAAAAACTATACACACACTTGATGAAAGAAAGAAATAAATATACATAGAGGTAAAGGATGATTTTTCTCTAGATTGAAATGTGATTCTGGATATGATCTCTCGATTAAGATCTAGATTCACTACCACTGAGATGTTCATCATGCAATATTCTTTTCAGATGCTGGTTCATAGTATTTGGAGGAAGCGTAATGATCATAGACATGGTGCTCTACCAAGAGAAGAGATGATGTTGATCAAATGGGTAAACAAATTGATAAGGCTGAAGCTTCTAGCAGTCAAAGGGAAGGGGCAAAGGTACCTCGAGGAAGGTCTGAGTGTGTGGTTTGGTTCAAGAGTTTCATAATCTTTTTTTGTTGAAGATGAGTAGAGTTGTGATAGATCGAGTAGAGATTGTAGTTGATTATCAAAACAGATACACTTGATGTAAGAGAAGTTTTTGATTGAATAAATTTTACATTCATTAAAAAAAGAATAAATTAATAACACGATTCGAAAATTATATATCTTAAGCTAAAGTAACAATCAGATAAATAATAAAAAAGAATATGTGTATATACAGTATTCTGTATTCATAACCAATAAAAATGGAAAACGGGCCAAGCAGATCACCCCACGTGGCCAGATGTTGCGGCAACAAGAACCCATTGGAGTAGGTCAAGGAGACGAAACGCTAAAACAGAGGAGGAAACTGGAACGCTCACTAGGAGGAGAAGCACCGTTGCGATTGCAACGCTGGGACGAGAATTCATAAGGAAACTCTGGAGAAGACCAACGGAATCACAGATCACAGAGTCATAGCTGCTGTAGAAACGCTTCTCCCAATCCATCCAATGAGAAGGAGGCTCGTAGTTTCGCTCAACCATCTTCATCTCGTGGATACGTTTCCTCAAAACGATCATGTTCTCGTCCACTAATCTCCCACCTCCGTAGTAATGGTCTTTTCCAGAAGACGCAGCAGCAGAAACGCTCATCATCTTATTATGTGTCCTCCACGTCATCGTTTTATTAGAGGAAAACACCAAGGGATGGAACCGGAGTGGAGAAACTGAAGCCGATGAAGAGATGAGTGTAGCTTCCATTTTTTGAAAGATTGGTTTTGTAAGAGAAAGTTTATGTGAATTTGGTAATGTTTTGAAGGAGATTGTTCGTTGTTGTTTGCTTGGGGGATGGGACAAGTGGAAATGTATATATTTATAAGCAAACTATTATTTGGAATATTGGATAAAATAAAGACAAAAGTGGGTGCAACATGATTATTGATTAGCGCGTTGCCACCACTTGCTAATCTCATCAATTTGTCGAGTATGAGGAGACGACCCATTAGACCTGATACGGATCTTTCAGATTTTTAAATTAGGATTCGTTCGGATATTACAAAAATTCAGGTCGGTTTGAGTCGGTCCTTCCAAGTTCAGATGGATTCATTTCTGATGTTTAGAAACCACTTGCTAATCTCATCAATTTGGTGAGTATGAAGAGACGACTCATTAGGCCTGATACGGATTAGTTCTTCGGGTATCGGATCTTTCAGATTTTTAACTTATAATATATTCGGATATTACAAAAATTTGGGTTGGGTTCGAGTTGGCCCTCTCGAATCTGGGTGAGTTCAGTTCTGATGTTTAAGAACCTGAAAATAATCGCATAACCAATTTATCTGAAACACATTCAAAAATTTATACCAAAAATAACATATTATCAGATACGATTCAAGTATTTTGTATCAAAACTGCTAGAAATACCAAAAATATACTCAACTAACACGGTTTTCTTTGAGTATTTATATCCAAACTATCTTATTTTATATAAAATACACAAAATATTAAAAATAACTAATATATTTAATTTATAATCTAAATGCAAATTATTCAATTAATTATAAGTAAAACTATAACTAATAATTTAGATATATATATATATATATATTTACATTTCAGATATTTTCGGATACTCATTTGGTTTCGGTTCGGATCAGGTTGGGTATTGATTCTTTGGATATAGTTATTGAGAACCCATTCAATTATTTATCCGGGTCTGAATGGGTTCGGAACTCTGATATTCGGATCGATTCTTGACATTTTGCCTAGCCCTAAGACCCATATTGTGTTAAAAAAAAAGGAGGAGAGGACCCACTTTTCTTTACTTCAACGTCATTTTCGTATCCACCTCTGTTTCTTAACCCTCTCTCTCAAGAATCAATGATTCGATGAATCTTTCTTACGCGTCTTTTACTATTTATCAATCAAACCAGTTTCGTATAAACATACATCTATGGCTATAAGATGTTTTCTTTAGCCTAATTTCGTCTGCAGCGCTCTTGTGTATTGAGGTTGAAAAATAGTTGATTTTGGATCGGTTTGACCTAACTGTTGTTTATTAGATCCGGCTAGTGAAAAGAAACACTTAAAATTCTTGATTCGATTATGTAATCAGTCGATGATACAGTCGTACCAAGTTAGTGGATCATGAATAAATGATAAAAGAAAGTTGATGAAAAATGTATTGACAAGGATGGGTATAATCGATGACATTGTGAAACCTCCTAGGGTACGCTAACTTGTTAGCTTGTTGATTTGGGAAACGCGGCATTGGAAAATTATTTGAAATTGATAAGCCATCATTAATAGTGCACATGATATGCCAATGCATATATGAGTTGCTCTTTTCAATATATTATATTCACTTTTTCTTACAACAGAATTGACCTCCCATTTGTTTATGTGATTGCGCACCTGAAAAAGCGTACAAGTCGGTGACCTTTTTAAATAATGCGGTTACTATCATATCTTAACTGTAACAACCTAATGTTTAAACAAATTAATGGGAGAATTGAGGCTACATTACAATGCTTATTTTTCTAACAATGTCCTCATAACATATTTGCAGATCACGTTATTATATTATATATCAAATTCCTTAAAAAATCTACAATGCATCACTTAAAAACCAAGTTGTTATGTTGATTTAAAGATTAATTATAACATATTTGATGTAAACAAAAAACAAAAGGCGCGACCTTGCAGGCTAACGCAACGTACGAGGATGTTTAGACCAGAAGCCACGTCCCCTACGATGGGTGTTTTGGCTTTCTCCCAATGGGCGGCTCTTATATATTATTATCTTACTTACTTGTTTAATTAGGAAACTGTTTCGGTTATTATTATAACCAAATCGTCTATTTTGAGTTTGGTTGGATCCGAATCTTCAGACGTCAATCCTGACGTTGCCATTTTTGAGTTTTGCAGCTGTTTGTTTCTCAGCTTTCAGGGAATGTTCAATGTTCCCAATTCATATTTATTTGGAAGTCACTGCAATATGCGTTTTATTCACCTAGATCTTTAATAGTTTGTGAAAATAGAGTCAATATTAGTTTCTATTTTGTTTGTTAATAAAATAAGAGATGGCAAAAGTGTTTACGTCAAAGAGTTGAAGAAGTCTAATGAAATTAAAAATGGGTTGCACATTGGGTTTAAAGCAGATCAGATTGTACGAAGAAATTTTTGTATTCAAATTTAAAAGCCTAAGGGCTCACTTTCCTCTATTCTCACTTGTTACCTGCTGGAGAGCAACAATCACCACAAAGATCAATTATTAACTATATAAAACTTATGACGAATGTGTCTTTATAGATTTGTATTTCACGTTTTGTTAAGCGTGTTCTTAATAAGTATATTTTTGGTCATGAAAATGCCCCAGCAAAATGATTAGTAATTACATTTTTTTAAATCTTCGTGGACAAAGGGACGGATTTGGCCAAAATCCAAATTAAAATCGAATCGACAAATATGACTCTGTACATGATCCAATCTGTAACAATATCTGAATGTATTATGTAAGGCAGTATTTTGGTTTATGAATATTATCCGAGTTTAACTCAAATTTGAACGAATACTACTGGAAGAACTTGAAAATTCTGAATGAAACTAAAATGAATACCTGAATTAGTACTCAAATATAGTATTTGAAATCTAAATAAATAACTTAAACAGTTTAATGTTTATTTTGATAAGATATCAAAATACATAAACATTACTACCAAAATTTAAATCATTTCAGTTCCATAATAGATCTTAAGAAAATATAAAATCTATTAAACCCAAAGTATTATTAACATGATCATGACATATATAAAGTCTAAATGGAGCTATAAGTTGAAGCCTAAAACTCAAAAACCTACAAATCCAGTACCTGAACGCATGACTATAGACAGATATCTAGATTTTGACCTGTTTAGAGCAACATCAAAAGTTAAAGTCTGTAACAGTTTCTTAAAAAGAAATAATATTACAACTATTTTAGCTTCTTAAAACCTGTTCAAACATTGTCTTACTAGGTGTTCCCAGCCTTATGTACAGTAATAAAATTTTGAAACTTAAAATACAAATTATTTATTTTCGTATAAAGATTTTAAATCAATTTGTGTAAAATTAATATAAAAGTTGTATAATTATCAAAGAGTACAATTAAAAATTATTTCTAAAATTGTAGATATAGAAAAGAAGTCAATAATATATGTTTTCAAATTTCTAATTTTGTAAAAATAAAAAAAATTGAAAATATATTTTTATTAATAAAATTATATAATCATAAAAATAAATAATATTTCATTTTTTTGTAAAATATTATTATGTTTCTAATATTATATAAATTAATATTAATTTTGAATAAATTTATTATAATGATATATAACTTAACACCATATTCTAAAAAAAAAATCAAAAATATAAATATGCATTAAATGTAATTATCCATATCATATTAAGTCATTACTCATGTCATCTTTCTAGTGAAAGATCATAATCGCTGAAAATGTGATTAATTCAATACTCCATCCGTTTCATTTTAATTGTCATTCTACGTTTTTACACACAGATTAAGGAAACATTTAATTTTACATATTTTCAAGAAAAAAACACAATTACCTATACACCTAACCACTTTTCAACCAATAGAAAAATAGAAAATCATATAAAACTAATAAATTTTGTCTCGAAACTCTAAAACGACGCTTATTTTGAAACGAATTTTTTCCTCCAAAATGTCAATTAATTCGAAACGGAGGGAGTATCTAGTTTCATAAGTTATAAAAGTGACTTAAGAAGTATTCTATCTGTTTCATTTTAATCTTTTTATTTTATTTATAAAAAAAATATTTTATATTTCCTATGTAAATGTTGGCGTTAAATCTGCTTCTTATCTTTTTAAATAATTTAGTCATTATTTAAATAACTATATAATAAATAACGATAGATAAATACATTATATTATTTTCGCATAAAATATGTCTATTTGACATTTATTATAAAACATATGGAATATAATAAACTGAGAATAAGCTCCCACACACAAACACTTGACTATTCAAGGAAGGTCATCACCATCATCATCAGCACCATCTTCACCATCACCACCACGCCTGCCACGGTATCTATTACGTCTGGCTTTAGTATCAAAACCGTCACGTCCCCCACCACCACCACCACCTCCACCTAGCCCTATTCCAGCTCCAGCATTGATACCAGCTCCAGTTCCTACCCCACCAAGGCCAAGCCCTAAGCCACCACCGGTTCCTCCACCGCCAAGGAATTTTTCATCCTTGAATTGGGTATCTCGGGAAATATGTTTCCTAGCACCGACATTTGCACAGATGAGTGCGATGAGCAGAAGCACAAGAAAGTTAGTGAAAGTGGCTTTCATGTCTTGCTTTGATATAGATTCTTTTTGTTTTCTGATGAGGTGTGTGGTGTACAGGGTATGTATTTATATACGCATACATACCTAATTTGGGTGGGAAACAAATGCGAATAGATTTGGATTTAGGGCAAAGTAGCTTGATTAGGTAAAATAGTCTTAATGAACGTGCCAAACGAAATGTATCCCCTATATATTAATTGAGAAATACTTGAAAAATTGTAACCTCAATTTTGTAATAATTAAAAAAGAGCTCATGCCTATGTGTCACTCAATTAGGTAACAATTACATTCAATTAAAAAATAAGTAGGTCCACATTCGATTTGTATAATATGTCGCTAGATATATTTGTTGGTCAAATTATATGATATTATATGATATTTATGATAGAAGCATTTATGATTGTTCTGATAGATATAATTACTATTTTATTTTCTTTCCGTAAATAAAAGTTACAGAATTATCATAA